CTGCATCAACATGAGAGGTCCTTGGGGCTTTGGGCGACGTGAGAAGCACTGTATTTTTTAACGCTGTCTAATCGGTTTGAACCACGTCATGACATTGTTGCGAGTTCACCTGAGAAGTTTGATGCAGTTCGTTCTTTTTGTTGGCTCTCATTTCAGGGTTCCCGGCTAGCATGGAACCGGGAATCCAGCTTGCTACAGCCTATGTCGGGAAGACAACTTTATCGGTGCCTGGTTTTGCGAGGCAATTGTTTGGCAACAAAACAACTCCCCGTGCCAACCTGGAAGATCCCCCAAAAGACATGTACCCTCCTGACTCCTGTCCACGTTACCACGGAACCTGACGTGTTGGGGTCCTGAACGACGCGTTTCTTCTTTTTTCTTAATTGGACCCTCTGGTGTGTTCCAAGTTTGTGGACAGGAGTATCTAGTCTGCACAGGGAACCTTTTTGACCGCGGTTCGTCGATCCCTTGCGATCAACCTTCCACGTGTATGTCATTCCCCTGAGTCACTGAACGCAGATCAACCGGTTTCAGCCGAAGCTGCTGCAGCCAGTCCTGGCACAAGGAGAGACCGAATCCCAAACCAACCCGGACGCTTGGCGATGCTGAGCTTGGGTGCCAAGGTTTGTTTAAACAAACGGACCCAGGGCGCCCATATAAAAGGAACATCAAAAATGCTAAGCGGTTGACCCACTGCTCAGCTTTGATCTGCACTCCGACTGTCCACAGGCCTTTGGATCTTCTGGGTTGTTCCTTCCTCCGGGCCCTTGGAACAATCCAACAAGTGGCATGTTGGACCTTCCCCAAACCAACCCCACCAACCCCCAATCTCCCCCCCTTCCCCTCAACCAACCCCTCAAACCCCTCCCCTTCCCCCCTGCCCCCCTTCCCCCCTGCCCCCCTTCCCCTCAACTCCCCACTCCCCCCTTCAACCCCCCACTCCCCAAGCCCCCCCCACCTCCCCCAAACCCCCCCCCACACCCCTGGCCTGGCGCTGGTCCAGGTAGACCCTGAAGCCCGGCAGAAAGCGGCCCTCCGTGAGGTGCGGCAACCCAGGCGCCCAGGCCTCGTACAGCCGCGCCACGAAGCCTTCCGGCAAGCCCTGCTCCTCAGATCCATCGGATCCATCTGATCCTGGCTGGGACCTCACATTGATACAGCAGGGGGTTGATTCATCCCGGGTGAACCTTACCCCACGCCATGAATTGATGACTATTCATCCATTGCCCCAAGCCATCCTTGCCACACATGAACATTACCCCACCCCCATCCCGGGTGAAACCCCTGGCCAAACGAAGAGCACCTCGGAAACTCGTCCCGAGCGCAGGCGTGACATGGGCGCATGGCTACGAACTTTCAGCGTTGGAACCGCCTAAGGGGCTGGTGGACATGCCAAGTTGCCATGCGCAAAAAAGGGCATCTTTGTTTGGTTGGTTGGAACCCCTTGGAGGGATCTATGCAAAGGGAAGCCATACACTGGGTCCCCAATTTTGAGAAGCACCCTACACCTGAACCCCTCAAACTACCCACAAAACAACAGGATTTCACCAACCATCATTTTGGGGCTACCCATGCGTAAGTAGCCCCAAAATTCCCAGGAATCTTTGTGTTGTTTCAATGGAATCTGTAAGTTTTTTCCAGGGAATCAGTGAGAATTCTGGTTCAGTGGGGATTTCAACCACTAAACCACACTAAGCACAAATGGGAAACATGTTTCCCAACAACCATGATTTTGGGCCTACCCATTTAAGTTGGGTGGCACCCAGATTCCCTTCACAGACATCTCAGAGGCGCGAAGCTGTGCATCAGCTTCTCGAACTCCCCCGGTGAAAGGCGCCAGCCGCGCTCCTGCACCACGTCTCCACTGCGCGTTTCTTTGGGCCAGGTAGGCTTTAAGAGGAAAATACGCAGTAAGGGAACCGCTTTTGGGGTGTGTGGGTTTTTGGGGGTAGCGCTTTTGGGGTTACTTTTTAGGGAACCAGCAGGAGTTGAGGTTCTTTTTCTGCCTTTGGCAATGTTAAAAGGACAACCCAAGGGGAAGCCACAAGGAAAGGGAAACCACAAGGACACAGCAAGGAAACCACAAGGAAACCAACCACAAGCAAGCCAACCATGTCTTGTCGAATCGAAGTTGGTCGGGACTGCGGGAGTGTCTTTGAGGGTACCAAATGAAAACAAAAAGGAAGGCCACAAATTTGTCTAGTTTTGTGTCTTTGTTTGGGGGGGGTCCCTTAAACACAATATATGGACACCTCAATATTGGGGCGTTGGGTTTCCCTTCAGTTCACCCTGTAAGGGTTGAGGTGGTTTTTTTTTTTACTAGCCCCGGCTTTTTACTAGCCCCGGCTCGGCACAAGGCCTCCCTCCAAAGAGGTTGGGCTGGGGGTTGGTGGCCGCATCGCCAGCATTACCGGTTTCTTGTCACGGCTTCGCATGGGGCATGACTTGATGCTCGAGATAGCCAAGCCGCATCGCCAGCATTACTGGCACTCGGACGCGAGCTGCCTATTGGCCTTGATTTGGTGGCAGCTCAGGGTTGATCGGAGCTGGTTTGGGGTGAGTGTTGGGCTTGCTGAGATATTAATGCGGGCGGGTCTTGGGTTTGTTTAGGGTTCATTTAGCCTCGGCAAAAGGGCCGATATGCAGGATGCGTTTGGGGCCCCACAACCAATCCTAGCCCAAAACTTGCAGAACCACATCCCTGAAGCAACCTGAAAGCCACGGCTAAACCAGCCGCACATCTAGCACGAATCAGCCCCAACCAAGCCAAAACCGACCCAAAGTTAACCTGAAACCCTCCCAACCGCATCCTGCATATCGGCCCTTTTGCCGAGGCTAAATGAACCCCAAACAAACCCAAGACCCACCCGCATTAATATCTCAGCAAGCCCAACACTCACCCCAAACCAGCCCCGATCAACCCTGAACTGCCACCAAATCAAGGCCAATAGGCAGCTATCTCGAGCACCCATACGCAGCCGTGACAAGACACCGGTAATGCTGGGGATGCTGGGGATGCGGCCACCCAGCTGACCAACCAACCAGCCAACCAACCAACCAACCAACCCGGGGTTAAGCCCCGAGCCGGGGCTAGTAAAAAAAAAGACACCGGTTCCCCCTGTAAGACAATAACGCAAAGGGCACGTTAACAGGAAGGTCTATATAATGAGCGGTCACATAGCCCCACTCTCGAAGTGCAACTTTGACCTCAAACATGCCAAGCTCTGCACTTGTGTGTCTCCTCCTCATGAGCAAATGCAAGGAAGAGCTGGCGCAAGTCCTCATCCGTCGGTGTCTGCCTCAGACGAAACCGAAACCCGCCCTCTTGATAGCACCAGCTCTGTTTTGTTTTTTGTTTTGTTTTATCTATTTTTCTCGCGCAATCAGGAGCACCGCGCTGTCTTCAACATTAAGAGTTGCTGGCCACGGACATTCACGGCATTGCTCGCTTTGCAACTTGTCTAACTTGCTGAACAAAAATATCCGATCCATTCAACAGAGCACACCTTCATCCATCGCGACTATTATCAAAAGGATAACCCTAGCCATGTTGAATGGAGCTGTAGTGGAGCCTGACCATGTAGTATAGGTGCATCTACCAAGGGTTGCCTCCGAATGTCAACTGACAGCTTGTTCGATCTTGGTCAACGTTCACTCTAGGATACAGGTTCTTTGTTTATCATTGTGCTCAAGGGCAAAGTTGCAAGATAGGTCTCATGTTGACCCACAGATACTCATTTGCTCTTCCACCCCCACACGCAACAAATAGCTGTTTGTAGGGGTCGAAAAGACATATTATGTTTCCAATAGTTGGTCACACCAAAGACCAGCTATGGGGTCCTTAGCTTCCAACCAAGTTGCGTCCGAATCTTCTGCAGCAGCGCGGATGCCATCGCTGACGGCTCTGCTGCTTAATGTCCTCGGCATGTGAAGCTTGAACAGGGCTTGACTCCGGGTGCCTGACACAGAGACCACATATCTCGGCCCGGCCCAGTCTAGGGTGCACAAAACAAGATCGGAGTCTGATTCAGAGCTTGTAAAACAGGATATGATTGCGGGGGGAGACCCCAGTAATGCTCTTTGCTCCGCACAGGGACATGGACAAATTTTGGGTCCAACGGTTCAGCCACGGAGCCGGATTCTCGCAGTTGGGCGCGGTCACTCGCTAGCCATCGGGCAGCATCGCTCATGCCGACACGCGCGCGCGCACCCCGCCCGTGCCCGTGCGCACCCGCTCCCCTGGGTCCCGAGGTTTCAATGAGCCAAAAGAAGTGACGTCTTGTGCATGTTCAGTCGGAGGGTCTCAATGCGCGGGGAATCCCTATGAACCCCTAACACAAAACAGTGCTCCCCTATAACAGTCAGGATTAAGTGTTTGGTTTCCCTTGTTCTATGAAGCAAACAGCGGGTCCACCATTTTGGGGAACCTCCGCATGTTGCCCTGACTTGCGGGCCATTTTCTTAGCTGCCTAGCGTCGGAAAATGGACAAGGAACCGACCTCGCCCTGACTTTGGCTCCATCGTTATTGCTTTGAACTCGGGGGTCATTTGGGTGTGGGTGTGGGTCAAAACCCAGATACCCTTTTTTTGGCACCCCTTTTTTGGAATCTGGGGGGACATAGAAGGTACCAGGGTGTTGACCCACATCCATTTCACTTGGCTGTGCACTTGGCATTTTCCCCGTGAAAACAGACAGGGTGCAGCGACGCCAGGCCAATCAAGATGGCAACTGTCCCACCTCATGATGGCTACTGTTCCACCTCACATCCGTTGCGTTCACTCAAAGCAAACAATGCACTGGCCGTTTTTCAAGCAGGGTCGATCGAGGGGGTGCCCCCTCCAAACTTCTCCAATCGCCATTTCGGGAGGGCCATTTGACACGATCTGAGCCAAGAAAAGACACCAACGTCAAATGATTGTGTCCATGGAAACCGGCTTTGCTTCGCATCGGACATGCTGCTCCCAGAGGAAAATCGTTTGGTGGCCTTCGCTCTTCGCGCCTGGCACGCGAAGGTGCCCTCGCGCTCCGGCGCCATCGCTTCGAAGCGGAAGTTCTCAGTCGGGGCGCATCTGGGGGTGGGTCCAATCCAGAGCGCCAACTTGTAAAGTGCCAACCGATCTTCTTGCAAACCTCCTGGAACTCCTAACATGGACCCATTTCGCGGGGAAAACCGAATTGGGACCAGCACTTGCTGCTGGGTCCAAAGGGTCATGGTCTTATCAGGCCCACTCGGGAAGCGGGCCAGCCCAACGTGAGTTCCAAGCCCCAATGTTACCAGGGCGAAAAAAGAGCTAGCCCAAGTCCGGGCACATCTATATCCTGGAAAAACATGAACACAACCCTTCTGATATTTTCAAAGGAAAACAAGAAGCGTTTTTGTTCTTCAGCAGCTAACACAGACAGATCAACAGCATCACCTCTTTTCGGCATCCCTCGCGTCAGGTGCTGACCATGGATCAAACTCAGGTTACCGGGATGCTAAGTTCAGTGGGCTGGCCCAGGGCCTAGGGAAAACCACTGACATGATTCGTTCCAGGGAAGGAAGCCTGACGGACATGGAACCCAAGCTCGCTGCCGGAAAACTTTGTTTTTTCTTCTTCTTTTGTTCTTTTCTAGTTGGTGCCGGGGGGGGGGGGGGGTATCTGACTGAAACCCTTGACCCAGTCAACTCATCGCGTTCCATGAAGCTTGGGGAAGAAAGAATTCACCTTGAAAAAAGGGGGGGCATCCTCGGGGAATGGGAACCCACAACACATGCTTGGTTTTGCACGGGGTATGGAACCCTTCGCAAAACACCCCCTTTATCCCTTTCACATCAACCAGGTCTATTGATCTGTTTTCGAAATGAAATTCTACACTTTTCGGCAAACACCTCGAAACACTTAACCCGGGGTCGACCTTGTCCCACCAGTGGATTGGGACGAAAAGGGCACACCTTTTTTGGGGTTACCTAGACCCTCAAACTACCCTTAGAAAAGCAAGGAGTTCACCCCATAACATAATCAACTTTGGGGCAAAAACCCATTCTTGATGAGGGTAGTTTGAGGGTCCAGAGGTCCCGCCACCAAAAAAGAACAAGAGAACAAGACCCCTACGGGAGGTCTGGATGAAAGGAACCTTCGGCGTCTGTCAGCGACCGAACGAAAATCCTTCAGCTTTGATCTGATTGGACAAACAAACAAGCGGGGATACAGAGGGAGCGGGGATATGGGGGGATTCCCCTGGCGCCATTTCCCAGAGACTTAGTCAAGGTGCATTTAGGGGGAATCCTCCCGTATCTCTGGCTTTCCCTGTATCCCTGCTAGTTGGTTTCCCTGATCTGAGGCATCGGCATTCCAACTGCCCGCCACATAATACTTTGCCTGCGAAATCTTCGGCTTCGAAAGAAGGCGCGCCCGAGCCCCGGGGAAACCACACGGAGAACCACTGCGCCACTTTGGATCCGGATGCCCAAAGGGAGCAATCCTCTTTTCCAAGGTCTGCTTCAAACACCCTTCGTGAAAGGCAAACCTAAGGAAAGCAACATGATAGTCCTACCAATTTAACTTGTGCGTTCTTTTCAACGTTTTCGGAACGGCAAGAATCGAGCAATGCACCGAGACATCAGCCGTCGCCCTTTCTACCGAGTCATTGCAAGGAGCTTCCGTTTCGAAACCCCAGCGGGGTTTAGGAGCGAATAAGAACCTGAGAGGTGGTACAAGCAGCAAAAGCAGACCGGTCTCTTAGGCCGTCTGTTGGCCTTTTACCTAAAAACACCACGCAACCGGCTGAAAGGACCCGAGAAAGAAAGAGCGGGAAGTGCCACGGATCGAATTACCTGGAGTCTCCTTGTGAACCTTCCATGCCATGAGTTCTGTCTGTGGGTGACCCCAGTTTTCAAGGGTCAAGCCTCCAGGTAGGTGGTTGTCCGCTTCAAAGCGAACGTCCGGTCGTGGAACGGTTCCGCTCCGCAAATTGCATGTCGGGTCAGCATTTTGGGCATGCTGGCCTCTCTAGATGAAGTGTCAGAAGAGTCCAGCAGTGACCTTGCCCACTTTCCAAGCTCAGCGCGGTCATTGTGGTCACATCATCGCCACCTTCCTCTCTACATGTTCCATGACAACAAAAAGAACGCTTGATATTTTCAAGTTATCTGCTCTGCTGCAGAAAGAACACCCCAGGCAGCCAGCACCCCCCCCCCCGAAGCAAGCTACAATTAACCTTGAAAGCAAAAGCCCGATTCCAAATAGGCATGTGTCAAATTAGGCGGACCCCAACAATAGTACTACTTGGATACCACTTATGGCCGTTACACCAGCCTAAAAAGGGTACCTCAAAACAACTATGTGTAGGGGTCTCAATTCTGAACACATTCCGCAATATTCGCAACGTATGGAAATGAAGTAGATGCTTTATGTTACTTGAACGGCCTACATGACATTGATTTGTTTTTTGTTCATGTCAACATACATGTTTAAGCATTTATGCATGCAACCGTCTTTTCAGTTTACTCTGGTCCCAATGGCCCAATGTTCAACAATTCTCCACTCTCTTCACCCACTTCTCTTCAGCAACCGCGCATTTCCCCGCGTCAAGATCCACTCGTCGTTTTTGTTTCTCCCCCCTCCTGAAGAGAAGGGAAACCGGAGGCCGGATGACATGGGCCCACAAAAGCCAGGTGTTCGTTGGTTGCGACTCACAAGTCTTGCTCGTGTGAATGCAACTAAGCTTGTAAACAAGTCCAACTAAAAAAGTGAGAAAGCATGAACAAATGTGCTGAGTGTTGAGTAGACCCAAGCCTTTTGGTGCCCAGAAGCTCCACTGTTGCGAACCAAGACCTCATTCATCGCCTCGGGGCCTTTCAGCGCGAGCTGCCCGGGGCCGGGCGCCTCCGAAAGGGAAAAATCCGCGAAAGGAGCCGAAACACGGGAGCTCAATCTCATATGCCTGTGGGTAAAAAATTGGGTAACCCCAACAAATGGCTTGCCCTGGTAAATGGAACCAAGGACTAAAACCTCCGTTCCCCTATTTGTTTAATTTTGACCCACACCGATATACTCCATGCCTTGGTTGACCTTGGAAGGGGAGCAAACATCTGAGTTTTTAGCAGTTAAGTGGGGATTTCCCACTAAACCACAAAAAGCAAAAATGGGAAAAATGTATCTCAACAACAACCACTATGTGGGGTACATACCAACATTTCACCTATTTGGACACCTGGATCCTAAGCCGTCTAGGCAGCCCTTCGCTATTTTATTTTTGAGGCGTTTGAACCATTTGGAGGGAAGCTGATTCTTGTCGCAGTGGATCCGTATTGACCTGGTCTTGCAGGTGATCAAGGGCTTGAACCACAGGATACACAAGCCAAAGGGAAATAGCGAAGGGCTGCCTACTGGGATTGACGGGGACAAGCATGAGCTTCCTCCGATTGGTTTGGATTGCTGGTTTGGTGGTGGAGGGGGTTCCCATTTACCCTCTACCATGTCTTTTTTCTTTTGGTATCTCTTCAAACCCAGGTAAACAAAAAAAATATCTCCGAGCCTTAAAACAGCACACGCCCAAAAGGTGAGCCAGTGCCCGATCCGCCTGCAGCTTGGTCCACGTAACAGTCCGCCACTTGCCGGCGATGTGCAAGCCTCAACCGGACTTCTGACACCAAAACCGCAAGGTATGGGGTGTGATCTGAAGTCCGCCCGATGGGAAGCCGGTCTGTTTGTCAGGAAACGCATGTGACAAACAGAATAGTCCCGAGTGTTTAAGGGGCCAAAATGAATTCTGGCAGCAAACCGGAAGTAAAAAACCCTCAAAAAGCTTGAAGGTGCCACGCTATGAAATCCCCCGGATCGACTTGGCGGCCTTTTGGTGGGTTTAGACATAGCTCCCTAGAAAAGGATTCGGTTTTGTTTTGGAGATTCTAACCATTTCTATGTCCATAATCCACCCAACGAAATGAGGGTGCTGAACACGCATGCTCCAAAGGGTTCCCGACATCCACTGACAAACAAATGCCGCGGATAAATAAATAAATGTTTTGCTTTTAATAAATATGTTTGACCCAAATGCAGCAAACACATGAAATAATATCCCTGCCATTCGTATGCCCGCAAGACACTTCGGGTCTACACGGCCTGTACAGCAAGATCACCGCGTACCTCCCCCCCTCCAAGCAAATCTGGACGGTTCGGGGACTCTCCGCGAAGCCGGACGAATTGCTTACAAGCCAACAGGAAAGCGCCTGGTTTCTCCCGACTCCATCGGTTCGCAGATAGTGGCAACCTCAACCCCCACAAAACTTCCGGAGCCTTTGTTGTGGGGTAAGCTCTTTTGGGTAAGATTTCAAATTGAACCCCCCTTTGGGAGCACCGGAAAACTGCCTGGAACTTGTGTGGGGTAAACCCCATGGCAAGACCCCCAGGGAAAACCATCCACCGATCCCAGCACTCAGAGCCCCCCAACGGATGCGGTACTGCTGACCCGGCATGCCCTCGTCCTGAGATGAAGGCAGGCATCTGAGAGGCCAGGGCTCCGGGAAATATTTGTCGCCTCGTGGTTTAAGTGGGGACCCCCTTTTGGGTTGCTGAAAAAAGGAAAACCAATCGGAAAACCACAATGATTGGAACGCCCCCCTATTTTGTCAACACTCCTCACGTGTTTTGTGGGCGTTCTGTTGGGTTACTCAAGGGAAAGCAAACGGAAACCCTCTATTTTGACACAGTGGTCAAAAGTCCTCACATCAGTCATGGTGGATCCTGAGTAGTAACCTTACATTGGCCGTCTAAAAGCCTCTATGAGGCTGATGCCAAACCCGAACCCCAAGTACAGTACCGTGGTATATGTCCCAACCCCTCACGGAGGAAACGAGCTTCAGCGTGGCAACAGGTGGTGCGTGAACCACTCAAAAGGAAATACATAGCGAACCCCGTGACATCGGAGGCAAATGGGCGGAGTGAAACTCCAGCTGAAGTCAGTGCCCCAGTTTCTCTGCTTATGCTGAAGACTATTGGGCAAATGATAGCCACGCCATTAGATTGGAATCCGATGTTCAAAGAAACCAGCCCAAAATATGTACCGGAAGCGGGAAAAAAAAACTGGTCTTGGAGATTGGAGAGTGAATTTCCTCCGGCCTATGACATCTTCGTGGGAGACCACCTTTCAGTATCTCACTTCACCCGGGATGTCTTTGTTTTCGGGAAACGGGATGTCTTTGTTTTCGGCAAACTCCCCCCCACAAAAAAAACAAAAACACAAGCGTTTGCTTTAAACGCCACACAAATAGGGCCCCTCAAGACACACATGTATATAATATTATATATATACACTATAATAATAATTTCATCCGTTCACCAAAACACAACGTCAGGTACCGAAAGGCACAAGCCATCCTTCGGTTGTCTGTCAAGGACACCCTAAAGAAGGCCTAAGCCCTAATTCCAACAGGACAAACCAAGTTATGCCTCAGTACTAAACACAGCGCATGTTGCGGGCAGCCGGGTCCATAATATAATGCCTGGTTTGCCGCGGAGAAATTCAATTGTGCAGCGCTTCCAGAGCTAAATTGAGCAACAACTGCACTTGCCCCGCATAAAACATGCACAATCATGGTTCTCTATAATACAGGACCCGGTTCCCAAAACTTTGGCTGTCGGGTGCTCAGGTATCCCCAATCTGAGTTACCCTCATCCAGAATAGGACAGCACTTCAAACACTCGCTTGCCGTCCTCAACCATGAGGCTGTATCCCCAGACCTTTGGAAAAAAACATTGGGCAGTGAAAAAGGGGGCCACCATGTGATTGATCGTAAAATAGCGCCAAATAAACGAGGCATGCTTTCTTCAAAAAATACGACAACACCGCGCTAGTTACCGTAAAGGACAAAAAACGGGAAGCCAATGACCGGGTCCCACTGGTCCCAGCAACCAACGGATCGACCGATTCGCGACACCTCGTTCTTGTACTCCATCGGCTCCTTCTCCGCCAAGGCGCTAGAACCTGCGGGGTGAAGGGTGTTGGGTCTCAGCTCCGATCGCGTGGATTCAGAAAAAGCCCAAGAGCGGTGAGGGGTTTTGGGGCGTCTCAAATCCGATCCAGATTGGTCAGAAAGTGGATTGGTCAGAAAACTGTTTTTTTTTCGTTTACCTGAAACAAGTATTGCCAAGTTTCATGTTTGCCACTAAAATGGTAACTACCCACCAAGTGACTGAAGTCCAGAAACTCAGAAAGTGAGGTGTGTGATGATGTCGATGCTTGGGTGAGGCGCGGTGCCTGTGTTTTGGGGTGTTTTTAAAGGCAAACCAAAGCTGCCCTCCCCTGTTCCTGGGCTCCACGATTTACACTTGATATGGGTCTGTCTGCTTTGAGGTTGGACCCCCCCTTTTGGATTCCCTTTAAAGCCAATCTACAACTGGTACCCTCAAACAAGACCCACCCTTGTAGTTTGTCATATCCCAGTGAACCCTTGGATATCGCAGACCCTTGATTGAACAAGCTCGTCCCAGCCCCTCGGCTTCTATCCCATGGATGCCGCTGGGAAATCCCTGTGGCTGACGGGCCTTTTCGTGTGACCGTCCCTAACAAACCCTTCATGAACAACTTCCTTCCGGATCGGATCCCGCGAGCGAGGCCTTGCCTTGATCTGCGATGGCGCGAATCTGCGCAGTGAAAGGCCGGCCATCCAAGAACCAGGTGCTGTCCTGTCGTCAGCTTCCCTCGGATTGGGTCCTTCCAGTGACCCTCTGTCACATTGAATGGGGATTCCAAGCAAAATCTCAGAAAATGGCCCAAATACCCCAACTATCACCTTACCCCCAATTGGTGGTTTAGATTGGTGGCGTGGTTGCGGGATTGTTTCCCATTTACCCTCGAAGCCAGCAGTTTGAATTAAAAACCATGATCCAAGCCACCAACTAAGGGTTACCTGAAACCCAGTTGCACTTGCACCCGGGTCCCAGCCAGAACCTGCTCTTTTGACAGTTGGGATTTGGGACACGAGAAAAAGCAGGCAAGTTGGGGAGGTAGGTCTTCATGCTCCAAGTTCCAAATGCCTCCCCGACGCGTTTGCGGGTTAAACATCATGCACGAAAAGAACCCGTGGAACTCGGGGTGGTCTTCACCCCTAGTCTTGGCGGGTACTTTGAATCCCCAAAGTGACTGGTGGAAGCGTATCGCCAGCGCTGTCCCAAGATGCGCTGGATTCGATGGCCGTTGCTGGGCTCACTCCCCCGACATCGAACCACCATCATTCTTGTGCGAAGAACGGGCCCAGGTCTTTGGCCCAAAGAAGCGCTGGGGCCCAGAGGAATGGACCAAGAAAATCAGTTGAACGAGGACTGGGCCAAAAGAATGGGCCGAAACCCTTTCTGTCAAGCTTCAGATCTAGTCCTTTGGTCTGAAGAGTCGCATGATCGATTTCGCCTTGTATTCCTTTAGGAACCATTCGACATGTGACATGCACCACCCAAAGGGATCATGGATCATGTATGCCACTTGGCCCAACCGGGTTCAAAGAAATAGATGTTCGGGATTCTTGCTCATAGGTCAAGATTGAAACACGAAAACACGGAACAAGATATTGGAGAAGACTCAGGGCAGCTGCCCGGGAAGTTCTGCATGAACAATTGCCCGAATGGGTATGTCAATGTATGAAAATAGGGCCACCCCATGATGCTTTCCTTGGGTTGATTCTCTGAACCAAGGTCAAAAGGGTATCTTTTGCCCACAGCCGAGTCAACCCCACAAATCTTGCTTTTGTTTGCTATCACAAAGATCGGCGACCCCAAACATCTGGCTTTGCTTGCCCTGGCCCACAAGTGGCTAGCTAGAGACGTTAGAATAAGGGTACCAACTTTTTCTGTAGTCTATTCTAGTAGGGGAACCCGCCCCCAAAAAAGAAACGGTAAAAGGACACTACTGGGGGACCTAGTTTCCTTTTGGCTTCCCCTTTGAACCAAAGTCCAGTGCGCACCTTCCGCCTCAAAGAACACGCGCGCGCCGCAGCCGCCGACCGAGTCGATGGCCTGCATGACCTCCTCCGTGCGTGTGGGGCCAAAGACCTCCGTCCCCTTCGGCGCCTGGCCGTGGCGTCCAGTGGGTGGGGCACGGGCGGGGGCGCTGGGATTTTTTAGAGGGAAATCCCACGGAAACCAAAGGCATATACAGTGTTTTTCTCCGCCGCTTCGCGCCGTTGAGCAACCGCCGCCTGCCGAAATGCCACCTTCGAAGGTCGTGCCATGGTCCAGGACAAGTTGTCGCTTGCACGGAACAGTTGCCCTTTGGACGGGTAAAATATGGCCGTTTCGAGTTGGCAAGCGACCTGAGATGCTAAACTCGGAGAAGGGCTATTTCGCCAAAGAAGCGGCATCTCCATTAGTTTTAAAGCAAGCAGCACCAAGCAGCAGAGCAAATGCACACTCCGGGAAGCCACGGTGCATGTCGACCACGGATGAGTAAACCCTTGGGTTTGTTGGAAGATATCACGTCGGGCATCGGATTCAAACTCTGCAAATGGTTGCGGCAATCACTTGCGCACTGCTGACCCTCAATCTCTCGCACACCTGTAGACTCCACCAGACTCCAAAGCGCCAACACGGATTCCGAAAGCATGCCCTTGGCACAGGAGCATTGAGAGACAAGGATGGACTAAGATTAATACTTTCCGTGCCTGAGTCCATTCAAAACAAGCCCGTCTCTTGGTGAAAACCGCTGGAGCCTTGCGTCCTGGGTTGCGCAGATTGTGTCCATTGAACAACCAAACCCTGGCCGGGGTCTGTACCAGCACCCGCCAACTTGCAACTGCTTTATCAATGTCCAAAAGCCCCCCTTGATACTGTAACCAACAAGCAGTTGTGACGGGTTGTTCCCAACAACTGCTCTTTCCCATGTCCAAACTCCCGAGTATTGTGACCAAAAAGCAAATGTTGGGGGGTGCTGGTAAGGGCACCAAAATGGGCTGGCCTCCTTGCTTCCCCAATGAAAAATCGGGCCCCGCACCTTGTAGCGCTGAGGGTGCAGGACCTCCGCCGTTTCAGACCGAAAACGCGGTCAAAAAGCAACGAGTTGTTGCAAGACATGGCAAATTGGGTGAGTCCCCAAATTTGGGGCGTATGCCCCTGACATGGTACCCAACCACCATTTCCAAGGAAGAAATCCATTTGGGGAAGCCCGTTTGGTTTGGGTATGCCCCTGACTGACCTGGTACCCGACCATTTTGGAGAAAATCCACTAAGGCTCCCCCACCTTTTGGTTCCAAGTTGAGAAGAGTATTTTAGCGAGTAATCTCCAATGGGTCGACTGGCAGACTACTTCGAGCTTCCAGTCCGATTCGCAAGTTGAACCGAGGCTTGCTCCGAAGACCCAGACCTTTCGGGTGGATTGAACCAAACATGGCACCCACGGCAGGAAAAGAGCGTCACCAGCAACTGGGATGATCCAAAGATTGAGAAACTTGGCACCAAAAGTGCCGGTTTCCACTTCCCAACCTTTTTTGGATCAGCAAAACGCGTGTGTTCTGCAAGCAACTTTGTAAACATGAAGAGAACAAAGGAAGCAAACAACGCAACATCAGCAAGAACAGTGGTGTCTAGCCTACCCCTGTGCAACGCTGGCGACTAGGCTGGCGCAAAAGCGCTTTGGGTTGCGGGGTTGGGCGCGTACGCATGCCACTCCTGCTGACTCAACACTCGAACCTAACCCATGAAAGCGACACCCAGCATTCAGGTGATGCAACAACTCGGAGTTTGCTACAACCATTTACAAATGGTGGTTTCACACACAACAATTTCCTCTGAATTGACATTCTTGATGGAAAAGGGCAGATTGGGAAACCGCCAGTTGTAAATGCTTGTTTCAGGTTCCAGGCCCAAAGTAAGATTGAACTGAACCCCAACCAAAATCGGACTTGTCATCGACGAAAGTGAGAGCCTCCCAGGCCCTGATGTTTGGGACTCCGATGGGGAATCCCGGAGGTATCGAACCACTCAGCAGCCAACGACCAAGACCAGAGCTTCTGAGAAAAATAAAAGGCAGTGATCAAGCAAAGAGCCCAAACCAGCTGGTCTGATCAAGGAGATCAACTTATTAATGTCATTTGCCAGCTACGAAGCAAACCTCGGGAGGGTACCGCTATGCTCCCTCTGTTTGCTTCATCGCTGCGATTGCGTGGTGCATAGTTGTTGAATACCTTGTCCAGTGACCAGCGTACCCTTCGATGCCTGACCCTGAAAAGAAAGGTGGTAGGGAGAATTCCTGCCTCATGGCATCCGGGCAGGTGGAACTCTGATTTGTGGCCGTACATTCATGACTTTGGTTGGTGCTTAAGCTCCCCACCACCGACTCTCCCGATTCCCTGAAGTAGGGGCATAGCGGGTCCATCAGCTACAGGCAACAAAAAAGGGCCGAAGCCAAGCTGCACCGGTTTCTTCAACATGGATCCCAAATCCAACCGGCCATCCGCAGGATACCTACAAGGGAAACTACAAGTGTGTGTGCTTCGGATTAATCCGAAAGCCCGTACTAAATTCTCATCAGGGCGCCCGTTTTAGAAACAACATTATCTGTTTTAGGGGAATTCGCTGACTAGTAGGGTCCTCCAGAACAGTCCGAAGTGAGCATTATAGTCTTGGAAGGACCCAGCTAAACACAAGCTAAAATCGCCTTGTGAATGAATGCACTGAGGTACCCTTCCTTGTCATGTGTCAGCTTCTCATCTGTATCCAGCCGCCAATAATTACAGGGTCTTATCTCAACCCCCCTTCAAGCTATGTTGTTGGGAAGACTGCTTGATTGGTTGCTCACAACCCGTCTTCAAACTATGTTGTTGCGAAGACTGCTTGACGGTCTGATGGATGTTTTCTTCTCGCTGAGTCGGCTGGTCACTTCCGATGCCTTGGCGTAGTTGTTGTCGATGAGGAGCTGGAATTGCTCCTCAGTTCTCAGGTGCGTAGGGCAGCTAGCGCTCAAGGCCGAGCTGCGGACTTTGCTTCAAAAAGGAAAGCAAGAAAAACAAGACATAAAAACACATGGATCAAACTGTTTCGTCTCTTAAGGTTCAATAAGCCAACTGCTCATGTTCAAACTCTTGTCACTCCTCATGATTAGCCGTGCGCTGCTTCCAACCACTTGCAAGCCAGCCTGCCCCATGTGTGTGACAAGCAAAATACTTTCGAGCATCGCAATGGACAAGATGCCAAGGTTGCCTTGACTGGTCTGAAATCCAGGTCGTCTCAATCCAGAAGCCAGATGCCAAATGCATGTACTTTAAGTAAGCCCTGGCCCGGTCTCTCTGGAGCTTTCTATATTGGACCTCCCAACCAGACGGGAGGTCCAACCCACGGACACCTCGCCCGAACCCAGCTCTCGCCCGAAAGCCGAACGGCGTGTTTCCGGGGCTCTGGGCCCAACGAGTGTCGCCCACCGCCAAGGTGAAGCCGTAACCTCGAGAGCTGCTCGAAACTCGAGGAAGACCCCAGCCAACATGGAACCTGACAGGTGGAAATCCATTCTCCTTCTAAAGAAAACCGGGTCCCGAACGTCAGGTTCCATGTGAAAAGATGGAGGGTAACAGGGGGCACTAGATCTCCTCAAAAAGTTGATCAATCTACTGGTGGGGTCGATTGAAAGTGCAACTTTTCGGTTGCCCCCTGTATGAGGATGGATGGCCAATTTCATGGGTGCTTAAAAACCAAAGGTTTCAAGATGTTCCCTGCGCGTTGCTGCCTATGTGTTTCCCTGCCTGGCCTCCTCCCATCAGGGGTTGTCCATCAGGAGGCAAACAAAGGGTTCCCTGTATTGCACTGCCCACGCGTTTCTCCTGCCTGGCCTGCCACCATCAACGATATTTATTTTGGGGGGGGGTTCCAAAACGAGGTAAAGCCTTTATTTCCCTGCATCGCGCAGCCTATGCCTATGCTTCCAGCCTGCCTCCCTCAAACTGCCTCTTGCTTTTCTTGCACTAAGCTGTGCAACCAAACAAAATCAACGATCTGTTGATCTGGTCTCACAGTTTGCACTACAACCCGTTTACAAAACAACAATTTTGGCCCGTTCAAGGGCCCTCCGATATGCGAAGGGGGGGGGGGCCAATATGCAACAGCCATATTGGCAATCTATATACAGGGCAGAAGAAGGCCAGAAGAAGGCCCCTGAGGGCCCTACCAAGTTTCCAGACCCAAACACTCCACCCACATTTACCCTCTAAATTTGTCAAATATGGACTGTGTGGGAGAACTTTCTCCCGAACAGAAGGCCCAAACGGGCTGTTGGGAAAAAATCCGCGAGATTCAAGTATGCTTCAGCAAATGTTGAATCGTGGCGATGCATGCAAGGAAGCCATACGCCCAGTCACATGCGTATGTTTCCCCGTCGGACTCGGACGTGTTGCTTGTTCAGTTGGTTGCAGGTGCAAACTCTAAAGGAACATAGCACGTTGGCTTTTTATGGCTAAGCAAATTAGTATCCCCAGTGAAAGAGCTCAACAGTGGTGCTTTCTCATTGGGTTGTAGAACAAACCTTTGAGGGAAAGAGTCTGGCATGCGGTTCGGCTGGGCGAGAAATCCGCCAGTTTAGTGTTGGGTTGGCCTATTCTAAAAGTAGAATTGGGAACCCGGCTGTCGGGGCAAAACCGTATTTATTAATATGGTGCATGTATTCATAGGGGAAAGGGATTACCACTCACCTTGAGAGCACACACGCCGCTGAGCCTCTGCATGCTTGTATGTTGTCGAGAAGCACATTCCACATGCCCGCGATGTCAGCGACGAAAGAAAGCTATGCGTTCCGCGGAAGGTGCAATGTTGGTGTTCCATGATTTGCCGGCCTCAAACAAGGGACCCAAGCAATCACACATCTTGGTCGCGTCACCCCCTCCCTGCCCCTTGACATCGCTTGGCCTTGCAAAAGAATATCATTTCATCAGGAACCCCTTGTGGACATGTAAGTGAGGATTTAATGAAAGGACGCGCCCCGATTAAGAGTCAAAAATCCTATCTTACACAAACACCAAACAGCATGCTTTTCCAGCGCACGGCTGCGGATGTTTGGCCCGGAAATCCGGAGGCCCGCACAGCCGTCCCCTTCATCCTGGCATCGTCAGGGTTTGAGAAGGGGATCTGGAAGGGAACCCGAAACCGGGGAAAACGGGATCGCCCGTTTAGCGGTCCTCCTTCGCGGGAAGGAAACGAAGGGCCCCCCCACCACCGGGTAAGAAAGGTCTGGAAGGAAGCTTCTAAGAGGGCTGCTTAGGATTCTAAGTCTGGGGGGTAGGGTGCAAATGCCTTTGCCAACCGTTTTAAGATAAGTAGAGGCAATTCCTTCAAGAGAGTCTCTCTCTACCGAGAGGCTTGGAGGGATTTTGGGCCGGGTCAGCAGCGAGCCAGTTGATCTGAGAACTGTTTCATGCCACCATGTCAAGTTAAACTTGTTAAGGGGTCACCGAATTTCATTCGGGATGTAGTTTAAACAAGATTGATGTCCGCGAAGGTTCAGTTGGTTCCGAGTACAGCAAGGTACCAATGCTGAAGGTGACACTTCTCCTGATTACAGGACTCTTGTACCAATCTTCTCCTTCACCTGAAGCACCCACTGCATCTCAGGACATAGTTCTGGGTTGTTCGTCCCAGTGGCCGCCCGCATGCACCACGACTTGACAAATGATGCTGCAAAGCAAGTCGTCTCTTTGCAAAGTATAGCAAATAAAGACCTCAAGATTGAGGAAGTCCGATCCAGGGCCGCATCGTCCTCGCTGAGACAGATGTGTGCTAGAAGCAAGGGATTGCACAACTTGCCGTGTGGAGCCTGCCTGGCTGCCAAAAGAAGACGTGGAATTCCTTTTGGGACGAGATAGCGACCATGGGGCCATTTAGCGCCCAGCTGCTTTACAAAAAGCTTGGTCTTACGTCTGGAGCCCCAAGATTCATCCAGTCTAAACCAACTGACACCAGGGCTGGCCAAAATATGTTGAAACAATCCTTGGTTCACTTTAGGAGGTTGCTTAAACAAGCGAGGTTTAGGTATACCAAGAGTTCCCACGGGGCGGGCGAGGCACATACTTGATTACACTCCTGCAGATAAACATACTATGCAACCAACGAGCAGCTGAATCTCATAAAAATAGGATCCCGCAGCTTTTGGCTTCCACGATCAAAACACGGGCCCTGTCCAGCACCTGGGTCCCAAGCCCTGCTTTTGGACACACTGGGATGGCCATGGGACAAAGCAGTTGGATGCTGGATGTGAGTGCGTCCTTCCTTAAGGGTGCCACTTTTTGGTTGTTAAAAAAACGCAAGAACCAACCCATCATTTTGGTGGTCCCCTATTCTGAGACACCACCCTGGTGAGTTTCTGCAAACAAAAGCGGGAGCTCGATCTCACCTCGGCTGAATCGAATCCGTCGCCTCCATGGGCTCCGGCTGAGTCCAACCGCTCCAAGAGCCGATGATGAAGAAGCCCCTGCAGAGGGCTGTGGTTGCGCTTTGTCAAAAATAGGGTAACCCCCAAATGGGTTGCTCTGGTAAATGGATACCATGACTATAACCTGCAGTTTTCTGGTTCAGTGTTGACCCAAACCCACAGAAAGCTGGAACACAACTGGTTGCTGTCCTCAGATCCCCCGCTAAAAGAAAATAATGTTTAGTGAACGATTACGGAAACTAAAACGCCAACCAAAAAAACCTAAAAGACTAAGAAAACGGCTAAAAGCAACGAAGATAAAGCTTGTTTGGTGTGCTAATGTGTCTTTTTTGGGTGGAAGCCTTTTTCTTCTTCTGTGATTTCAAAGTGGTGGATTCCTTATGACCACCATCATCCGCGATCACATTCAAGCATTTTCCTTGTCGCAGAAAAGCTCCCCGACCATGACTGGGCTCCAGTGGAAGACATCAAACCGCTTGATTCACAAGGGATATGCGGTGGGTAAATGTGTTTTGTTGAACAATGTGTATCCTTTAGCAACCACCTTGGAGATATAGCCGGGCCCGCCAACAGTCCATGTGATGAAGTACAAGGGTTCTACCCCTTGAGGAACTTTCCGGGTGAGGTCGCACCAATTATCCGTCCTTCAAGTCGATCTAGACACGTCCAATTGCCTCTGTCTGACCTGATTGGCTCCGCTTTTTTGGGCATCTCTCAAGTCTGGATGCCATGACCTTGTGCCAACGGTAACATCGCTATGTTGGGGCCCGGTTCGAACTCCCACTTTGAGACACAGCCATCGAGGCAAAGCGGAACGAAGCCATGGAAGATGAGGGGCTCAATATCAGAATGCACCAAGCCAATGGGCAAGCGCCTGAAAAAAAAGAGCCATGGAACCAAACGGATGCAGAAGAATATAGCCGCCCCTTGCCAGGAAATGATTCAGGCACCTGTCGCAAGTCGCGAAGGCGTCACAGTTGCCTCAGATGTAGCCTCTACATATCATGTTGGCGGCGACCCCAGAAACGCCGAAACACAAATGAACCATATATTTGAAGGGTGTGGGTTTCCAATATCGGTGAGTCAGTCAGCCGTGTTTGAACTGCACCTTCAGAACACCAAGCATAACACACTCGGACACCAACCAGCTGCCAACGCCAGTTGCCTAGCTCCCCCAACAAAGTATGGTCTAAGCGTGCAACTCTCCTGCAACACAAAACCAATGAGACCCTTCCGGCGCTTACATTCGCATTCAGAGAACCCCCGTCCGTTGTTGGAGCTACCCCCAAAACGAAAACGACAAGGGGCCGCCGGAACACGGGGAAAACCGACCGCCGGACCACCGCCCGGCGCGGCCACTTCTTCGCGCCTCCGGGGACGGCTCATGCTGCCCAAATCACCGCCGCCGCTGGGCCAGTACGAGAGCCTGGCGATGCCGTGAACCGAAGTAGCCCAGGTATCCCCAACAGCCCAAAGGAAACCCTTTCTGGAACCCTCTTTGGAGGAAACCAAGGGAACGGACATTTTTGGCACCAAATCTCATTTGAACCCTCCCTGCAAGCTGCCCCAATCCACCCCGAACGAGCCTATCTGTGCAAGGACCCCATAGCTTCCAGCTGTTGGGGAGAAACCAAACAAATGAAAAAAACAAAAACAAAAAACCTAAACTGATGTTGAAGAATCCTAAACGGAAACTCAATGCCTTGCAAACAAGAGGCTGCAAAATCCACATTGAGAGAAGGAGAAACAGGTCAGTTGGCATACGCAATCAATGTGCAGAAGCAATGCAAATTTGGAGGTGTTCCATGGGGCCACAATTGGGGGCTTGGGGGTGCGAACTCATTCTTCAACTAGGTCTAGTATAGAGGCTAGAATTGGGGTACCCTTTTTCTGTAGTCGATTTTGGTAGGGGAACCCTCCCCAAAAAAGAAACGGTAAAAGGGCACTGCTGGGGGACCTAGTCAATAGAAGACATACATGTTTCTAAGCGTACCTCAACAAGTATGGGTAAAGAGAAGCGACTCGGGACTGGGCTTCCGTGGACATCCCCAACTCTTCCTGCTCCCACCTTCCAACGTCACAAGAACCTTCTCTGAGGGGTTTAATCAGGGCTCGCGAGTGTACTACTTCCCAAAAGGAAGGGTCCCCCAAAATGGACATTCCTCTGCAAATTGTGTTTATTAGGGCTTCATGTTTATGGAGACTATAAGTGTCCCTAAGAGGGCGGGTAGGAGCTGTGCTTGATTGGCAGGACATGCAGCATGGAAACAAAGGAAGTCCAGGTTACTCGTTGAGGGCTTAGGCGTATATTTCTATCATGTGTAAACCTGAAAACACAAGTCCCACCCCTGCAGTTAGTTTCGGCTTGTTTCCGTGTGAGTGCAGCGTTTAACTGCTTAAACCTCCAATATGTGTATAATCCAGGTTCCCTGAAGATGCGAAGCGTGGCTCCTTTTGAGCGGCGCCCAATGGAGAAAAAATCGAGGCCCTGAACCGGCCCACTGGGAATTCGCGCGAGAAAAACCCAGTCCTTGGTCTCAACTCCTGAGGAGTCGGTTCAGGAGGCAGTCGGATCTCCTGCGCGGAAGAGCACGCGAGTCTTTGAATGCCAAAATCCACACTAAACATTCCACGCCATTTGCGTGTGCCTCGTATTTTTGACCCTTTTTAAGGTTGAAGGGAAGCCAAATGGACAACCATCATTTGGGAATTCGAAACATACCCATTTACCATTGGGCCAGAAGGGAAGTAACTAGGATCCTTGTGCTTTTCCAAAAAGGCTGCGCCCATGGAACGCGGGTGGGATTTTTGGGAATCTTTTGCAAAACTCTGCTTCAAATTACCTGCAAACACATGAATCAACACTGGGAATCAACCCCATGGCTATGATTTTACGCTGGCTGCCCACAACTCGCCAGAAAGAGGGCTCCACAAGATCTATGACATCATGCGCTATGATTAGACACCTGGTTGTCGGGTCTTCCTGTACAACTACCTAGAAGGACCTAGACCCTCAAACTACCCTTAGAAAAGGGAGTTCACCCCATAACCCATTTTAAGGGTGGTGTGAACGTCCAGGTAGCTGTAACTGATTGTAAGTGTACCTCCTTCCTCCCAGTTCGCTCCGCTCCCATTCCTCGCCTCATCCACGCCGCCATAGCAATGGATGTGAACCTGAGAGGCTGAAAAGAAAAAAATGAGCAATGAGCATAGACGTGAACAACAATGGATGCCTGTTAGCGAACCCTGAGGTACCATCTCCTTCTGTGAGCACGTTGTGGTGGATTTGGGTCCAGGCTTGTATGTCTTGCACTATTGTATAACCCCCGCTAAGCTTGATGTAATCAATCCCGCAGTCATGAAATATGGGGTATTTCCTATCGCTGGAAGAAAGGAACCCCCGCTCAGAAAGCGCAGCCCCCTGCGAATCAGTGGGTTAGTCCTCTATTGCCCACTAAAGATCTCATGTTCAGGTCTCGAGAGGTGAGCCATGTGCAGGAAATCCCACAAGATCCGAGGTTAGGCTCTGGCTGTCCTTTTTTGTTTCGCAACTTTAAACCAACCTAAGGGTACCCTGAATGAAAGCACGCACAACAAAAACACGAAACAACCCCACCAAACCCTCCGAAACCCAAATCACCCTCACCCACATCGGTTTGTCTCCAACCGGAAGCACCCCAAACTCGGTGGCTTCTTCTTCCCCTTCCAGAACACCCCCCAAAAGGCTACCCTCAACCAAACCCCTCCCCAACCCCCCACCCCCACTCCCCCCCACTCCCCCCCCACTCCCCCCCACCCCCCCCACCCCCTCCCCCCCCATCCATCCATCCCCATCCAGCCCCATCCATCCCTCTTCCGAGCGGCGTTGGTGCCGCCGAAGCCCCAGGCGCTGACGCCCATGAAGACCGCGCTCAGCTTCTGCTCAGTGGGCTCCGTGCACATCAGCAGCCTGGCGCATGCCCCGAGGCCCCCGAGGCCCCCGGAGACCTCGGGGTGGACCGAGACATCGGGCGGTTTTGCCTCGGGGCGGTTTTCTCGTGCTTGGAGGGTTTTTCCCGAAAAGAAATTCGGATTTTTGGAAAGAAGGGGGAAGCTTTTTTTTCCCAGAAAACTTGGGCGTCATCTAAACTCGGTGGCGAAATCTGCTCCCCTGCGCAAAGTGAATAACTTGTTGTGGTTGAATGGAAACCCATTTGTTGGCGAAAAGTCAAAGTCCTAACATCCAAGCAAGATGCGCCAAAGTAAATGTTGGTTTCCCGCCAGCACCCGAGGGCGACTGTAGCCATGAATGTAAGTAGTGTTGTCTCCTTTTGGGGGACGATTTTGTTTGATTCTTTCAAGCTCCAAAAGGATAGCCTCGACAGAAACCCACCCACCCCACACCAACACCATTTTAGAACCTTACACCCATGCAGTCCCAGTTTCGGCACACACATGTTATTTTTCCTTTTGACTTGCCTTCAACAAAAAGCCCGAGGTCTATCCTAAAACGCGCACACACACACAGACGCGCGCGACTCTCTCTCTCTCTCCCTCCCCCTCAGAGTCTGTGTTTGCTTCGCTGCTGCTGTTTGTTGCATTCTTGCAGTTGACGATGCAGCTGCTGCTCTGCTCAACTTGAGACAATAAAAGAAAACAAGGCAGACCATATGCTTGCTGTATGTTGTTTCTGGGGGCGCGTGCTTGGCACACCTTCTTCCCACCATCCGCCCAATATTCCAAAGGCAAGATGGGTGAAGGGGAACCGAAAAGGAAGACCGTCGGGCCATCTTGGTCCCGAGTCCTCCCACCAAAAAAAGACGCCCCAACCGCTTGCCAGTTTCCAAACAAACAATTCGGCCGGCGGAACGGGCAGCTGGACAAGTCCAAGTGCGGGTTCAGCTGGTTCAGGTGATTGTTGGCGCACACGATGCCCCACCTGCCAAAGCCGCGAGGCGACGCGGAAATGGGGCTGCAGCATGGGTGCACAGTGTGAAGCATGAAAATAAACGGCGCAAATAGGTCTTGGAGAAACTGGACTCTGTAACTGGATACGTGCATACCGCACATGTAATTGTGGGTGATATATAGTCTGAGCAAAAAGACAGTATGGAAACTGCATTCACAAATACATAAGCTGCCGCACGTCATGCTAAGCAGCTGAACATGAAACCAAGCAATCCTTCAGCTGGCATCCTCCTACCTTCAACCTCCAATAGCTCGACATGTTGCACATCATGCCCCACTCCTCTCATCAGAGCAATTGCAATGAGCCAATGAAACTCATGGCTTGATCGCTGAGTGCGCGAATAGCTCCAGAAAGGAAAGCACTCCTCAGACCTCCAACATGTCTGGACACATCTGGGCGTGGTTTTTGGAAGGTACCCTTTTTGGTGGGTCTCAAGGAAAACCAACAGGAAAGCCCACCAGTTTAACCCGCAGTTCGCCGAAAGAAATGACACAAACTCGGGGACTTGCCCCTGAGCCAGCGAGACCGGCAACACAAAACCGCCAGTTATTGTCGCACCAGGAGTCAAGCAAATTCATTCAGACCAGTGAACCTCAACCCATGTAGGTGACCAGCTATGTTCCGTTTGGTTTTTAAAGGGTGGTTCCCTTGGGTACCTACTAACCAGGTAAATGAGTCCACTAAAAAACACATAAGGACCCGTTTCAGATGTTATTTCAAGGGGACTTCATGCCAACACCAAGAAAAGGCATTTTAGGGGTCACTTGTGCAATAACATGCTCTGTTGTTTGTGCTTGTGGTTGCAAGAAATGAAGTGCCAACATCCTTGGCAAACGCAAGCAAGAAACATCGCCTGCGGCCGACTCGTCGGCCGAGACTCAGAGACTCATTTGGCGCAAACTGTAAGGTGTGAGAGGTGGGCCGTGCCCTGCTTGCAACATGTTGCGAACATCTGCGTTGACCCAACATCCCTGGCCCTTTGCCCTCCCACCAATTGCCATGGAACCTGACAGTGGGGTCCTGGAAGACCATTTTCCTTTTACAGTGAAGGAATACAATGTGAACACGTTGGATGATAGTCTCTACAGCTGTGAGTCGCAAACTGCGTATAGCCCAAACAAAGTCGCAATTTACTTGGCTTCCCCATGAGCCTGCCCAGGTTTCGAACCATAGGTCCTAAAGCAGGGGGTCCCATTGGTGGACCCGGGGATAACCACAAAACTGCGTCACCTTGCCATGGATGTTCCACCATGGGTTCTTGGCCGCCCATTTTTTGCTTTGGATGCCCAGCCCTGGCCGGCGGAACTGAATCGAGGCCTGATGGAGTGGAGGGTCTTGATCATGGAGGCGATGCCCGAGGTCTCGATGGCATTGCCGATGTTGGTCTTCATGCTGCACAGCTGCAGCCTACGCGAGACCGGCGCGTCCCGGAGGCTCAAGGGCAAGGGCTGTGGCTCCGTCTTTGGATCTTTGGAGGGTACCAAAACGGGTGGGTTGCTTAAATCAGAAACATAAAATTGGGAAGTATGTCCAGCACTAGCTCCTCTGTACAACCATGGGGACACAACCCAACAGCAAATCACTTCAGCAAATGGAAGGAACCGGCTTGGGATTGGGTGGTGTGTCCTTTCCTGGAGGGAACCATTCTTTGTGGAGCTCGTGCACAATTCAAGGATTCGAAGCAAAACCACCATCTCTGCCCTTTTTGAGGTTGGTTCAAAGTTGTTCAAAGGGAAACCAAAACCAGCATTAGAGACCCCCTTATTTTTTTCGACATATGCCCACCCAGTGGATTCTCCGATTCCGCTCTGCGCCCCCCGCCCCGTCTTCTTTCTGCTGGTTGGGTGGCTTCCCTTCGACATCAACCAGCTCTTGTGCAACATCAACCAGGAATTTCGCGCTCCCACCCCGTCGCTTCCTTTCGAGATAATAATGAAGCATAATTAAACTTACGTGCGGTGGGGTATTGACCAAATTGAGCCATCAGGGTAAATCATTGATTTTGCCCCCTGATGTCGACCTCGGATGAATAAACCCGTCCTATGAGGGGGGTGTTCCCTCTAGAAGGTGTTGGAGCCCCATCATCCTTGTGTTTAGTGGCCACTTCGCCCAACATAAACTGGGGGTTCATGGTTTATTCATCTGGAGTCAACATTGTCTACCGTGTCTTTGCAGAACTCCCGATACTTTTTGGCAAATTTTGATACGCAAATTTTGATACCCTTAGTCCCTTCCACTAGTTGGTTCTAGCAACTTCACCCCCCATCTTTTAGTGGACACGAAATCAACCAGGGGCCAGCAAAACCAATTGCCCTCGACAGGGACTCCCCGACCATTTTGGGATTCCCGTAAACCCTTATACCCCAACCCGTTAAACCATTTCCCCACCAAACCACTCGAAAAGCCCCTGCTTTGGATCGGTCGGGCCCCCGGCATCTCCGCATCTTCCGACTCCGCGCCGTCGCGCAAAGCTCGGCCACAAGAGGCGGCCTGCATGGGGAAAAACGGGGCCCAACGGGTCAGGAGGGCCCTCCTTACAACAAAGCAAGTGCGCATTGTTTGTACATCATATATATATATATATATGCATGCATGCATGCATGCATGCATGCATGCATGTATGTATGTATGTATGTATGTATGTATGTATGCATGTATGTATGTGCGGGTGTCGACATCATTAATAAACGAAGAGAAAACTACGATATGCAAAGGGAACAAACTCCCACATTCCAAAGGGCACAAGAAAAGCAGAGATAGCACCCCCAAGCAAAAGTGGCACTTTCAGACTACCCACATTTAGTTGCCCTTCACACTGGGTCCCGTCCAAAAGTCGAACGCCAAGCTCCAGCCAAAGGACCTAAAAAATCAGAGAACAGTGGTCCCTCAAAAATGGCCATGGGTCAAAATCCCGTACCCAGTGAACATCCCAATCTCCACTAAAGTAGACTAAAATGGGTGGTGCACCTACCCCAAAATGGTATCATTGGTTTGGACCCACAGCCAGATGGAATCCAGAATCCAACTACTTGTTGTTGAAAGACGGTTTGGTTGGGTGTTTGCATCTTGGCCTGCCACAATCGCTTGATCTTTTTGTCAACGGATTGATGGCTCGGGCATGTCAACAGTTCCGCTGAAAATCGGTCTCCTCATTATGTTTGGGAACTGCACTGATTCCAACACGTCCTTCCAAACGGCATAACACAAGCAAACGTAGCGCCCCAAAACAAAAGAGGCTCTTTCAGACTCCAGCCCACATCTGGTAAGCCTGGTCTTGTAGGAGTCAGGAGTCTACCCAAAAACGCCCACATCATACAAACAATGGCACAAACGAACACCGCAGCTTTCTTTCCGGTTGTGACTCTTCATCTACCCATGTTTCCATGGGGCGCATTGCAAACACCAGTCATCTCCCCGTCCGATTTGGGATGGACCCCTTTAGCTTTCTATTTAGCAACACGAAAACCAAAGGCAACGAAAAGAAAACCAATTCGGGTTCCCAACCATCTTAGGGAAGCCCACTTTAGGGCACCGATCTTCCTTCAGTTTTCAGTCCTCACTAAACCCGTCACGCCCGCGCTCGGATCCGAGCCGATCCGCAATCCGCTCCGCTCCTCCACCGCATCGGCGATGAAGCGCCCGGAGCCGTGGCACTCCACCACGTCCACGTCCAGGGCCATGATGCCGCTCTTGCGGCAGGCCTCGCTAAGCGTTCGCGTTCGCGCCGTTTGCTCGAAGCCGAGGCAAACCCAGACCACCGGGGCCAACGTCTCTGTGTGTGCTTCTTTTTTTTTGGGGGGGACACCCCAAAATGCCCTTAAATCGAAGACTAACCAAAGAGGGTTCCCCCAACAAAAGACACACCCGCGTGGGGGCCCTCTATAAAAAGACAAATCTAGGGACTTGTGATTGTCTAAAGTCATCGAGAAGCCCATCCCCAGCCGTAACAGTCTTTTGGCCATGGCGCACGTAAATGTGTGGCTCAAAATGAAGCACCCAATATACCGTGGATTCTGTGCATGTTTTTCTAGCTGGGGGTTGGGGGAACCGTACTTTCTGATCCACAGCTACGCGAAAACCGGAGAAAGGTCACCATGCTGTGTCAAGTGATGATAAAACAAAAACCTGGCCAGGTGACCAGTGAAGCCAATAGAAACCCAGCACCTACAGGCAGTTTGCCAAAACAGCAAAAAACATCGGCAAATTTCTCAGCTTTCCAGTGGTGCTAGTTTCCCTTGGACAACATGGGAAACAATGACTGAAACACACATGGAAGTTCAATCCTTGGTTGCTGTTGACCCCTCTGCAAAAAGTTCAACTTGTGGGTCCAGTGGACACTCCATTTCCCAAGAAGTTCACGTCCAAAACACACGTTGCTTCAAATCGCCATATTCTGGAGGCACCGGGACCAAACAGGTCCTGTCCCGTTGGCACCTCTTTATGATCAAATAAATCCTTTCCATAAAAAGGAACGGGCAATAATCAAAAGAAACAAACAAAGAAGAAACATTGGGCCAACAACTGTACTTTATTTGTAAACAAAAAAACTTTGAGCAAACAACGAACACAAAACGCACAGGCCGCGCGCGCCACCCGCCCCACGCGGGCCTCTACGAGCACCGCCTGCTCTGCGGGGCCGTTGGGCGCGCTCCTCGTGGACCCGAAGCGAGCGCCATGGAAACTCGGGGGCTCGCATCGGTTTGGTCTTGGAATGCGTTGGGCATTGCTTTAAATGAGGTTGGCACGTTCATGTTGAGTTGACTTTGACATTGACTTTGAATGACTTTAAATGACTTTGACATCATGTTCATATTGTTGTGTGGCCCTCTTGCCCGTCCCAAAGTGCTGCCTTCCGTTCAAAAGAGCCGGTTTTTCGATGACCAATACCCGTCTCCTTGCTTCAAAAAGCATAAAACAACTAGGACCCCTGGTGCTTTTGGGTAGTCTCTCTCTGCTTTGCCTTTGATACCCCGAAAAGCATAGCCTCAAAACGGACACCGATGACTTCGGTTTGGCGGCGAGCACTTTCGAGGCGCATCTGGTTGCCAGGCATTTCAAGAGGCGGCTCTTCATGTGTCCCCCCCTTTTCCCCAAAGTGATCACCAGGCAAACCTTTCTACCCATGCTAGACTTCTGGCAACCCTTGTCCACGTAATACATTGGTTTCAACGGCCCCTTCAAGGAACCGCAAGACCAGCCTTGGCCCTTTCTAGGGCCCTGTATACAATAACGGGACCGCAGGGTCCCTTCCTTCCGCTAGAGAAAGCCTCTTCTTTCGCCATGTCCAAAGACCAACCTCCCGGGCACGGCTCCTCGTCAGCTGACCAATATGTAGTCAACGTCAAACTGAACAAGTATGACACATCCTAGTTGCTTGTTGATCCCTTGCTAAAGAAACTGGTAGCAAGGTCAAAAGACCCCTCTAAAGTTTAATCGCAAACATCTAGCACTCCAGAACACAGCCAAAAAAAAACAGTTGACACTCTATTCAAAAAAGGCTCAGGTGGGTATTTGATGTACATGGAACCTGGCAGAGGGTCCTGGAAGAACATTTTCTTTTAAAGGGAACCCCTCTCAGGTTCTATGTTGATTGGTGGGAGGGTAAACCAAAACGACAGCCTGCACCAAGACCGGCAAACAGCAGCTGTTTTTTGAGACCCTGAAATCAGACTTCAAGGCCTGATCTGGGCTGTGTTTCTGAGGGTTTCCTTGTGTTGCTTTTTTAAAGCGACTAAAGGGACACGACCCACTCGTGGGAAACACAAAGCGCATACCACCCATTTCAAAAGGTGTGCTGCTTACATCTCTCTTATTTTAAAACCATGAAAAGGAAGAAAACCCTTAGTGACTGATGTCATCTGAAGCGCCCGGTTCATGTTGAGCCTCCCTTCCAAATGCAAACCCCAGAAAGGTTCGTTCGATCGGTTTCGGGGCCCCGGGCATGCCGGCGCTCTTGCCGCTGTTCTGGGTGGCGCCCCCCACCAGCGTTCCCACCGAGGGCACGTCGTCCTTGGCCTGGCAACGAATCGGTCGAGGCATGTGTTCTTCTCCAACAGCTGAAAGCTATGGGATCGATAGGCCCAAATAGGCTCGATCCGGGGTGGCTTGGGGCATCTGTCAGGGAGGCTTCAAAAGAAATGTTCCAGGGGTTCCGCTGTTGGGAAAATACCACCACTGATTCTTGAACGAGGCACTGCTTCGTGAGCCGGGGTCGTGTTTTTAGTTTTGGGGGTTGACCAGGTTTAGAGACGACAAGAGAGGCGACCCGCCCGAGGTTTTGAGTTGAAGGCATGGGGGAGGTTCTACAGTTCCACGACCAGAGTTGAGGGAGAACCAAAAAACAGCGCAAACAACAACCTGAAGGGTGTGCCTTTTTAGGGAACTCCCAAATGGCTTGCTTGCGAGGAAAGTGGCCTTCCAGCTACCGAGTCCTTAGTTCCAGGATATATGAAGGGTAACGCTGGGCCCCGTTCTGTAACCTGGAACCAACAAATTGGCAGTTTGAGAAGCCATTTGCAACTGTGTGTTTCAGGTTCAAAAAAGTCTTCCGACAGCTTGGGGTGACTCGGGATTGCGAAACGCCGACTTGCCCAGATTTGCAGCAACCCATCCGCCAGGGTTTGGATCGCAGATGATCACCCACCTGGGAAAATTTGCAACCAACGACATAGCACCCATGGCACGCAACAACATCAAGGCCGGCACTGACAAACAGCAGAAACACAATGTTTGCGCGTGTGGTTGTATGTTTGTGTGTGTGTGTTTGTGTGTGTGTGTGCGCGTCTTAAAATAGGGGGCCCCTTTGGTCGCCCTTTAAAAATGGCACCTCAACAAGAAAGCCACCCATACAGGAAAGAGCGACAAATCCCCCGTTCAAAGATTTCCATGGAAATTGAAGCGCCTTGGCGGAGGAACCATGCACCCTAAGCCGGACAAGTATCATCCTGACGGTCTTTCCTGGCGAAAATCTTGGGTCGGGTTTCCTCATGTCGTCCTGTACGCCATGGTGGTTCTCTTAGTAGGAACCTTTGCAATGTTTGTCTGAGTTCCGTGCCAAAGGGTTGATGACTACCCGGTACCCCAAGTAAAGGATCTTTTGACCGTGGCAAATATACGCCATGGGCCGGCCCCTTTTTATTGAGAAAAGAGGATCTTGCGTAGGTTCCGCAGGTCCTCTCCAAATGAACACCATACAAGCAATATTTGGGTGTGGCTGTTTTTCAGGGTACCCTTTGTGACGGAAAAACCAAAAGGAAAACCACAGTTTTGGGAGTTCCCCCCCCCAAAAAAAAGAACAAAAAAACGCACACACACACACACACATTTAGCAAGAAAGACTTCGGGCCGAATGAATTCGCAACAATTCCGCCTCCGCCTCCATCTTCTCCTGGCACTTCACGACCACCGTGCCAACTCCCTCAGACCTCTCAAGTCGCGAACGGTGGGGGGTGGGGGCCATTTGTGTGCGTCTCAAAATATGGGGATCCCTAAAATGGTGGTTTTCCCTGTGGTCTCTTTCAAACCACCCCAAGAAGTGTACCCTAAAAAACTCGTCTATTCGATGTATCATTCTCTCCTTATCGCCAGGGCTGGTTTCCACGGTTCTCAGACAGATACAGCGGCAAGCACCGTAGCAAACATCATTGCACAAGAAATTGAGGGGCCGAGCCTGCCAAATCAAGCAGCTTGCAACTCATTTGCTAAGAAATGTTCAGCCCCCTCAGTTTTTGGTTCAATTTCTTAGCAACCTTGTGGGATAAAGCCAGCATGTTGGACCGTCCGGGAGGTGCCCGCTAGGAAAGGCAGGGGCTCAGTTTTTATCTTGGTTGTTGACCCTCCTGCAAAAAGTGAACAACTTTTGGGGGTGCAGTGGAAAACCCAACTTGATTTCAACCAAAAAGTGAAAGTCTAAAGATCAAACCCAATAGCAGTTAAGCTCTTTGCGGCCTTTTCGGGTGATGAAGGAGATATAGTCCAACGAGTGGCTGGTGGACATGAATCCCCACCCAACTGATGCTCAAGGAGCCTGGGACCAATTAAATCTCACCCAACCTCTCAGTTGCCCAAAGGCAAAGACTGCTCCTGACCACGCGAGCTTGTCACCACAAAGCTCCCCAGGAGGCAAGGCTAAGAGAGGCATCCCAGAGGTCGTGTTGAGCCTGGGCCTTTTTGACACCCATGTCGGGAGTTCTTAATGTTGGGTGTTGTTCAAGGCAAACTAATGGAAACAAAGTAACAGTACGAGTTGGGCCCCCAAAAAAAACAGACCCATAGGGAGGTTTCTATCAGACCTTGCATGAGGCAAATCTCATCATGTGTCGAGTGGCTTTGACGTCAAACCCAGGCTGACCTTCTTCTAAGTGACTAGCCAGAAACTGATTGAACTGCCTTGACTGACAGTCACAAAGAAAGCTGACGTACAGTTGAACACTTTCACAAACCAAATTCTGATGAATGCGGGGGCGTGTTACCCAAAGCTTCAATCGGACATCTTCGTGTTACTGAGCCATACCAGGGCTTTATGACCCGTTCCCACTTATTCCCCCCCCTTTTCCCGGCTCGGAGTTCGGCAAACGGGAATCTTTGTTTCAGCTGTCGAACAGATTCACGAAAGAACTGGTTCCACGTCACGCTCCAACAAGCTAACCCATGGATCAACACAACATCGTTCCACAGTTGCAACCCCGCAACTCTTGGTGCTTCTGTTGGTACCCCAGAAACAAAACAACCAAGATGTGGGACCACCCAAAAAGCAACGGCACACACGGACCTATATCCCTGGTGTCAAATTCTGCGCAACAACCCCTCCCTGAGCCAGCCAAAAAAAAAACGCCCCGCGCGCGCGCCCCCGCGCCCCCTTGCCCGCGCGCCTCACGTGGCCCTGGGCGCTGGAGTCGAAGGTGAAACAGCGACCCCCCGGGCACAGGAAGCCTGCGGCGCTGTGCGCAGGCCACCAGGCCTGGCTTGGAGGGGCGGGGGAGTGGACGGGGCTGGGCTGGGTGGAGGGGCGGAGGGGGTGGAGGGAGGGGGAAAAGGGCTCAAGTGACGGGGGAAGGGGAGGAAGGGAGGAGGGGTGGGTGAATTTGTTGAAGACCTAAGATGACCGAAAGAAAAAAGACCCCAACTTGCCTGCCTGCTTTTGCAAATGTCCGAAATCCAGCTTGGTGAAACCAAAAAGCGGGTTGTTGGACCCTCTTCACTAGTCAAGGCTTGGTTATTGAAAAACTTGTTGCCAGCCCCGGTTATAAGTCTACCCCGTGAGTCCATGGCATGTCGCAGCCGCTTCACACATGGAATTCAGTAGAATTCTTGCAGCTCTTCCAGGCAGATAGGTTAGGTGGGGGAATGAATCACAGTGACACAAATTCTCCGGCATATCTTCACAAAGGATTTCCGGCATGTCCTGCATTCCTTAGTTTAAACAAGACTTACCGCCGAAGGGGATATCCTTTGAAGCTCCGTTTCTCTCCTTCTGAAGGTCTTGGTTTGGACTTAGAGTCCTCCAAAAAGATGAGTCATGCGGTTCAGGTCGTCTGCATCAGTCGCAACCAGTTTCAAAACACGCCGAAGGCGGGCGCGAAGTTGACATCAGCAATGTGTCACAAACACCAAACAAGGAAACCCGGTGCTCTTGGCGTATTTCAGGGGAAAACCAGGAAACCCAAGCCCTTCCCTGTGACCCTCATAAAGGGACAACACGTTTGAAGTGGGGCACTCATTAAGCAACTCTAGGGGTTGATTCCATTCTTTCCAGGCATCATTCTTGTCAAAACCCGCTGTTTTTCCCTGGGCTTTGGGGGGGTTTTCTAGAAAGAAGGATCCCGGGAAGGCGTCCCCGAACAGGACGTTGAAGCATGACCACTTGAACAAAAGCGGCGAACAAAAAAAAAATCAACGCCTTCGCCAGGCAGAGATGCACACCGATGCCGCAGGATGCCTCCTGTGGAGGGGGGATGGCTCGGGATGGGCCAGCGAGACCTTTGGTGTGGGAATGAGTTGAACTGCGCCTTTGCCCCAAATGAAACGAGGAGCCCGGGGTTCTACGCTTTCAGAGCTTCTCTTCATTTCCACAGGTGTCCCATTTTAAACCGAAGATGGGATCAATGGGAGGGTCGGGTGCCATAACTTGCTTGCTATATATATATATACATATCTATCCCCTTCGTATTGCCATCGTACTTTTCCTGGCAAACTTCCCAAGGGTCTTGCCATCTTCTCGCTGCCGGGATGTGTTTTTTGTTTTTCGAAAACAAAAAACAAAAAACATGGACCATGGCATGCAAACATGCGTATGACGTATGGAGGAACACTGAAACAAGTACCTCGAATCTGTATACATATGTGCGTGTATACACAATATGTCACAGCCTTTAACGCCTTTGTTTGTCCTTCTCATTTCAGTACATCCTCATGATCCTCATTCTCACCAAAAACATGTCCTGTCCTCATAAACCTCATCACTCACCTCATGAACCTGATTCTGATAATATTGATGCTATTGATGATGCTGATCCTGGATGGACCATGAACAATTTCTGGCTCAGCTCACCAGCATTCTCAGTAACCTCAGGGTCCGCAGCATCCTCAGTACCTGAATTGCTCAGTAGCTTTAGCAGCTTCAGTGCCCTCCTGCTCCTCTTCCCCCCTCCTCATAGGAATATCAGCACCAACATAGTCATCGCCATCACCATCAACACTCTCATTAACCTCATCCACATCAGCACCAGCAACAACATCTGCATCACAACGCTCCATATGATCTTTGACTCTCTCCCGTTGCATCTTCGCTATCAGTATCCTCATCATCATAAATCATAATCTATCACTTTCCAAAGACAAGAAGCGTGTCTAGTATCTGGCAGCTTGCAAGCACGAGGCTATCTATGCTTACACGCTGCGCGTGGCATGCGCAAAGGACCTGGAATAGTTGTCATGGCAAGTTAAAACGCAACGACTCGGTTGGTGGCGAAGTCATGGCCATGCACGGGGATCAAGACCAGCTGAGATTTGAAAACAACATGCTGTTGCATCGGCCATCACAGTGCAGAAGGCAAGCCACCAAGCAGTCCTCACGAACAAGTTACTATGTTTGACTTGTTCCAGGCACTTTGGCGTTGATTTGAGGGAACCGTCATCGGGTGTTTCAGAGACGAACCAGTACGAGTTGTTTCTTCATCTCTCAGGAGCGACATCGATCAGATGGGTTGGCAACTCCAAGGAGAACAGCGCAGACGCGAATCTACTTCCCTGCCAAGTCAACATGGAACCTGAAAGGGGTGGCCCCCCCCCAAACGGAAATTCCTCTACTAATGATGGCTTTTGGGGTTCCATGACGTTTCATGTTGGTGTGCAGAGAAACATCATGATCCCTTGAACCAAAACAGAGGGGTCCAGCATCTTCGGAAAAGCCATGGCTTTAGGTTCAAAAGAAATCCCACAAGTTTACAGAAGTTCTGGACCACAAAGGCACTGATCGTGACACAGTTGGCTTTGCGTGTCTGTGTTCCAACCAGGGACCTCTCCACATGTGTGGTTTCAGTCAGATTCCAGTCACAATACGCACGATTAGTACATTGTATAATCGAAGCCAAAAGTTAAACTATTGGTGGGGTGTGCCCTAACTTCCTCTAAGCAGCAACAAAGTAAATCCCTAAGGGTATAGTTGGAACCTGCAAAACACGGTAGAGGAATAAAAAGGGATTCTTGCCGCACGTTGCAGTGAGCAACCTAAAAAATTGAGGAGTCTACGCAACACCCTATCCCAGTGGATCCCGGGCAAGCCCATATAGTAGGTAACCCTTCGATACTTTCAACTGTTGGTTTTATATCTGGTGGTTCAAGCCTTGGTTACCAGCCTTTCAGACGTATGGATCCAGTGGGTGTGACAAAAGCGCAACCTACCCTCCCACAGCGTCTAGCTAAATCCCCATGTCAAGGAACGGTGACTCTTGCTTCACTTTGGTGTTTCGCAAAATAGGAACCGCAAGTTCCACGGAAAATCTTTTGGATTCCTTTGCATGCCAGACCAAAAGGGAGTAGATGGTAGAGGGGTAGACTATGAGTAATTCGCTCGGTATTTACGTTAAGCCATAAACTAGGGGTGTTCGAAGAGCAAAACAAACCTATACACAACTATTATGAAACATCCTTTCAGTTTCCGTCATACCAAGAAAACAGCTTGGGCTGTCCTCAAATGCTCTGCTAAAAGTGTTGATTTTGTGGGTTAGTTTCGGAGACCAACCACTAAACCGAGAAAAACAAGAAACGCAACATGCGGAAACCCCAACAAAAACCCAACAGGAACCGAAGCCACGGCCGTCTTTCCTGGATATGTCCCTGGCCCTTCTTCTCCACCGACTCCGCGGCCCAGAACACCGCCGACAGCCCGGAGGCCGCCTGACGCGTCGAGCGACGCCCGGACATCGCCCTGCTTCCCAAGTGAAACACCTTTGTAGGGGACCCCCCTCCACATGGTGATTTTCCGCTCGGATTTTCTCAAAATGCAAGAAAGGGGCTTACCCCTCCAAAACAGGACAATGGATTTGTGTCAAAACAGGACCCCAAACTTCGAATGGCTCTCTGTGCGCCAGAAAATCGTATTGTTCCTCTTGCGCGAGGCAAAAAACAGCAGCAGTGTCAACCTGTGACATGAAGGCGTGTCTGTGTTGCAGTTGAAACTTGTCCAGTGCCACCTACAATCCGGACAAGTCTACCCTAGTAACCGGTCAAATCTACCCTGTTCACCCCCATAGAAACCGGTCAATTCCCCCCCCCCCCCGTCAAATTCCACAACGGGCGAATTCCCCTTGCCCAGCCCAATTCCAGTTCCTGGTCTCGTCCTGCCCTTGCAGCAATATGGAAACGTGCGAATATGCACCCACCATACATCATGGAAACCAGCACCTATTTCGGCGCCAACCAACTCACTCAAACAAACAGAACGCTTCAAAGCAAACCAAAACACAATACCTCAAAACCAGCCAAAAGCATACTGGCCGAGGCGGGCAACGCGAAGCGTTTACAATGAATGAGAACAAGCAACTCATAACAAGCTCAAGTCTAGAAAGTATGGTGTTTGTGGGTATCCCATTTGTTTTGTGTTTCTTTTTTCCCTTTTTCGGGAAACCAAAAGGAAACCACCGAGTTTGGGGGAGGTCGCAAAAAAACGGCGCACCCATATCCTTCTGCTGTTTTTCTTCTTCATATCTTGTAGATCCGCAATTGCTACTGCGCAGAATATGTATTCTACGGTTGGGGAACGGACATCACACACACGTTCAAAGGACTGCGGTGCTGTGGTCAGTATGGCTTCCCAGCCAGGCTCCATGCTAGCTGGAAGGGCACTTCGGCAATTCACAAAACCTGAAATTATGGATTCCCAAACAACTTGCTGGTGCTCTCTTGGGAATATGACCTACGGTGTTGGCAATGAACCTAGAGATTCCCTTGAAGGACACCATTCATGGGGTCATTCCAACTGCCAATTCGATGAAAGCCGTCTGCGGCCCAGGCATCTGTGTCGATCGCCAAGCTTGCGCCCTTGCAGCCCAGGCAAAAGCTCAAACCTCAGTCGCTGAGGTTTTAGCGCATCGCCATAAAGAGACACGCGGGGAACATGTATGATGCATGATCCCAGTAGGCAACCAGCGATTTTCCTTTTGGTTCTAAAGGGTTGCTTTCTTGGTTACCTACAAAACCAGGTAAATGGATCCACTGAGTGAGGTATGAATGTATGAGGAACCTGAGGAACATGGGAATCATACGGATTTGCCCGGAAGACATGTGTGGAGACCGGCCCATTTCGATCCCTGGAAAGAATGGGGAACCTTCCCCCAGAAATCTTTGGCAGGGTCACGTGAAGTCCGGCGCGCACCGCGAACCACCCTGAAATCAAAGATCCTGAGCAAAAAGCCTCCGCCAGTCTCCGGCTTCCAACAGAAGATAAAGGTTCCTCATAAATGCATCATTCAGTGGATCCATTTACCTGGTTTTGTAGGAAACCAAGGGAACCACCCTTGAAACCAAAAGGGAAATAACTGCTCTTGATCACCTCCTGAAGTTGAAGAGGGGGTTTTGGGGGATCTTGGCAAGTGCTCAGCTTGCGGTTGGATTCGCTTTCATCACCATCCCACAAAGGATTCCCGATTTTGCGATAGGCTCACTTGGGTCAGCTTCCAAACATGTTGTGGGGTCCCTTCGGTTTCCAAACAAAAAAAACACGCCAGGCACCCTCAAAAACAGGGCGCACCCATCGGGCTCCAAACAACTTGTCGGTTGTTCGTTGAGACTTTCCACGAACAATGAAGCAGTGGAACGGACAAAATCCATTGGAAGCTAGGCGCCAGTTGGTCCGAAGTTGGCATGCATTCGATCCACCCACAGTATTTACCAGCAAACAACCATAGGAAATCTGCTCAAAAGGGGTATTCTCCGGCACATCAAATGCTACACCCATTCCAGCTTACCTCTTCAGGACTGTTCAAGGACGTGTTGAGCCCAGGTCTCCTTCCCCGATTTGCCCCATCCTAGAACCTCTCGCTTGCCCTTTTGGCATCCGATCGACCAGGGCGCCCTCAGTTTCCCCTTTAAACATCACCTCCAATGGAGACTCACCTGGGCTGTCCGCAGATCCCCCGCTGGAAGTTTCACTTTTAGTGGCTTAAATTTGGAAACTACCGCCAAACCAACAGAAAGCCACTAAACACGGATGGCTTGTCAGCCGCCAAGTCACTTAAGGGCATGAAAAAGTGACACCAAAGCTGACGCAGTCTTCCCAATCACACGTTTTGCTTTGAGAAACCCTCCGTCCTTCTAAGGTTCAGGCGACCGGCTGTGATACTCGGCGCTCCGCCCGTGGCACCGAAAATGCCCACCTCACCGAAACATGAAAATCACTCTCCGGTAAACCCGTGGAACTCCATGGAATTCCAACAGGGGCACTCGCTGTTCTTTTGTTGCGTTGGGTTGCAAGGGAAAGCCCTCCGAGAAAAGGGAACACAGGAAGTAACCCACTGGAGGTCTGGGCATTGAGTCATAGTCAAACGATGTTACAATGTATGTCATGTTGACCTTCAAGTACCATGTCACGTGTTTTCTGTGCTGTGTTGTGTTGAAGGAATAATCTACACTGCACATTATGATTGATCCACACATGTTTATTAACCATAATGCAGTAGCCCCACAGTGTTAAGAGTGCCCTTTCACATTGATGAGTAAAGCATTTGCCCAGCCAAAGCAAAGCTTGCTTCTTGGTACAAAGAGAGACAAAATCGCACAGGACCCCAACAGACTCAGTGACTCAGTGAACAAGCCCTGGGGGTCTTTTCCGAGGGAGACCTTGAACCCTCGCGTTTTGATGCATAAGTTCTGTCACTGTACCACAAAGCAAAACGCCCCAATGACCTATACCGGGTAAAGGGCGGGATCCAAAACACAGAAGTGCTATCTTTTCACTGGAACCAATGTTTGTACATAATTACCCCTGCACAAAAGGGTTGCTATTCTTCCTACCTCTTTTGTTTGAATACCGTAAAGTGGATGGCTAAGTGAGGAGCCAAGGGGTATGAAAAGGCACCAACATAAGTCAACAAACGTGTCTTGCATCAGAATAATATGTCTCTGCTCAATCTTTACCATGGACACAGGCAACAAGATTGATGAGAGTTTCAGAAAGCACTAGGCCCCCAAACTCAAATTTAATTCCCTGCAATGTGAAGATGCACAATGAGCATGAACGAGAAACTGAACAGAGATTGACACTCAGGGAAGCGTTACGGAGATGGAACGGGTCAAGTCCTTGTGTCAGAATTACTCTAAAACCCGCGGGGGGTTGGGGTCCCATGCTGATTTGGATTTGGTCAACAAAATGGGGGCCTTGAAAAATATGGTCCTTTTTAGCAAGGGACATCTACAGTGGCTGAGTACGGCACGTCAGCTGCTTTCTCGGCAAAGTTCCACTCGCTCTGAGAAGTACCCACCTCACCGTCGCTTACAAGTTAAGCCCCCCACATGCATAGAGGACTGTGACACACTTGCAAGTTTACAATCATTCCAAAACTTGAAACAAGGGGTCACCAAGTAAAACAAACACCTTCATCAAAGCGAGCTCGCTTTATCACCAGAGCACGCCATACACTAGGCAAATGGCAACTCCTTGCACCGGGTGAGCTGGCTTTGGACTTTGTCTGTCAATGGACAGGGGGGGTACCTGATACGCATGTGGCATCAACCTAGGCGGGAATCGATCGCGATTTCAAGAAAGGTCCATGCGACCTTGCTTCTGAAAATAGTGGTCCCCTGAAACATATGGTTCCCTTGAGCTTCCCTCAACGCTCCTTTGACATACTTGACCGCGCCGCACCGATGCCAAATTCAAGCAACGGAAATGCGTTCCATCCCCAGCTTGGACTTGGGGCTACAGGGCATCGAATTTTCACCTGAACATTTCCCAGAAACAAAGATGACACCTGCCAGAGAGTCCGTCTTGGCGGAAAACGGCCTTACAAACTCCCACTGTCTGGTTCCAACCTTGTTTTTGGGAGGGTTCTCCCGAATGGTGGTTTCTTTTTGGTCTGGCGCAAAAATCATGGTTCCACGGGCAACATCGGATCTTTTCAGCAAACCTGGCCATGATCCGGAACTCACCAATTCTGCCGATTCCGCTTTTCCAATGTGTCAACCTCGGTTCCACTCATTGTTTGTTGAGGGAGCGTGGCTCACGTTCAGCATTGCTTGAACCCTGAAAATTTCCTTGAGGCATGGGTTATAGCCCCAAAACCCCTCTTTGTTTAAAGGGTAGTTTGAGGGTTCAGGCACAAACCTGAAGCGCCTTCTCAAAATGTGCCTGTGCCCTCGGCTTTCACAACCAGAAGTCAGTGGAAATACTGTGGATGAACGAAATACCACTTTCAAACCATAGGAAGCCATTGTTGGTTAGTATTTACAAGGGAATCCTGGCTTCCGGATTTTCAGGTGGTGCAGGATTTCGTCCATCCACAGTTATTATGACATTGTCAACCCAAGGCCAGAAATGATCTCTCTGGCATGGCATCGCTTGGTCAAAGCCAAGCACACGCCCGATGTCACACATGCCACGGTGCCATGGAAGCTAGGCCTTCTTGCAAACACCATGCTTGCTACTTTCTGCATACCTGTGTAAACTGCAACTTGTTTTCAAAGTCCACAAGAACATTAAGAAAACACCATATTTCTACAATTACAAGGAGTGTTTCTTGACACACACACCCAACACTAGCAACTGAAAAATTTGAGGCCGCAACGTACATGCCGACCGTGGAGTTGATCAGCGAGCTCTTCTTCATGCCGCTCCTGGCGCCACGAAACAAAACCCGTCTCGCATCTCGACATGCCGAAATGGGTAGGGGTCAAAATTAAACCACCGGGGAGCCGCAGGTTTTTGTCCATGTGTCCATTTACCAGGGCAAGCCATATTGGGTACCTATATTTGAGCCACACCCAAACAGGCGAAGGCCTCTGCGAGAAAAAAACAAAAAAGAGCTTGGCCACCGAGAAGTCAGTCGCAGCCTCACTTGTTTGGGAAGATGTCACTTCCGCTACAGGACATGGAACAGATCGGTAGCCCCTCAAACTATTCCAGATATGGCGATGAACTTCAATAAGGAACCACCTCAAAAGTGTGGACATTAATCCCCACCTAAATGATATCCATCCAAGGTGCCCCTGATAAATAAAACAAAACAGAAACAAACAATCTGCAAACTCCCCGGATCCTCTCCAAATGGAAGACTTGGCGCTCACTACCCGGATTTCCTAGCCACGGCTTGGTCAAACCGTTCAACTTGCAGCTCCTCTCTGGTTTGTCTCAAAAGTTTGGGACCCTCAAAATCGGACTCCTTCAGCTCCCCGTACCAACCAAGCAAGGGTACCCCTCAAAAAGACACAGACCCACTCGCCTTCTGACTCGCGGCTGTCTACGCCTCCTTTCCCTAAGCTTCCTTCACTTTCACTGAAGCAAAGAGCCAATGCCCAGCTGCGCCGTGCTAGAGCTCAGGATCCCACCCGCCGGCAGGGCTTCAACGGAGATGCCTTTTGTGGGCTGTGTGTTGGCTGGCTGGTTGGTTGGGCTTGTTTGCTTGCTTGGTTATTTGGTTGGTTCGTTTGTTGCTTGGCTGGTTGTGCTTGTTTGCTTGCTCTGGTTGCTTGCTTGGTTGTGTGCTTGCATGGTTGCTTGGTTGCGTACTTGTTTGGTTGCTTTGTTGATTAATTATTTGGTTCGTTGCGTTGGTTGCTTTGGTTGGTTCGTTGGTTCGTTGGTTCGTTGGTTCGTTGGTTCGTTGGTTCGTTGGTTCGTTGGTTCGTTGGTTCGTTGGTTCGTTGGTTCATTGGTTCATTGGTTCATTGGTTCATTGGTTCATTGGTTCATTGGTTCATTGGTTCATTGGTTCATTGGTTCATTGGTTCATTGGTTCATTGGTTCATTGCTTGCTTGCTTGCTGTGTTGCTTGCTCGGTTCGTCGCTTGCTTGGATTGGGCTTCTTGGTCACCACCCGCCCCCTTCCGAACCTCCGCCCATCCGCGCCTATAGAGCGCATCGTAGGTGACCTCCAGCACCAGCCGCTGGCCGGGGTCCATGCCTCGAGTTTCCCGAGGCACTGAGCCACCATTGGGGGGAGGGGAGCTGCTTTCAAGGGAATCCAAAACGGGGGTCACCTCAAGGGAAACGGGGGTCGCGAGTCGCCATTGGGGGCTGCTTTGACTTGGTTGACCTTGGAAGGGGAGCAAACATGCTCAAATCTTAGCAGTTAAGCGGATTTGGATTTCAACCACTAAACCACAATAAGCGAAACTAGAGAAGCATGTTTCCCAACAACAACCATGTTAAAGGGCAACCAAGTGGAATTGATTCATGTTAAAGGGTAACCAAGTGGAATTGGGGGGTCACCCCCTATATTCCGACCAACACCAACACTGTTGCCACTAAAAAAAGCAACAAGTCACGAGCTTCATTGGGTACAAGGCTCATATTCTTGGGATTGTGGGAAGCAAGAAACAACCTTCCGATAATTGATCCCGTCTGCACTTGATCATTTGTTTGAAGTATATGATGCTCCCCAAAAAGACAACAAAGGCAAACTACATGTGTTTCTACGACATCAAAGAAACACGCAGCAGCAATAAAAAGAAACAAACCAAATCAGACAACAAACACGCAAGCAAACACTACTAGTATTCAACTATTCAATGAGCAACTAAACAAAAGCAACAACAACCACCCACACGCACACCAAAAACAAACTAAAGAAGATAGACAAACGGACAGACAGGCAGGCAAACGAGCAAAAACAAACAAAACACAAGCGCACAAGGCACAAAACAAACAAACCAGGCCAGCAGGCAGACAGTCAGAAAGACAGGCAGAGATACACAAGAAAACAGACAAAAAACAAACAAAAAACAAACCAACCAACAAAAGAAAGACACTAAACAACTAAACTAACAAACTAACAAATACTGAAAGGTCGGGCCTTTGGTCTCCGCCAGCGACAGCCCGAAGAGCTTGTTGTCGAAGAGGTCCACTCCGTCGATAAAGGAGGCATGCCTCGCAGCTAGGTGGGGGCAGGCCGGCCGCGGGCGTGGTGAAACCCAAAAGCTGGTTGAACTGCTTGGTTCTCAGTAGGGAATCAAGAGGGGTGTTGCGAATAAACGGTCTCATGGTGGGAAATGCACTTCTGTGATACAGCAAGAAGGGCTTCCCAAAGACTAACAACCCATATAAAGGGGGAGATTCCCTTGTATCACAGAAGTGGGAATAAACCCCTTGCTTCCACAACCCTGAACGGTTTGGAATGCTCTTAATGGAAACTACAAGGGATGGGCATGGGTTTACAGGGGTCATTGTCTCAATCCCCGGTCAGGTTATAGGGGTCATTCTCTCATAGCAAAACAAACGATGCTGAAATATGCTTACACGGGGACTTGCGGGATCAACAAAACACAAATCCAAGGAGGCATTGGACAACACTGACGAACTGCAACAGCGTGGTGTACAGAGTGGGCCATTGTTCCAAGATCCCATTCAGAGAAACCAGACATCCAAGAACATCCTATCAAATACCACGTATCTGTACACTCGGCACGTGCATTGCTGCTTGTTCTTGGCACTGAAACATTGTCATCAAGATCCTGCAAATAATCGAGTACTTCTATCTGAACAACGGGCTCAGTGGCACAAGCAACTTCTGCCTCAAGCGAACAAGACTAGTCTAAGAATCGGAATCCCAGGTCCCCATGGATGATATACGCTGGCAAATACGTGAAAGGAACTCCACAATTGTGGAGTCCCCACTTCTGAAGAGAAATCAAGAGCCCCCCCCCTCCAAGTGTTGCAGGACCAAGTGTTGCAGGAAAGCCGTGGGAGTTGTATGTTGACGGGGCCCTTCATGAGACGGACCCATCCAAGCGCATCTATGGAGTGCAACCCTGTCCCAAAGCGCAAACGAAGGGCTTGCCGTTTTTGACGTGGGAACCAAACGGCCGCCGGAAGATGGTTGTCCCATGTACGCCAACCAGGCGCCAACCACCACGCCAGAACCAATCAAAAAGGGACCTCCGGCTTGGGGGAACATCGGTCAAGGGGACAAAACTGCGATTACTACAAGCCACCCCTGAAAACAAAAACGTGGTATCTTAGAGCAAACCAAGTCAAAGTCATGATCATGAAATATCTTACATTCAACCCCTTTAGATCTTTTCACCACTCCTTCCAGGGTTCCCTATCTTCTTCCAAACTAACACCCCAAACCTACCGTTGGGGAAGCTCACCTGACATGGGCCAAAAAGAAACAGGTGATGCTTCAAGCACCACGAAAACGGGACCCATGCGCCAAGCGAAGAGCCTGCAGTTGGTCATCGGAGGGTCCCTCTTCCAGCAGTCTGGCGAAGGGTCGTACCTCAGAGCGAGCTCCATGGGTGCGTGGTTTCTTTGATACCCTTTCCAACAGGAAAACCACAATGTCTTTGACAGGAAAACGACTTTTGAACAGGAAAAACTCTTTGATTGATTTCCTTCTCAGAAGGAACAACGTATTTGTTTTACTATCATCTTTTTTGTTTTTTGGGGGGGCTACTTGACACACAGCCACGTATGCGACAAATGGGAAGTGGACACACTCAGCACCAGTTGGGATGGAGGACAGCTGATGGAGACTGGGATATACCAGTTATGCAACTGGCGCAGGCACAGTGGATTGGCCCAAACAAAACGGTGATTGTCCTCTTCGTCACACACAAAACCATGGCGGTTTGCCCTTCAACGTCAAACAAACAAGAGGTGTTGTTCCCCTCTTCTCTTGGCCACTGGGCAAGGTCAAGTCAAATCCAATTTGGCTCGATGAGCATGTGCCTGTGGGTATTGCAAGCTGCACCCTGAACAAGCATGCATGTGGAAACACATGTGCATTTGTGAGCATAGCCAGTTTATTGGGGAGACTTACAAACAGGTAGGGAGGTAAGTACGATTTTAGGCTTGCAACGGTTCAACATAGCATTAAAGCATTGCTGTAGCTATTATGCAGCTAGCAATTAAGCATGTTGCTGTGCTGGCATGCAGCTACGTAGCAGTGTAGGTAGGCTCGTGGCTTTGTAGGTGTGCAGGAAAGCAGGAAGGCAGGAAGGAAGGAAGGAAGGAAGGAAGGAAGGAAGGAAGGAAGGAATGAAAGAAGGAATGAAAGAAGGGAGGAAAGGAATGAAAGAAGGGAGGAAGGGAGAAAGGAAGAAAGGAAACCTAGTTTAATAACAGTCTCTCTACGTCTACCTGCCGACATGCTATGCATATATTGACGTCAATACCACACATTACGGTTGCGGCCTACTACGGCGTTGTGTTTACGTCCTCTTTGGCCGTCACTCCACCAAAGAGACCGTGCTGAAGAGCAGAACAACAGCTGAGGGTCTTCGAAGGGCCAAAGGAAATCCATCATGACTAGGTCTTTGAATTCAAGCGACACCGTGCCTCAGCCCAATTTGGTTGCGTGGCACGAATCCATCCGGGGTTGAAACCAAGTGTTCACAAGGCATCAACCCCCCTTTTCAGGGATTTCCCTTGTGCAAACACCCCAACTGATTCTGTACGGGGGCCCAAACGCAACAAAAGGTCCCAGCAATCCATCCAGCTGCCATGTTGAAGGATCCGCAATTTCCAGACTCGAATTTCACTTGATCCCACACTCTTTGCTCCATTTTTGTATAGGGTGTCCATCCCTGGCGTGGATTTCTTCGCGGCTCTTGGAAGGCTAAGAGCCTGGCACTGTATCGTGTTCCCATCGCATGATGGGCACTTCGATACACGTGTCTGCACCTGGCCATCCGATCTCGGAAAACAGGTGAGAGGCAAAAACTGACTCCCGAGAGGATGATTTGCAGTGGGCCTATGTCCACTTCAAACATCCCAAGAAGAAACACGGAAGGATCCCTGTCCGTGCCATGACCAGCTTGCCATTGACCCCAAAATAGCTTCGGTTTTCCTTTTGGTTTCCCATCAAAACCAACCAAAAAGGTTGAAAAAAAGGGATCCCTACAGGAATAATTGAAACCACCGCCGTCAAAAGCTGGAAAGCAGCCTTCCTGGCAGTTCGAAACGGGACCCTCGCTTCTTCGTTGCTTGTCCACGCCTGAGGTGAGGCCCAAGAAGAAGACCTCCGTCTCCCAGGTCACAGGCAGCCTGCCGGTTTGGGTCGTCCCGACCGCTATGGGCCAGAATGGAAAACAAGTGGGTTTCTCTCCAAAATAGCCCCAGCCACAGAACACTGGCTCCTTTTTGTTCCCCCTGAAAACAACACCCAAAATGGGCACCCTAAAACACGGCCAACCCAAGTAACGAAGACGAATGAAGCGTCTAAACTGACTTACCGGGATTCACTGCGACGGCTGCCCGAACCCCCCCCCTCAATCTACTACCCATCCCGAAACGATGAAACGCAACGAAACGCCGAAACGCTTCGCCTTGCGGCCACTCCCCGGACGATGGTGGTCTGGCGCTTGAACCAGGTACGGTTGGCTGCATGGATGAAACTCCTGGCAGCGAAAACCCGAGTTCCCTCTTAGTGACAGGTGGTGGCGTGTTACTGAGGCGACACAAACGTATCGGGAAACCATGTTTTGCTGGGCAAAAGCGTGTATTCTCGTTGTTGCCCCATGCGTATTCCCCAAACCAGGGTCTCTTTTCCAAGCAGCTCCAATTTGCTTGTTCCGTTGGCGGAGGTGGATCCACTTGTAACGTGTAAATGTTTGACGCATGGCATTCAATCGAAATTTGGGCCCCACACATATCTTATAGTATTCCCTTTCATCCCCGAAGGGCAACTGTAGTGGAATGGGCCCCTACTTCCTGGGTGGATTGGCCAAGGTCCAAATCTGTTGCTTGCCTTTCCTAGTGACTAAAGTCCTGGAACTCTGGAAGGGAGCGGAGAAAGGGATTTCTTTGCTTGGGATTGATCACTTCAAGCGGGTCACTTGAGGATGTGCCTCTTCTTGATCTCTAAAATGCACTGGACTGCGTTGCTCCTTTACAGAACGAGCGGTCACTTAGGAAGGACCTCACCGTGTCTATCAAAGCGAAAGGAGGTGGGTCTCTTGGCAGTCAAGAATGAAGTTGTCCGACCCTAGAGTCTAGCTTAGAGTGAAGGGATGCGACCCCAAGAATTTGTCCTGCGACATCCTCAACTGGTGGGTGGGTTCATCTATCCCGTGCTCATGACTCGTCCCTAGGCCGCGTGCGAGGGCAGTCAGCCACAGACAAAGACTCGCTTGCCCAAAGGACCCAGAAATACAAGGTCAACCTTTTGGGACCTTTACTAACTTTACTAAAAGTGGACCAAAAGGGAAACCAAATGGTAAAAAGATCGGCTTTGAGCAACTGAGAAGCAGGGTGACAGGATGGGGAACCTCCTGCCGAAGCTTCGAGTGGGGTGGTTGCTCCAAAAACCCAAGGGTGGACATTCCGCCAGGGCCAGAAAGACCAAGCAAAAGGAGTGCATTCCATATGGCTGTGGGTCAAAAAGAATGGGATCCCATTTTGGGGTAGGTGCACCACCATCACCACCCATTTAGTCAATTTTGGTCGGGATTTGAATGTTCGCTGGGGGTGCGAGATTTTGACCCATGGCCATATCAAGCCTTGTGATTTGATCCTGCTCTGCGTCCAGACAAGCATCCTAGAAATCACCATAGGCTGAAAAGGAAACCACCCCTCAACCCCTGAAACAGGTTTCAGTGTGAACCGGCTACAGTAGCCCTCTGGAACCCTCCCGCGTGCATCTCCCGAAAGCCTCGGCACATCGGACTTGCTCCAGTCTTCCGTGGGTTCTTCCGGCTCCATCTCCTTGATCTCCTGCATACTTTATCGAATCGGCTCGTGCGGTTTTGTACGCATTCCGGAAAAGCCTTGCCCTGTAGCTTTGGGATCCATGAACCAAGAAAAGGGCTGGTCCGCTGCAAAAAAACAAACGCGTCTAAAGCTCCATATCCATCCCCCAGCCTCCCAACCCCCAACCCCTCACCCCCCCCACTCCCCAACCTCTCAACCCCCCAACCCCTGAATCCCCCCCCCAAAACCCGCCCAAACCTCCCAACCCCCCAACCCTCATGCGCGATGTCAGGTCCAAGCCGGGCCCCGGGGCCCCGCACCCGCAGGCGCTGGTCGATCCACTGATCCAGCTCTTGGGCCGCCGGGGTGAGGTGCGCCTCTAACCTCCCGTTGTGTCGCTGTCGTTGTTTTGTTTTTTTTTGCAAGGCGGCCGTGTGGTATGTCCCGTTTGTTGTTCGAAAACTTGAGACCAACATGAAGTGGAATACACTTTCAGTACTGTACTCACTGGAAGGCCAACTTCACAAAGGAGACTGAGGAAGTGCCAGCAAACATGAAGACTAACAAGAAACTGATACTGGCCAAGTATAAACCAACAGAGTGTCACTGAACAAGTGGGGACATCCTTGTACGTCTTGCGGTCCCTTGAGTCGCCCACAAGGCTTCATGTTCCGGTTGGATTCAAGGCGAAAAGGTAGGCCTTGACCAACGAGCGTCCGAGGACTTGGAACACATGAATGCAATGATCTAGATGAATTATACTCATTCACCAGGATGAACAAAGGCACCCTAAAGAAATTGCAAACATCAGAGGTGGCATTGCAGACTTTCTGGCGAGGTCGCTGTGCTAGGGCGTAATCGATGCGGGTCCCGCATCCATTCCAGAAAGCCATTAAACAACCTCTATGCCTTGTTCAAGCTAACCAGCCTGAGAGTCACAGAGTTCATTGGACCCAACATGTTGATACTAGTATCTACTAGTAGGCAGTACCTGACAACCGCGCACACTACGACCATCTACGACCACCGTCCCATGTCCCAGGCCTGTTTCTGTGCATTCGCAGAATGTCGTTCTGGAGCATGAACGAAGAGGCCACGTGGGTCGCCTGGCTCAATTCCGGGCCATTGGTGATTAGCCTCAGGCAGACTTAAACCCAGAGACCCCGAGGGTCCCCCCACCCGTGGATTAGCCTCAGGTAGACGTAAACCCAATGGTCCCCACCCCTGGGTTTGAATGTACCCAGGGTAGTCAAAACACAAAACCCTGCGTGATTGTGTCGACCTCTTCTTCTCGGTCCTCCAGTAGAGAGGTTAGAATAAGGGTACCCTTTTTGTGTCGTCTGTTTTAGTAGGGGAACCCTCCCCTACTACAGGGTAAAAAAGGGCACTACCGGGGGACCTAGTGTTGTACTGTCAATCACCTGTAGCATTGATACAACACAATCAGCGGCTGGATAGCCACGGCAACGGGTGTGTCCTTTGTGGATGGTGTGTGGTGCGGAAATGCGAAGCGATCTATAGACATGCCAAACAGTCCCCCATTTGAAGACTGGAAATGAAGTTCTGCAGTCCAAATTTGTTGATGGACATGGGGCCCTCATGTAGATGACGGGAAATTGCTACCCAATCACAAACCCCAACAAAGAGGTGTTCAGCCGACCGAAATAGGCTTGGTTTAAACCGCCTTTCCATGAGCCCCGAGTTTTCCGGCAGACCGTCGGAGGTTTGTTCAGATGGCCGGGTGTCAATGGGGCTGAACCCTAGACCCTCGGTGAGAAAGCAACTAAAAGCAAGAAAAGCAAGTAACAAAAACAAAAAACTTCCTTGTTGGGCACCACCCGTGGCGTCCCCATCGACAGCGCTTCTGGAATCCTCTCAAAGGACACCCAGCCTGTGCCTCAAAATGAGGGAAGCCTCTAACTCCCAAAAGCGAACAGAGAGTTCAACCGCTTCAGCCAACCCCCCCCCGAGAAAACAAAACTCTTCCACCTAATTTAATTGGTGCTTTGGAGCACGGCGGTTTGGACGAACGCTTCAACTGCACTGGGGTTCAATTCCCCAAACCACCAATCCAAACCGCCAATTGATCGCTGAAAGAAGGTACGAACTCGAAGACCACAAAAAAATCGGAAAATCCTTCGATCCGAGGCCTCGCGACCTCTGCAGAAAAACTTGAAGGACAGCTGGTCCGTGCGCAGAACGACCTGAGAGCGGTGCCGCGCCGGACATGCGGCGGGGGGTGGGGGTTGCCGGGGGGGGGAGGGATGGGGAAGGGGGGCCATTGTTCCAAGATGGCACAAGGATGTCCCGGATTCTGTCAAGGTCGTACCCCAAAAGCACTAAAACCAACAAGCATGGCAGTGCACAGGCTTTTTTCCTAGATGAAACACGTCGTCCCAACGGTGTTACAAAAGAAGACCAAAAGCAACTCCTCCACCCATGAGAAACTCTCATTCACCTATCCTCAAGACTTCGGGTCAACACCGTCATGTCGATAAGTCCATGGGTCAACAAACGCATATCAATTTAAGGGATGCTGATTGCAGCCGCCAGTACACATGGTTCGGTTTGGGATCATCCCCAAGCAACAGGTGTCGCTTTGTTCCATCTGCCAAGAAAAGAGGCCCTCCAACATACATCCCAACGGGTCGCTTGCACTCATGAGTTTTCCTGCGCACCCGGTTTTAAAGTTTGGTGCAACCTCATGTGCTCCAAGAAATACCAGCTTTCCAACCAGCATGGAAAGCAAAAGGAAAGTACTCTTCCAAAGCCCATAAAAAGTCGGCAACCACGAGGGTGTCAGACTTGTTTGTTGGGGACCCTTTGGTGGACATGGAGGTTGGGCCACTGTTGAAGCGGTTCGACTTATATAACAAAAAGCCATAAGCTTATAAGTTAGTTCTACCCGTTGCCACCATCCATTCCTAAAAAACCCGTCCCAAAAAATCAACACTGTGGAACTACGACATGCAGTGATGGCTGAAACCCCATGTTTCACATCTGACAAAAACCACCTATCAGCCGGTGCACTTCGCAGATTTGGTCCATCAGTACCTCCTAAAAAGAAAAAACACACACATGTGCACATATTACCTTTACCCGCAACCCAGCCATTTGACACGTGAACTGCCGCCCAACCCCGAAGGGCCATTTCACACGTGGATCGCTCCGGTCGGTCTCCGGTCTCCGGTCGACTCGACACGAGCCTGGGGCCCCCAAGCCACAAGACCCGGCACCGTGGTGATCTCCGAGACATTTGCCCTGGGAACTTCAGATGGGTGTGGCTCAAAGTTTGACAGGGGGGGTTACGCAGGTTTGGTCCATGTTTCCACTTAGCAGGGCAACCCATTTTGGCACCGGATTTTTGAGCCACAGCCAGATGACTCGGTTGGGGACCAAATATGGCTCCGGCTGAAGCCTTTCCCCAAGTTGTTGCCTGGTGCTTCTCTAGCCCCACACAAACTCCGAGTCTTCGGTGTTTCCTTTTGGCTTCCATTTGAATCCACCCTTCAAAGATCTTAAAGGGGTTTCGAGCCTCAACAAAACCGCAGCCGCATGCAGTGTGTGTGAGCTCATGTTTTGGGGGTCCAAGTCGCTAGGCAACATGGCATCATGCGAACCCCTGGGGTGCTTTCAAGGGATCGAAGTCAAATAGAAGCCAAACTGGGGGACCCCCAAAAAACATCAAAAAACAATGTTGTTTTACCTGTTGGCCCCCGGAAACAAACAAACGCAGACCATTCAAAGGGTACCGACTCTCAAAAACACCAGTCGAGGTTCATTTGCAAAATCTCGCTTTCCAAGTCCAAACGTTCTAACACTAACAAAACACAGGCCCATTCGGGTCTGCATTTTTTGCGGACCCCCTTTTGGTTGCAATTTAAAGAGGAACCAAAAGAAAGGAGAAACAAATGCGACAGTTGGGTCCCCCAACAAATAAAAGATAAGCCATTGAGGTTCCAGGCTCGTCATCATACGGCTGCATCTCAAGGGTGCCTTTGCCAGGACCTCACACGGATGGCTCGGCCGTCGGCTGCGCAAACGAATGGGCGTGACAAAACATGGGTCCCCGTCCCATGGAAAGTGACTCAAACGGGGGTCCCCGTCCCTCAAAAATGTTTTTCGTTGGCTTCTTTTCGGTTTGCGAAACACGTAGGCAGAAGGGGATGCTCCAAAAACACGCTGTTTAAATTCATTGTTAAGGTACTTCGAACAAATACATGAAATCTTAACACGTGTCCAAGCTCCTAATAAACCATTTACTCCCCACTGACTGTTGGACCCCCACAACGATATTCCTCTGAAGCAACACACATGCACACGCGGAATAAACCAGGGAAATCCCGAACAAACATACAAGCGCAGGGTGACTAGTCTAGCCACCTTTGCATCCGGCCGAATCTCTTGAGGGCACCTTCATGCTCGATAGTCGACATGGGAAAGAACGGATCCATGTTTGCGCATTCACCACAATGCGCAATGTGATGCGGAACTACTCGTTGGAACCATGGCTATCAAATCACGTTTCCAACAGTGGCACTGGTCCTCCCACACTGAAATGCAACACATGTGAGTCCGACCATGGGAGACACACCAAGCGATCCACATGCATGCCCGCCATGGTCAAACCTATGACAACTCGTTCGCATCCGTCCGCGCTGGGCGCGCGACCCAAGAAGACCAGGATCAGGATCTTTCTGCTGGTGAAAATGGCGCTCCTTGGATGATGGGCAACCAACATAGCAGCCTCAGATTTAACCCATTGACCTTGGGTTCTATAAACATGGCTCAGGTTCATATGGCCTTTACTATGACCCCAATTAAAACAGGAAGAAGAAACACCTGTGCAAAAATGGCTCTTTTTATTTTTAGGGTTTGGGCGCCGCGTCCCAGGAAGAGACTCTCTTCCAGCCAGCAGTGGACCAATGAAGGCCAAGGATTCACAAGGCACCCTTCCCGACAATGTCACAAGGCGACTCCGCCGGAAAACAGACACACTGCCGGCAAGCTTGAGTGGATCCACTTCCCGGGTTTTGTAGGTAGCCAAGGGAACCACCCAATTTAAAAAACCAAAAGGAACATAGCAAAGGAGTACCTGCTATATGGTCTTGGGATCCGTGAGCAATAAATGCGCTCCTTTGTTGAGATCTGTGGATTTTTTGGAATGGAGTGGACACAGGTTCCCTTCAAAAAGCCGCAAACCTGGGGCAGAAAGAAAAACACCAAGCGCCGTCTTCTTCGAGGATTGGCAGGATGCCCTTTTTGGATCGAGGAAATTCACAAAGGACACCACCCGTTTTCTTGTGAAAGGTCCTCCCACTTTTACTCCCTGCACTTAAACTTGGAACCACGCCATACGCTTTTGGAGGAATCTCCTTTTGGGCGACCCCTCTTATCCGGTTCCTTCCTTTCCTCGGCACTAAGCTTCGTGGTTCTCAGTTGGGGAATCGCCCAGGATATGGGAACGAATCGTTTGGGGGACGACACGGGATGGATGGATGGATGGTGGGGGGAGTTGTATTACCTGGCTGGTGTTGAGGATGGAGCGCAAATGATTTGGCAATGGATGACCATTTAAACACTAATTATCAAAATCACCCCCCTGCAGTGGTAGGTTCTCCAGCCCCCCCCCCCCCGTCTTCGGTGGTAGAGTTTTCAGGCAAACCACGAATTCCAGTTTCTGACTCTAATCCCCCCCCTGGCCCCATTTTTCTACCATCAAAGTCGCCTGAGTTTAGCCTCCAGAAACAGTCACCACAACTAGGTCCTCCAGTAGAGAGGTTCGAATGGTACCCTTTTTTCTGTCGTCTATTTTACTAGGGAAGCCCTCCCCCCAACAAAGAAACGGAAAAAAAAGGGCACCTAGCTGGGGGTGCTAATGAAAAAACAGTTGGCAAGCCCCAAAATGGGTTGCCCCGGAGGAAACAGGAACCGGATGGCCTTCAGGAGCCACCAAGAATCATGACCTGCGTCAAGGGCTGGATCCGCCATTCGCGGAACCGCGCGAATCGAACCGCGCGAATCGAGCCGCTTCGCTCGGCGCCCGGCCAGTCGCTGGCCTCTTGATCCGTGAGCTCGGCTTCTTCCAAGTCGGGGTCGCAGGCCTCGCCGGAGGTTCGCAAAGGGCGAAGGGGTGGTTAAAGGAAACAAAGGGAAAAACCTCATTGTTCATTCCATTCATTCCGTTCGTTCCATTCCATTCACTCCATTCATTCCATTCATGCCATTCATTCCATTTCATTCATTCATTCAGAATTTGAGCAAACACCCGCCACACAAGTCCCCTCATTTGATTCAAGGAACAGGCCCCAAAAAAACTGCCCACGGCAACCTGACTCAACTTACAGGCCACCCAAACCCGAGTCTAACTCCAAAAAACTCGCCTTCGCCACATGTAAGCGCTTTGTGGCTGGGGAAATTTATGTGTTTAGGGTACCCTGTAGGTTGCAGTGGTTGCTCCCTTGGTTCAACTGCTCCGACTCATGCCATGGTTCAGCCGTCGAACGTGTCAACAAGATCTGGGGCCCCCAAAAGCGGCTTCGGTTTCACCTTGCTTTCCCCAACCTGAAAAGGGCACCGAGCTTGAACCGAAAACTCACACCTGAACCCTCACAAATTCCTTAATGGGTCGTAGCCCCAAAATGGTTGGTGAAATCCCTTTCTGGGTGGTTTGAGGCTTCAGGCAGCTCCATGTCAGCCGACAAAAAGCCGTCGCTCGACTGGCCTGGTGCAGGAACCCGATGCTCCGGCCGCAGCAGCGGAAGCCCAGCTCGTCTTGGAAGGGACCAATGGCCTGGCGACATCGGTGGATGGGCCAAATTCCGAGGCCCGAAGGAAGGAGAGCTAGGGTCAGTCAACACGTGTTTGTCGTTTCTTCATACAGACCCGTTGTTTGTGTTTTTGTTTACACATATACAAGCCCAAAACCCAATGCTTGCCTGCTTGTTGCTAGTTTTTTTTCGATCAAACACCCATTACTATTACGTTTGTCTACGACAGCCTTTTTGATCATCTTAATCCCAAGGGAGCTTTTGACAATGAATGTTATGTGCCCTTGCAACCCTGCAACCACTAACCTTTCCGAGGGTACATGGTGAGCCCCAGTTCTTTTCGCGTTTACCTTCTTTGAACAATCGTGCACATGCGCAGGGTGTTGGAAGACTCACATCATCTCCAAGCCCCCTGTTCAGTTCCGCGATGTTTGCAAAAAAAAGATCCATTTTTCAACCATGGTTCTTTCCAAACAAGTTGCGCTCCCTGTGAAGAAGGATACCTGAAAACAGGGAAGTCACCTCCTTTAGCGCACCACCAGCTTCAATGCACACTTTCCGCCTGGCCAGCCATGACCAGGGCCAAAGGTTTAAAGTCTGCCCACCGAGCCCTACAAGCGAACCTGACAACTGAGTCCCCCAACGAGAATCAAACAGGAGAGTCTTCTGAGCTTCAACATCCACCCTTTAAATCTCAAACTCAAGACCCGAACAAAAACGCTGCCTGGGAACCCGAATGAAAATGATCGACCCCAACTGGCCGCAGCGGCCAGTCACGTTAATGCCATCATGGCGCGCTGGTTTACCCCATGGCGCGTGTCAAGATCTCGGCACAGAAATTCGCATATCCTGAAGCCCAGCTGTCCCCAAGCCTACGAATTGCGGGGCTCCCAGAGAAAACAGGGCACGCGGTTGCACATCGCAACCTTGGTAATTTGTCTTGCCTTGTCTTGCCGGTTTGCCGGTTGTCGCAAGAACAAGGCCATATCCCATTGGAGTTGTCCAGGTGCCAAAGGCATATTGAGACGCCCAAGGTGAGCAGCAACCTATGCGCTTGCGATCCGTACAAGAGCCGCCCCATGCGAATGATTACTTGTGTTGAGAGCAGATTCTCTGACTACAACCTTCATCCAGGATCATTGTCCTTCCACACAGCGTGTGTGTCTCACAAAATTGCGGCTTTTTCAGGGACATTGAAAAGATGGCGGCGCAAGCAGTCGTCTTTTTTTGGAGACATGTGGAAACAAACGCAATCACTGAGTTTGCTCCTCCTTGTTGCCTTCCTCTCGAGGGTGTCCAGAAGCAAACCCCACAATAACTTTGACCACAGCCAGCACAGACATGTTGACTCCACCCATGCACCTGCAGGTTCTAACGTGGGGGGTTGTTTCGAGGGGCGTTGCCCCTTCGGGCCCCACATCAAATGTTCACCCTGGTTTTCGCACCCATACTAGCAAAATTGCAGGGGTCGATTCCCTATTTGTTTCAATGGTCGTTGTTTTCAAACACCTACGTTGTTTCCAGGTTTCTGGAGGTTTTCTCGAAATCCCTCGAAAGAATGGAAATGGAAGGTACCCCTTAGCAGAATGCACGCGACGAAAGACGGGTGTGGGATAGTTTGGGGGCGTCCAGGACCCGACTCCCCGCTCCGACCGTGCAACCGGCCGGCCTCTGCGAGCTTCCACATGGCAAAATCTATGCCCGCGAGACCGTCCTGGACGGGGAAAAAACCCGCGGAGAGAACATGGGGAGTCGGACAAGTGTACCAGGTCCTAGCAAGGGAACCATGAGCATTCTATCTGGGTGTGGTTGGTTGGTTCGTTGGTTGGTTGGTTGGTTGGTTGCTTGGTTGGTTGGTTGCTTGATTGGTTGGTTTGGATTGGTTTGGTGGTTTGGTGGTTTGGTGGTTTGTTTGTTTGTTGGTTGGTTGGTTGGTTGGTTGGTTGGTTGGTTGGTTGGTTGGGTGGTTGGTTGGTTGGTTGGGTGGTTGGGTGGTTGGGTGGGTGGTTGGGTGGTTGGGTGGGTGGTTGGGTGGTGGGGGGTTTGGGTGGTTGAGTGGTTGGTGGTTGCTTGGTTGCTTGGTTGCTTGGTTGCTTGGTCGCTTAGTTGCTTGGTTGCTTGCTGGCATGCTTGCTTGCTTGCTTGCCTGATTGTTGTTCTTTTGCAGCTGTTGGTGCTCACGGAGAATGCTTATGGCAGACATGCATGGTAGCACCTTAGCCAAATGCAAGAAGGGATCTGGTATATAGCTATGTGTCAAGACCCGAGACTTGTTCAGAAATTGAGGATCAGCACGGCAGAGAGCGAGGCTTCTTTCGACTGGGAAAGGTAAGTTTGCCGAGTCTTCCTGCGAGTGGACAACTCGGGGAAGGTTTGGACTCCAATTAGCCTTCTGGATGTTGGTTGTTTGTCTACAGTGCGTTATCTTCCCTTGCTTCTTCACGTTTGCTTGTTTTCTGTTGCTTGGGGAGTTCACGTGCTTCTTCAGGGGCCTGTGGCCAGCCCGCGAGTGAGCCAAAGCAACCCACAACTTGTCCCAACCCTGGGTTCCCAATCCTGGGCTAAGAGAAGCAAATAGCAACAGACACAACCAAAGAAGCAAGCAAGCGAGCGTGCGAGCAAACAAACCAGCAAGAAGTCAGACAGGCAGGAGGGCGGGCAGGCAGGCAGGCAAGCAAAAATTACAGAGGCACAGAAACACACACACACACACACAAACAAGCACAGAAAGAAACCAACTCGAATCAAAAGACAAATAATGGCTCCACTCAAAAGGAAACCCTCCTAACACCAGCTGTATGTTAAGAGGTCCGCAACAGTCCTTATTAGTTCCAAGTAAAGGAACCAGCGTTTTGACTATGGACAAATTGCCCAAGCAACAAACTAAACACACCAACAAACAACCAAACAAACCACAAACAAACACAGAAACCAAACAAACCCACAGGCCAAACCAACAACCAAGAACAGGAAAGCCCCCATGGCAGGGAGGCGACTGGGTTCTCCAAATGTCCGAATTGACCAGCTTTCGCGAAGCCCAAGTGACCCAACCCACTAACCAAACAAAAACAACAACAAAGCATTAAACACAAAGAACAACAAAACCTATAAAACCATTTCCTATCCTTTCCCTTTTAAGGGCATGCCCAAAACCGGTTCATTCCCAGCACCCTGTCGAAGGCATCCATGAGAGAATGACATCCTAACCATCCATGCGATCCGATGCCAGTCATGCTACACGAGGCAAACCCCGACTCGTCATCTGTCTGTGGGTCAAAACTCTGTACTTTTGGTGAATATCAAAATATCATGGGGCTGGGGGGGAGGTTTTCCCTGGATAAGCCCAGGATAACCCAAGGATAAGCCCTCAATAAGGCCTTAATAAATCATAGCCCCTGTTTGGGGGGGGGTCCATGAAAATAGGTGGCACATGGGTCATGATTAGAGTGAGGCCCAGTTCTAGAATGTATATTGTATTGTTTGCTTCACTTTGGGTCACTGGTAAAATGAAAAAATGCATCCTACGTCTAACCCAGGGGTGTTTTTTCGCCCCAAAGCTTCTGAGCCACTCGTCTCCTGTGGCGCATCTGCTCTGTCGAAGTCCACCGAGGCCATGCGCGCGATGCGGTTGGAGCCCTCCACGCCCAAGAGGCCTTCCTGGCGTCGCACTTGGCATTTGGCGGCCACGCTTGGTGTGTGTTCTTCGGTTGTAGCCCTTATTCATATTCGGCCGGGTGCAGCGGCACGAAATGTCTGCCCAATTCGTGGGCGTTGCCCTTATTAAGGGTGAAGGCTAGTTGCCACAAATTGATTTGTGTGGTGTCCTATTCATATACCGTAAGGGTGCACCCGGCACGAAATGTCTGCATTTGTGGGCGTTGCCCTTGAAACCAACCTAAGGGTACACCAAAAAACCACAAAGCAAACCCAGAGTGGGTGCACTTGCCCCTTTTCGGGACCTGGAAATACAAGGGGCCTTTGCTCAACGTGGACCAAGGGATCGCCAGGTCAAGAAAGGCGATTCGCTTTGAACTATGAACAGAATATGGACGGAAGAGTTGGAATGCGGGGTTGGGGTATCATGAAACTAAACTTTGTCATGACTATGGAAAGCAAATGTTGCAGTAGCGATTAGCTTACAAAGCTCCACTCTCCTTCTTATAAAACATTATCCCACCAAGAAACTCAGTTTAAACTGGCCCAAACGGTGATCATTTAAATCCGCCAAACTGGGAATTGCAGGGACTGCCCAAAGAGGCCTCGATTCGAAGACTTCAGTCCTCTTGAAAAGAGACCTTTTGAGAATGTGCTGTTCTCACACGCTGTTATTGGGGGAGGGGGGCCCGGGGGGGAGGCAAAAGGAGTGAAGATTCTGAATTGTCCATCTGTCTATCTGTCTATTGGGTTCTATTCGTCCCTCTGTTCCGCCGCTGTTGGGATTGTGCATTTCGGGGGGGGGGGGGGAGGGGTTGGGGGCAAACCAAGCTGTCTCTTTTCTGTATAACGTGTGTGATTTGTTGAGGGTACCAAGCCTCAAGAAGGTGGTGAAGGGGACTTAGAGGAAACAACACAACAGCCCTGAAGGCACAGGATTCATCCACCTCTGGTTGATTGGGGGGGGGGGGTCGTGTCAGAGGGTCGCGTGAGAGCATCTTATTTGGGGGGGAGGTTCTTTTTCAAGTGGCCGAGTCCGGGCCGCGGTCAACATGTGCCCCAATCGCCCCAAGCGAAGCTGAGAGCTATCCCTCGCATGGCTCTCCTGGATCAGCACGGCGGGCTGATACCATTCCTTGTCCGGCAGCTCGGCGCTAGCACTGGCCACCATCCTGGCCACCGCCGTTTCGGAAGCCGAATAGAGACCGCCTCTTAAAAACAAACGTCCGGGAGAGTCTTAAGAGGTCGGCATGCCGCGGTTTCCGCTATTGGACAAAACCCAAATTAAGTGGCATTCTGTCTAAAGAGGCTTCCAAGGGTGTTTTCCCTAAATTGTACATTTTCGGTCGCTGGTTTGGTGGTTGAGGAGGGGGACCCCCATTTACCCTCACAAGAACCGGGGGGTGGTTCAAATCCAAATCCAAACCGCCAATCCAAACCACCAACCAGGGCTACCTCAGCTGCAACCCAGTGACCCGGGCAGAAAAAGCAAAGGGAACGAACCAAGCTGGAGTTTTCATGACCCTTCAAACATGGGGGCCATGACCCCTTTCTTTTGGGTAATGTTTCTATGGAGACACCAGAAAGGGACGTTTTTGGGGTGCCACTCTCGCGAATCTTTCCGAGAGCTCGGCGACTCAGAGACGGCGTGGTTGATCACGCAGAAGCCCTTGACTCTTAGGCATCGCCTCAGCTGAGAGACGCCGTTGGTCGCTGCTTCCACGACGCCCAAAACATTGGTCTCATGTTCGATGGCTCGCAAGCTATAGCTTCATCTCTGGGATATGGCACCCTGAACACGATCTCATGTTTTTTCTTGCCAACGTCGCTTTGGGCATGAATTTCACTTGCGGACGACGTGGGCACTCATGTACATGGAAATTCATGCCCATTGTCCTGGAGGGCTTTCGCTCCCCATTCAAAGCCGCCTGACTTGGTCTCCCTCCGACATGGGACATGGGCCCATGATACCAACGCGCCTTCCCAAGCCAATGACTACAGGCTCACTTTAAAGGGCTTTACTAAGGACATATCACGTCACAGACCGTATGTGACCAATGTCCAAAAACGAGCCTGCGGAAGGTGGCCTACTTAAAGTGGGGGCTAAGTCAAGAGGGATAAGTCAGGCTGTCAGGTCTACACCCAAAACCCGTGAAGCAGCCAAAAGCCGAGGTTTTGCTACTTGACTCCCCTGACCCCTCAGGAGAAGTTTCTTAGAATTATCTTGGCAGGAATTGGATAGAAGTTAGAAGACCTGCGGCCGGGATTTGGCTGTCCCCATGGCACAATGCATTGAATAAGAATTGCCAAGCACAACTGGGAGGACACCCAAAGCTACAAACCTTTCTGTGGATACTGGCCAATGTGTTTTGTTTCTCTAAGCACGGTGATCTCCGCTTCGTTCTACTCCATCTTCCTCTCGAAATCCGCATGTGTCCCGTTGGTAGAGTTTTGGCCTATTGTTGGGTTCTTCGGCTTGATTTCCACTCATCAGTCAGATTCCATTTAAGTCGTCGGGACCCGTACTCGCCTTTAGATTCACGTTGAACCCAAAAAGCCATCCTTTGACGGAGCTCCCAGACCGGGCAAACCTCTTTTCGGCCTCCGTTTGGCTCTCACCCTGGACCGACCCGCGGGCAGCCGCCGAAAGAAGCGCCGCGCCGCGGCTCGAACTGCCCTCGGGTTCCTGGCACGATGCCGGAGCCGACCACCGCCGGCGCGGCGGGGTCCACATCGCTGGGCGGCGGCTCACCGCGCCGGGGCTTCCTCCGCGACAGGCTGGCGAGTCGTCGGCAGGGCGCCAGGGGCTTCACCCCACAGGAAACCCAACGGGGTCCTTTTGGGAGGTATGGAATCAGAAAGGTCTTTTTCTTGGTACATCAAAAGGTAGAAGGGCAGGGACACATTTTAGATCTGGAAATAAAGGGGGGGGCGTTTCTTATTGGCACACCGGTCCAAATCACAATCCCCAACTGGGAAAAACTACACGCGGCCCCCCTTCCATACATTATTCTCGCTTGCCCACAAACCGAACATGTCTGGGCAAAGGTCTGTTGAAAAAACGCTTCTTTTATCCACACCAAAAGGATGAACAGACGGCCCGAAATCCTTAAAAGGCAATGGCTCTGGCTGAAAAGCAAAGGGAATTCCTGCTTGGACTGTCAGCATGGTGTCTCTCTGGGCGGTTTCTGTCCGGCCCCTTGAGGCCTCCAGAGGGGACCCCCAAAAAGGTGGCTCCTCTTCAGGTTTCCCCTTTGTACCACAAAGAGCACGTACCAATAAATTTTAAAAGAGACCCATGTTGTACTAACCTGGCGGTCAACCCTTTCAGCCGTGCCCTCTCCTCCCCAGGCCAAGATTCATAACAAAACCCATACGATCCTACTTCCAAGGAGCCCAAATCGCTCTCACATCTCAAGCGCCAAGGTCTGGAATGAAGTAAAAACCAGCTGATTGGTTGCACCATCTGGTGTCAACATACGTGGGAGGCTGCACCAATTCAAGCGTTCCTTTGTATGTTCTGGGGGAAACCTGAAACACGTGGAAACATAGCACCCATGTATGCTTGATTTCTCATTTCGTCAAAACACCAATCCCTGCAATGTTTTTTTCCTGGATGTCAACATGCGACCCAAACAGGTTGTTTTCTGTGGGTTTGCAAATTTGGGATTTCCCAAAGTCTTGGTTTCCACTCCTGTGGTAAATGCCAACATTCCTCAACGGTTTCCTAACATTCGCCTACTAGCCCTGCCGCCAAGAAGCTTCAAATAGTTTGCGACGGAAAGCATCGCGAGGCGCGGCCTGACACACGAGCTCTGGCAAGTTGCCCAAAACGCCCGCGTTGCGCGGAGAGTTGAGGGTCGTTTCCGTGAGTTTGTTGGGCCATTCATTCACCAACCGTCCGACTAGTGGGGGGGGGTCGGGTCTCCCGGTCTGAATCCCCACTAAGATTGGACACCCCCAATCAAAATCAAGCAGGCGGACGTGAATCGGGGCTGTGTGTGTGTGTGTGTTTTGTTGAGGGCATTTGGGTCCTTGAGACAAACCCACTTGATTGTCATTGTATTAAGGTTCTCCAGTGTTGTACTTCACAACCACCAAAAAAAAGGGTACCCTCCAAAAAAAACAAACACACACACACACACACACTTGGTTGGAGAATCCGTTGCCCTCACTCGAGGCAAGTCTTGTGCCTCAAGACCAGGCTGGTTACCGCAAGCGCTTCGGCTGGTTCACGACTTCCGACTTTCGTTGGCCAACACAAAGTCCCAAAGTTTGCTTCGTTGCCACACACATGCTCTTCCCCAAAATGCTTTTTTAAAGTCCACTGGGGAAGAGACCTCGATAGCGAATGCGCAACACTTGACCGGCCTGCCGACGCGGTTCCAGGACCGTCTGTCGAGCCAAACATTACCGGAAGGTGCACGTAACCGGTGTTTCATCTGCCTCAATTAGTGGCTTGGATTGTGGTTTGGGATTTGAACCCCTGCTTCTTGCGGAGGCTAAGCGGGCGACCGGGCTCCAGACCACCAACTAGAGGGAAGCTGAGTGTTGCCTCTGCAAGGTCGGAGAAATGAAGAGCTTAGACATGGGTAGATTGTAATGCGCCAGCCAACCAACAACAAGAAACAACCACCAAACGAAATAGCCTAATCATTTTGGGGCCCATGGTCGCAAACTTTTTCCTTCCGGACGGGCGCTAGAGTTTGCCCAACACCATGACTGGTATCACTCCTTGAAATGGCTGTGGGTCAGAAATAGGCATCCAAAATGGAACCCTGGCAAACGGAACCAAAGACTAAAACCTGATGGCCCCTGGTGATTTAAAGTTGACCCATACCCAAATCTACGTGTCTTATGCATTGCCCATGCTTGAAGCTGCCGCCTCCCGGATTTCAAGAGGTCCCTGTGGCAGCCAAAGAAATCTACCAACGCGCTGGCTGGTATTCGCATTGTTCGTCGACGCCTGCTCCTCCCCCCGAAAGGGAAAACAAAGCAATATGTCCCGGGTCCAGGTCCAAGCAAGTCTCGGGGGGGATTCCAGGGTCGCACCAGCGGTAGCCTCCCTGCGCAGGCCCTGGCAGAATCCCAACCAAACCCGGGGCATCATTTGTTACTGTCTTCAGGGGGCATAGGCCGTCATGGCTGGATCTCTAACGGGTTGCCAAAAAAATCGGGCGAAGCAAGTGCGAGTGCGCGCCTTTCACGAACGCTCGATTCAGAGACATGTGCTCGGTGCGCGGGACTCGCCGATCTTCGGCAAGCGATCGCATCTTCGAAAGCAGAGGTGAAAGCAAGGGATGCCCGCAGAACCCGTGGATACCAGGAACTGTTGCCAGCTCCACGACAAAGACGATGAACAAGCAGGTGAAATTCTTCAAAGGGGGGCCTGACAAGAAGAAGTGCTCTTCGGTGGTCCTTGGGGAGCAAAGTCGCACCCGTCCAATCAAGAAACCTCGCAATGGGTGTCTACCCCCGCGGGAGGATTCCCAGCTTTGGCCGCCGCAAGTCAGCCGTCGTTTACAACGACAACAGGACTCCCAGACCGCAAGCCACAACGGCAGATGCCAAGAATGCGCTTCCTCATTGGCCCAATGGTGTGAGTTCGTGTCTTCCACCTGCACTGATCCTCTGAAAATGCAATTATCAGAAGGCCACCGCACATCGTGACAGAACCGCAAGAAAACCAACACAGCACGTCCATGTCCACCAACCCCCATGCTGTGAAACAAGGCACTTCATTGAAACATAAGAGGGTGTCCAGCCCTCACAAAGTGATGCAGTGCAATCAGGAAGCCCCCGCAAAGACCTCCCAGCATGATGACGGATTTGACCCCGCAAGATCAAATTGTGCGGGGTGCTAGGGTCCCTGTTACGGCGTGTTTCTGAGGGTGCTCTTTTCAGGTTGAACGGAAACAACTAGAACACTATGTTGGTTCTCCAACTTTCTCACTGCACTCGGAAAGAGCTCTGCGACTCTGATGTCTGGGAGCCTATGTACAAAAAAAACAAAACTCATCGCCATCGCGATGACAAACCGATGCGCTGAAGCTTGGGTCAGACATCTAAAACCTGCGAGAGGGAGCAGCACAGAGACATTGACACGTGCTTCACGGAGGCGAATGCACTGCACTGGTTGCCAAAAGGGTGTGGGAAATCAAAGAAGCATCCATCCCCTCTTCAGGGAAACTCACAAGTATTGGCTAGCTAGCACCAAAACACCCCCAACCATTTTTTGGCTGCGACATCCTCCAATTGTTTCCTTTAAGTCGGGACCCAGCAGAAAGGCTTCTTGGGTGTCTTTTTGCTAGGGGGACGTACGCAACGGTTGGTTTTCTTTGGTTTCCCTTAAAAACCATGCCAAAACTTGGTTGACGTTGCAAGGGGAGCACAAATTCAAAATAAATTGAAATTTCCCACTAAACCACAACAAGCAAAGGTGAAACAATGTTTCCCCAACCATAGCCGACAAAAAGGGGCGCCAACTCAAAACAAGACAGGCCCTTAACCCCCAGCCCCGACCAAAGGCTCAGGCCTCTGCCTCCGGCAGAGTGATGGCTCTACCTGGACGTGGCCCACAGCCCCCCCCAAACGGAGCAAAAAAACGTGTGCTCCACATGACCAGAAAATATCACCCTCCCACCCATTAACATGGAACCTGACATTTGTTTGGGGTCTTGGAAGACGAGATGGCAACTGTGAGATTGCCCAAACAAACCCGGTGGGTAATACCCCGGTGGCAGCTCTGCCATAAGGGCAAATCTATACACGAACCAACCAACATCCCTTGACAGAACAAAACACGAAGAAAAAAAACAGGCAGGAAGAGGTGGTATCATACACAAACCAAACTGACAACCCTTTAGACAAGGCAGAAACAGGCGGTATTCGGGCTCGTGTTGCTCTGCACGTTCCAGATCAAGTCCTTCTCAAGGAGCCCTTGTGTGGTTTCAGGCGAGTTCTGAGCGCTTGACCCGGGTACAAAAAGGCGAACAGACTGACAAATCTGGCTTTCGTCCGCTACTCACTTCCTGAGTGGGTTAAGTCCAATTTTTTCATTTATCGCCAAAACGGTCTTCCCGAAAAGCTTAAAGTCCAGGAACTCAGGAAGCGAGCACCGACGAGCGCCCGAGTTGGTTCCAGCACCCTGGCCCCAACCACTGCTTCTTGGACACTGGGGATGGAAAAGCAATTTGGGGGGTTGGGAGGGGTGCTGGTTGACCGATTTCTCTTTGGTCAGGCTCCCTGCTTGGCCTCCCTAACGGGAGGTCGATTGCAATGCCCAACCCCCAACTCAAGACGCCCTCCTCTTGGTTTCCCCTGAAACCACCAGGACGATTGCAATAAATGCTGGACCCGCTGCGAAGGTGTGAACTGCTGCTTCCACTCTTCCGGCCCGCGGAAGCATCACCTTTTGAGCCTTTTTGCTTGGTTCCTGGTGTAATGTTTGCAGACATACCGCCTAAACCCCATGCACGGCCGCAAGCCTCGCCTGGGCGACAGCGCTGGGAGTGTGAAGCCCGACTTCCCCTGACCGACACGTGAAAGCTCGAGCGGAAAATCATTTCTTAGATATCGATGTCCCTGGTAATTAGATTGTGAAACAACCAGGTCAACCAGGAATCGCTATTCGTTTTTCTTCCACCAAAACAACCGAGAACGACACCTTTGACTGGTTGCTCTTCCTGCACGGTCTCAGATTTTGCAGGTTTGATGCAGAACCTGGACAAGAGAAGCAAAAGGCAGGGGGGGAAAGAATCGCCGGCTCCTTGGCGGCCCTTTAAAACCATCCAAAATCCCACATCTTAGGGAAGGCAACGTGAAGGGATTTGCCCGAAGCTCCAGACGGGGCTTAGCTTCAGAGGCTTGCAGGGCCGCAGTTGTATATTCGATGCAGGGCAACGCGCAACACGGCCCGCCTTCGTCGCTTCTTCTGGACCTTGGAGATTGAAGCACATCGACGTGTGGCCATGAGGGATTGGATCTAACTCCGGCTTCATAAAACCCACCGGCAAAAACAAAGAAGCCCGCGTGGGGAGAGGAGAATCACCCCTGGGCAGAAGGAAGCCCAAACTGGAGAAGTGAAGGAAGCACTCGCCAATTTTCGGGGCCCGCCAATCAGCAGGGAAGGTATAAGCCAGCTAATTCATTATCTACTTGTTCACTTGACAGGGGATGCCTTTGGTGGCACAGCAAGTGGCAACCCTTTCAAAACACCTTCCATGGCCAATGGTTGTTCTATTTGTTTCTGGGACCTCAAAAACAACAACCTGTTTCCAGCAAAAGGTAAAGTCAAAAGGTTGCCTGTCCTGACATTCAGGTGGCAATTGCTGTTGGCAGCGACATCCGTGTATGAACAGAGGGGCGCCATCCCAGAAAACAAAGACGGCACTTGGGGCCTAATCCCACCTGTGATTAAGAACGCCACGGATGTGGGTCGATCCTTTGATTTTCTCCGTAAAGCGAAATCACAGCATCAGTTGAGCCCGCGTTGGCCTACACAAGATGCCCCCCTCTGCATTCCGAGCCCCCAGACGTTCCGGCATTGGTATGACCTGGACACGCAGAATCAATGGCAATGCGGACCAAGGGAGGTTGTCGTGCGCCAGGCATCATTTAGGTGCGACGAAATGCATAGACCTTCGTCCTCACCGAGTCAACACATTCCTAGCTTCACGCCTCGTTTCATCTCTCGGTAGCAAAAACGGAAATACAAGGTTCACCTTCCGGGGACTTGGATAAACATGGCCCAACTTGGGATAACCCTACTAGTTCCCTGGCGGGTGACAGGCTGTGAGTAACATCTTGGCGCATCTGTCGGGTATGTCGCGAAAATCCGCAACACCCTCGGCGTTAAGGGCTGCCGGTGTTCCAGTGCTGAATGCGGAACAGCGCACGAGTCGAAATGGGCGGCTGCAACCAACCACTTTTGTACAGGTGGGTCTGTCGTTCAACAAGACACTATCCTTCCGACGGTGGAAGCTGACAGAGGGGTTTTGAAAAGACTACGTTCCTTTTGGGGAAGCACTGTCCACTTCGATGATTGGAGGGAGGGTAGCACCTACCTCAAATGCAACAAAAGTGAAACCTGAAAGGACATCTGCTCATGACGGTAATGCTGTAGCACACCCATCATGACAGGCAGAAGCCTTTTTGGAGGAAAACTTAAGTCCGGTCCAAAGGAAAGTGGACCTAATACCCAGTTTGCGTGCCTTTTTGTTAAGGGTACAAAGGAAACGAGCCCCATTTTAGGGGTCCAAATCCCCGTATTTTCGCAGCTACCCACTTCAACCGCAACCATGGAAGCGTGGCGTTCTTGACCCGCCTCCTCATCCCGGCTGTACTTCATCCGCTCCCTTGCCACCGCGACAAGCTGGTCCTAAGGATTGGCTGCCCGGCAGGATACCCTTCCACTGGTAGGTGTCCTTTTAGGGCAAATAGATGGCCCTGGTAGATGATTAAAACAACAGGTAAACCAGGGCCATCTATGTGTTCTACCAAAACAACCTAAAAGGACACCTATGCTCCCACTGGTCGCACCAAGCCACTTTTGGAGTTTAGCTAATTGTCACAGGAAAGCCGCTTCACAACCGAAGTGGTGAGAAGATACAGTATCTTTTTGTTCGCAAAGAAAAACCATCGCTGGTGCGATGGGTAGGGAATGAGAATTGGAATGACCCTTGTAAACCATCCAACTGGTAGTTTCCTTTAAGGGGACCCTTGGATTCATTCCCGCATTCCTTACTGTGTCTTGTGGGGCGCGCCTGTCACGTGCAAACCACAATCGGCAGTCGCTTGAAAGCATGTGCATCTGGCAACTCATCGACCTGAATAGGGATCCCCCGAGCAAAGAACCTTCGTGCCAAACCCTCGGTGAAGTCGCGGCCGAGAAGTTGAGGCACGCAGCGAAGATAGGGGGACATATTCCAACCGGGGGGTAGAGGTAAACTCCCCTGAAAGTGCCTAAATTAGCTTGTTGCGAATCAAACAACACAACCACATAAGCAATAAAACAGGAACCAAACAAAACAAGCACGCAAAGAAAGGCAAACAGCAGAGCTGAAAGCAAAAGGCCGAGGCTCAAAGTCACACACGGGGCACCCTTCAAAAGGCGTCTCAGCCAAATCTCTGGCCGTTCAAATTGGAGACGTGGCCAATGCTCGAAGCCCTACGAGCCGGTATAGAGAAACCAAACGGAAACCGGACCCCCGGTTTGCGCAGCACACACCTGACCCAAACTGCGCGTCACCACTTCGGTGAACGCCGATGTCACATTTCCAGCTACGAATTGCATCCTTTTCAGGGCAACCAACCCCCACCGTCCATAGGCTGCCGAAGCGCCATCCGATCAAAGAGCTCCAACCTCTCGAAGCTGCCTGCGTCCCAGTTCGAGTTTGTGCCACAGGAACGGCACCCGTTCCAAGAAATTTGGTGTGGGTCAAAACATTGAACCACTAGGGGAAACCGCAGGTTTTGGTCCATGTTGCCATTTGCCAGGGTTTTATTGTGGCTACCTATTTTTGACCCACAGCGAATTGACTTTGTACCAAGATGGTGATATGGGTCTATAAGGTGATATTGGTTGTATCAAGATGCTTTTGGCGCGCTTCAAGAGAAACCAAAAGGAACTCATCCTTGTCTTTCTTCTTTTCTTTGTTTGCATGCTGCGTTTTTCTCAAACAAGACCAACCCGCAAAGGCGCTATACACAGAAGACAACTCACCTCCGAAGTGGACTGGCAAAACAAGTCCAGACTGTTTGTTGGCCACTAAAATGGTCTTCCCAAAACGTCCAAAGTCCAGGAACTCAGGGAGTGAGCCAAGCAGAACCAGCTCCTAACAAGGCCAATGGCGTGGTTGGTGCACTGCTCTCGTAAGCACTTGGGATGTCAACCTGCTTAGTACATTACGCAGGTCTATAGCCAGGGGTTGTATGGGACGGCAGGGGCTGATGGACATATGTGATATAAATATCATAGATATCCCCTAATTGCTGAGTCGCTTGATCATTCAAGCAGGGTATCATTCTTTGGTGGTCCCTGGTCCCCCTAATCTGTTACCCGTACTGCAATGCACTCACATGTAAGCCGGCCAAATCCTTTCCGGAACCTACCCGGAGGTTCACCCTCCAACTATCATGGAAACTGGGAGATGTTGGAAGAGGATTGGGGAAGCCCACTGTCCACTTGAACTGGATATAGAGCAACCAATAAGGTGGTTCCCTTGTCTTACCTATGAGGGGAATGTAATCGCGGAGGGCTTGCCTTCAGCGGAAGAACCGATTTCAGCCAACTGGGCTGAGAGGCTGGAACTGAACCCAGGAAGAGTATGTCTTGCTAGGTGAGGGAAATAGTTCGGCAAATCAACCAGTTCGTTCCCTTCTCAGCTTGAGACAAAGCCCAAAGTGGTCGAAATTTGAGGGGTTTCCCACATGAGATGTGAGAAACAATCAGTTTGGAGTAACATGCCGGAAGCTCTCACAAGGCAAATATATCCCGACGGGGTTCTGGGACAACTACTGTTCAACCAAACTACGTCATGATCATAGGATCTAAAACTTGCTGGTGCTCAGCAGGGATTGAGAAATGAAACGACCCTTACAAACCATCCAAGGGGGACACAAACCTCGGTGCGTTCCCGCATTCCCTATCGCAAGCAAAACAACTTCGCCAGAATCAACCACATAGCAACCAGCTCCCTCTCCATATAACTTCGCCAGAATCAAGCACATAACCTGGAGTCTCCATGACCCGAAGCAAAAATGGGTCCATGACCCCCTCTGATTTCGGGTCAATCGCCCCCATTTTTTCTCGGGTCAATTCAGACTGGCGAGTCCTCCCTGCGATTTCGATCCGGGCGCCGGGCTCTCTCCGGTGCGCACCGCCGAGGGCTTGTAGTTCAAGCAGGCCATCCTGAGAGCCAACTGTACCCTCCGAAACCTCCCTTTGCTTAAGTTTTCTGGAAAAAAATATAAAAAATACCTCCGGTAGTGACAGATTCCAGCTAAAACCAACAGTGTTGTTTCTTTTTTGTTTATCATATTATTGACCAAATGAAAGGAAAGGACCCCTTGGTGTGTTCGGGAAAAAACAAAAACGCGTGGATCCCGCAAATGGCGGTTTTCATGTTGGGGTCCCTTGAAAACAGCCCAAAAAAGAGTAGCCTCAAAAAAAGAAACCCAGATTTCTCCCCGACCCCAACCAAGAAATTCAACTAAAAGCGCGTCAACTGGTGATGTCTAAACGAGCTGCAAAGGGAAATGGACGGCCGCTGTCCACCCCACAAAACAAAGCATTATACATCCACTTTGACGACGACAACGTACGTTGCACACCTGTACTCTCCTTGTCAACGGCACGAGCATACGACTTGCCCATAGCAATCATGAACCATCGGCTGTTGATTATTCGTGACTGTCTTTCTGTTGATTATTCGTGACTGTCTTTCATGCGTTCGCTAGCATTGTGTATGCATTATCTAAACAGTTAACAGCTACTCACCCTGGAACCTTCTTCGCCCCAGCTGTCTCTTTTCCATGTCCAAGCCACTGGTGAGAAACACGCAAAAAGGACTGAGGTCCAAACTTGAACCCAGACAACACCATCTGTGTCTGGCTGCAGCAGGAATAGCAGCGCTTGTCCAGGCTGATGATCTGGAGCGTGAAAAAAAACACAAAACGACGAGGGGGCATGTACAGGAGCCGTTCGCACTGGCGCTTAGAAGCAGCCGAAGTTTCCCCGTCGCTGTGGCGAAGTCATGAAAGGCACCAAATCATTTCCTGCCCAGCAAAAGGACTACGCGTTACTCAGGCTTGCCTTTGGCCAGACGGGCGACCCTGGCTATGTTTCTGCATCTCAAAAGCCCACACATGCGGCAAGGCAAAGGCTTGCTCAACCACTCAAACAATTCCCACCATGTTGTATAACGAACTCCCATGTTAATGGACTAGCAGCTGACTCAAGTGCCCTTCCCAGGCTTGAGGCTGACAGTTGACGATTGGGTATGTCAAAATAGGACCCACCCCCCAAAAAAAGAGAGAGAAAAATGGTGTCCTTCCTTTTGGCTCATCTTTGAAACCAAGGGGAAAAAAGCCGCACAGAAACTCTCTCACACACACACACATATGGGATGTTTTCGGGAATAGAAGCGCCTGCGACGCATCCTCCTTCTTCCTGGGCGACCTTGGCTGTCGAGTAGAAGCAAACAAATTGCACCAGTACAAGAATTTGGGCCCTCCCTAAAATGGTTGGCTCCTCGTTTCCCTTGACTCCCAGCCAAAAAAGGTCTAGGTTGAGACAGACCCAAACCATAGTCTTCTTCGGGTCTTCTGCTCAAAGGCTGCTGAAAGCCCTTGGGGCGCGGGGCGATGCGTTTGGATGGGCATGGGTGTCAACAGCCGCCAGCAATCAGCGATCCCTCCCAAGATGGGCATTTGGTTCCATTCGCTTCAGTCCGCTGAGAAAAAGAAAACAACAACATGTTTCCAGTAGTGATAGATTCCCTTCGAAATGAATAGGGGAAAATCCCAAATACTCACTCATTTCGGCAAGTGGAAGGTTTTCAAAAAGCAGGGGACCTCGCCAGGTGGCAAGAAATGGTTGTTGCTTCTCCCTCTGAGAGGCCCAGCTGATTGACTCACATTCTTTCTCAACTCAAACACGAGTTGCCGTGGTCGGAATCCTCGCTCTCTCAATTCCATCGACGATCAAAAACGGGCCATTCAAGTGCCATCAAAGATACCTTCCGGGTTCAGAGGAACATCCCGTAATTTTGAGAACCCCTCAACTTCTCAACATGCGAGCACTCTAACTCTAACACCCGGGAATGGGGAATGTCAACATAGGACACGTCCTATGGGTGGTGCTCTTTTCCGGCTTCCCAGGACAGCCCCCAATTTGGGTGGCCCGATTCTTTTTTCCCAGACATGGACGTCCTTTCGGACGCTTCTCATTGTCCTTTCGTGGGGATGATTCGAACCCCTGACAAAAGCGTGGCTAAATAATTCGAGTGGGGGTTTGGGGTACCATAAACCTATCTTCAGTCATGACCATGGGAACATTCTGTGTGTGTGTGCGCATGTGTCTGTGTACTCATAGATGCTCCTTTTAGGATAGTTTAAGGCTAGAAATCAATGGCGCTGGTCTAGCTGGGCACACTTCCATCCAGGGCGATTTGTTTTACCAAAAGGAAACCCATCTTTCTGAGTGAATTATACTATTTCACCAACCTGAAATAAGGTGTTTTGGGGGTCTATTCCCCACATAAACCATTTGGGTGAGGTCCTGTGAGGTCGTTATACAGGGATCCTTACATTTGCACCTGAACATTGCCTTGTAAATGGTGGTTTCCCTTCATCTTGGAGGAAAAAGGCGTGTTTCAAATGGGCAAAAAGTATCTTTTAAGGAGCCCTGTTGTAATTCACCCATATCTTTGCAATGAGTCAGCCCCTTGTAATAACCAAAACACGACGCCCATTCCAAAGCGACGACTAAGCTCGGCATCCCCGACCTTTGCGCCTTGGGCGAGGACTTGGCAGTGACGTCGCCCTGGGCCCAAAAAAGCGGAGAGAGGTGTTTTGCTTTGCCAGGGTGGCAGTTGTTTGTTTGCTTGTTTGCTTGTTTGCTTGTTTGTTTGTTTGTTTGTTTGTTTGTTAAGTTATATTGCATGTGTGTTTGTTTGATTGTTTGGTTGATTGTTTGATTGTTTGTGTGTTTGCTTGCTTGTTTGGTTGCTTGCTTGCTTGCTTGTTTATTTGTTTGCTTGTTTGCAGATATTTGTCTTAAGGAAACCAAAAGGGCAACTGCATCTTGTTTGGATCCCTCCATTTAGACACACACACACTCAGAGTCCGGGGTGGCCCCAATCCGGGTCTTCTTTGGACCCCTTCAGGAACCTGCTGACCCGCTGGAAGCCTTTCTTTTGACAGGAGAAAAACGTGACCATGGCCCACGTATTTTTTGGCACCCTGTAGGATTGGTTAAACTTTCACCACCCTGTTTTGGGACCACCCGTTTGGCGACAAGCCGAATGCAACATAGATCCTCTGTTCGGAGAAAAAAGTCATTGCGCGATCGGCAAAACCCAGCACTCCTCCCACAGAGCGAATCGCGTAGAAGCAGTGATGATTTTCCGGACAAATCGGACCGTGTGCCTGCTTGTGCCAGAATGTCTACCGACATTGGACAACAACTGACATGGGACGCTTGTCGTTGAAATCTGTGCTTAAGGACTGCAACACGGCACGTCAATTATCACAAGAAAGGCCTGACTTCGTCCTCGCAAGCTGCGAAGCTTCTGTCAAGATGCGCCAACAAGCACCTTCAAAAACATGGGTGGAACAACAGTTTTCAATACCTAGGTCCTCCAGTGGAGAGGTCTATTTTTGTAGGGGAACCCTCCCCCAAAAAAGGGTAAAAGGGCACTACTGGGGCTCCTTGATACAGATGATGTGCGCCGTTCACTCAACAAGGTGGCGAACGCCGGTCATTCGAAATGGCCATGTTTGCCCTTCACACATCATCTGAATTCATGGGGGCTTGATGGTTACTATAAAAACAAACACGCATTTGCGCGGCACATCTGCACGCTGTTTCCAAAAAGCAAATCGATTCCGCCAGCTTACAACTTTTGAGCACCAAAGAGAGGTGAGTGGATTCTCCCAAATCAAAAGTTGATAAACTTAGTGGTTTCCATTGAAATCGCCTGGAGGGAACCCAAAAAGATTAAACAATTGTTGGGGTGACCCGGTCAACGGGTTCAGAGATTTCTGAATGAAGCTGGAACCTGTTGATTAAAACCCGTTGAGGGGCTCTTGAATTGTTTCCGGTTCTGCAAAAACTCGCTTCTTCAGTGGATAGGATCAACTGTTGCTTGCCACTAGAATGGCCTTCCCAAGTATAAAACAAAAGCATCAAGTCGGTATCTGTCAAAACTAGTGATTGCCTACAAAGCCGCTTTTGGTTCCCCCTTAAAACCATCCCAAAAAGGGGTACCTTCAAAGAAACTTGACGAGTCGGCCTCCTGGTTCTTGAAGGGGGCCACGGGCTTGTACCCGACCAGCGACACCCGCGTCCAGTCTGCAAACTCCTCACCACTCGGGGGCTGTGTGCGGGGGTGGGGTTTCGGGGGGGGGGGTTGTGGTGGGGGGCTGGGAATATCGTTTAAGGATAAACCCCCGAAGTTCTTCCGCACCAATCACAGCTCGAGCTGTGTGTCTCTGTGGCACGGGGCTGGGGTTTCGGTGGTTGGGGTGCGGCAACAGGATCACCTTCATTGGCCGGAACTTCGGGGGGTGGGGTGTGGGGGTGTGGAGCAACATGATAATGCTCATTCGCATGAACAGGCCACTAGCCAAGGCCCCGTGTTTGTGTTGACCTGTTAGTTACAGTGTTTTCAGCACACGAGACACTGAGAGACCTCATACCACCTCAGTGACTGCGCCCAGTCAGGCGTTCAATCTGCCGCTCTGCAAAGTATAGAATAGACTGTCGATGTCTGCTGGTGCTGCGGAAACGGAGCACATCTGCAGGTGTTGGGCGGTGCGGTCTGGTGCGAGACCTGTGGTGAATCCTCGTGCTGCAATCGGGGTTTGATGCGCGTTGCCTATTGCACCTGATCCCGGCCTCTGTCGTTCATGCAGATTGACGCGGACTTCGGCGGAATACTGTACATAACAAGTCAAAATACACATGGGGGCTCGGCTAGTGGCTTGTTGACCCTCTTTCTTTGGAGAAACTCAGGGTTTCGACCTGGTTTGACGATTGAGCTGAACATACAACAGGCTAAACAATTAAAATAATCCTCCTAAATTCAGGAGTCCCTGAATTGCCACGTCAACAATTGCGATATGTTGCAATTTACTGGTGTCCATTGAAACTGTCAGTTTTCAAGCACCATCGGAAACAAAAACACACATAGAGATATACACACAACACACACACACCACAAACACACAAACAACACAAACAGCACAAACAGCACAAACAACACAAACAACACAAACAGCACAAACAACACACAACACAAAGACAGACAGGCAGGCAGGCAGGCAGGCAGGCAGGCAGGCAGGCAGGCAGACAGACAGACAGACAGACAAACAGACGGGTACAGAAGCACAAATGAACAGCCACAAACGCACAAACATACAAACACAACATACGGAGACACACTCACACGCGCACAGACAAACATAGGCACACAGACAGGCAAACACACAGACAAACAAACATACCAAAACCCAAACATTCAGACACGCACACAGACACAAAGGGACAAAAACAGAAGCACACAAACAGAGAGCAGCGCCCAAGCCTGCTATGATGTGAGACGAGAAAACACGACACGTTCCATGCTACTTGGGGGAGCAAGGACCCCGCTGCCGACTCCTGACGCTCCAAGCTGATCTGCAAGGCAATGACCTGTGAAAGGCAATCATCGCAGGTCATATTGGAGGCGAGAGTAATTACTAAATGAATACCCCAAGGGCTGAATAGGGATTAGGAGTATTCTAGTTGGTTACGTTTACGGGAAATTTAAATAAGAGTCATTTCCGTTGTCAATGCTTCATTGGGGTGGGGCCAAGCCGGAAAGCTGCGGCCGTTTGATGCCCAGCTTCCCAACTGCGCACTGCCTGGAGTTCAGAACAACAGAAACTGGAAGTAGTAAAAAATCTGGGCTGCAAGAGGGAATGCGCAAATGCTTGTCAACGGAGCTTACCAGCCATGGCACATGGGCTCGGTAAGCAAGCTGGTGCGCCCTCCCAACTTTGGTGGCAATCCTTCTCGCTCGCGGAAAAAAAACCACCACTATCTTCAATTTGCTTAAGCCCCCTGGAAAGAAACAAAAACAAAACACATATTTCCATTAGGGATCGATTCCTTTTGCAAAACCAACAAGGGGAAAACCATATTCTTAAACAAATGGAAGCCATGGATCCAGCAATTGATGTAAGAGCCCTGGCTTCCAGACCCAGTCCCGCCTCCACCAGGCACCCACAGAGAGGTTCCAGGCTTTTGCAGGCTGGCGGTGCGCTCGCTACTTGACGACCGGGCTGTTCCAACATGGGTTCCCGGATCTCTACTCCTAAGCTGCAATCCGGATGGGTGGGGAAACCACTACAACAGTACCATCTTGCATAAAGATTAGGGATTGATTACAAGCAATCCAAAACCAGGAGATAACCCGGATTGTCACATGAGCATAACCATGAGGATGTGTACGTTGAGTAGTTCTGATCCGGGCTTTGTGCTATGAACAGGTCACAACAGCATGCGGAAGTTCCCTCTGCTGCTCAATGCACTCAGCAATTAAAGTGGCATTGTGTTGGCTTCGTTCTGAGACCATCCCCAAGCAAAAAAAGCAATGCTTCGTGCCGCCGAAGTGCAACTTGCGATCCTTCTTTTCGGATGTTCATGGACATGTCTCGAAACTAGCTTTGCTCTTGCAGATGGATGGAGTCATATAAACCAGTTCAAACACACCGCACCAATGACAATTTATTGTATGGCTTGGGTTTGGAGGTATATGGAAGCCAGCAAAGACACGAGCATTACTAAGGCAGCATGTCAGCAATACACATTGCAAGAAGACAAGTCCTGATATGTCTGCTGTTGAGCAAGTCAATCGTCACCTTGTGAGCCTTGTCAGGTAAGCTTCCTTTGGCTGGGGTAACCTTGACACCCGCACCTGTTGCAGGAAGCAAACGTAAGGCCGAAGCCTCAAACTTGTTAGCACTCGCGGGTTTCTACTTCGCACATATTGGGGCTAAATCCATACCCCGCCGCAGAAACCCCAGCCCCAGCTCGCCCCAAAACCGAAGGCCTCGCACTGCGTCCTCCACTGAGTCATGAAGGATGGCCAGCTGTTGGCCCACTTCCTACGAAGAAAGCGAACAACGCGACATGGCGCAACTCCCAATGTGGGCTGTGGCTCAAAAACATGTACCAAAATGGCACCTTGGCAAATGGAGCCAACAACTGACTAAAGGGACCCATGGGTGGACATCATTGAGGTGGGGATTCATGTCCACCAATCACTTTTGAGGTCGTTCCCTATTAAAATTCATGGCCATGCAGGTACCATGTCCTTGCAGAACTCCGATCCGGAGCGTCTAAAGGCACAAACTTGGATACCGCTAGCTCCCGAACGGCTCCCTTCCCACCACTCGCTAGGCGGGGCTATGATCCTTGGTCCCCGTGTAAGAAGAGACAACCAAGACCCAAGAAACAACAACCAACAGCCAGCTACCAACAACCAACAGCCAGCTACTAACAACCAGCACAACATACCAACCCACAAGTAAAGGGGTCTTTTGACTATGGCACGAATGGGCCCAGATCTCAGGAAGTTATATACCTATGGACCCACCCGATCCGAAAAGGACAAGTGGATGAAACTCCAAGACAAGCACATCCCACTCCAGTAATAGGGCTTCCCGAAATGGGGCCTGAGTTTATTTTCAGCTGGAAGCTGGGGAAAAGTGCTTCAAATACAACAACTCACCATACTGCGAGCCCTGGACGAATTTAGGACCCTCCAATGATGCGTGTTGGGCTTTACATTACTCATGAGGCTATTGCAAGAACTGGACCACCCCTTGAGACCGAAAGCTACCCCGCGGCTTCGGAAGACGAATTTCCTTTGGGAAAAGGGGGGGAGAGCTGTGCACTTATTACATGTTTGTTCGCCGACATCATTGTCTTCTGCTAACGCTTGTCTTAGTATCCCCACAACCCTAAAAATTATCATTCCCTAGGCCCTTGTACTCTGGTAAAGTCATGTTCGTGGATCTGGGAACTGCCCACTTACCCCACCCGTGCAGCAATTTGTGAATTCCAGGCCTTCATCTCCAACTCCAAAGTGGTCTTCTCACGCCTGGCTTCGAAGGGGTCAACTCCTTCGTGGGATTTGGATGGCGGATAGCGGGGAGCGATGAGTCATGGCAAACTCAAACTGGTCTACCCAACTCCGCAGGACGGAAAACAAACATATTTTGCATGGCCACATCCGATTCTTGAGACTGTCCCCTCCTCATCCCTCCAATGACCCAGGGTTTGGCCATGGGTCAAAATCCAAATCGTACCCCCAGTTCTAAAAAAAAGTGGTGCACAGAAAACCCCCCAAAGTGGGATCCCATTGGTTTTGACCACCACAGCCGTTTGACGGCCAACAAAAGACCGCGGCGAAGATCCCGAGGTGCCGACTTCCTTCTGCGGTCGTATTCCTCCAAGCCCTCGCGGCGTGCGGCAAAGCTGGAGCGGTTTCGTGTTTTTTACGAGTTGAAGCCCAAAACAACAGTAAAAAAAGGGTTTCAAAATCAGTTATAAACAACAGTAAGTAAACAAAAATCATATCTCATATCATATGATTCTCGAAATCAGTTAGCCGGGTTTCTCTTACAGTAACTGTGAAGCAACAAAGGATAATATGACAACAAAGGAGATACTGTGGGTGGACGAAATCCATCTCGCGCCACCGAAGAAGTCCTATGATGATTCCCCTGTCACTACCAAAAAAACAAATGGTTTCCCATGGCTTCAAAGTGGTGCAGGATTTCGTCCATCCACCCGCATCATTCTCAAAATCATGCCCCCCCCCCAAACAAAAAAGAGTAAAGTTTTAAACGGGTTGGTTCCCTCTTAATTTCTCTTTAGCTGCCAACCCACAGGGGGCCCCACTATTTTGAGGAAACAAACGTGTTGCAAGGGCTCCAGATCACAAACGTCACGAGGATGAAGGCCGAAAGCAACAAAATAACGAAGTGGCGGCACGAGTCGAACCTCCATGAGTCGGAGCGTCACCTTGGGCAATGACAATGCCTCACCCATTGGGAAACTGGATCTACAACACACAAAGTGTGAAAAGCAAAGAAAGATTAAATCCACACGTTCTGCCCGCCGTTATGCTGCTGTGCACGAATTCCTGGGGAAAAGAACATGAATCCCCAGTCTCCCCCAAAACTTGTGGTGCTCAGTAGGGAATGTTATAATAAACCCAGGGGTTCCCTTACAGCAAACCACCAGTCGGATTATCTTTGGTTTTTCTTTCTCGGGGTCATTCCACTTCTCATTCCCTGCATCTCTCGCAGCAGCGTGCAAAATGGAACCGCCACTGCCACTGAGGGGGTCATGTGCCATCGCCTCACGGAGCTCCCTCAGGATGGCCTGGCAGGAGCTTTCTCTGAGGCAATTGTGGCGGGTCTACGAAGCGCTGAGACATGGCCCCGCCCAGTCATCACACTCAGTGCCTCCTGAAAGCATCTCATTCGGCGAAAAACACCAGTTACACTCCATGTCATCCTGGGATTCCATGCAAAACATGGGCAATGGACTGCGAAAATGAACCGAGTCATCCAGAAGCCAACTGATTCATGGCTTCGTCGCAACAAAAAACCCGTCCGCGGCTTTCTATGGCTTAAATGCTCTCTATCTTCAGGTTCACTGGCCCTGCAAGGCTCACCTTGTGCTTGACAGCAACCTACCCCACACCGCATGGCGACCGATGCCGGCAAAAAGTCACAGGCAACGCCAGAAGTGCGTCCTCCGCGGTGCCTCCGCGGCATATAGTGGAGAGTTACCTAAATGAATACATGGGGTGCGTCTCAAAATAGGGGAACCCCCCAAAATGGTCAGTTTCCTTTCGGTTTTCCTCCAAACCAACCTGAACATGGTGCCCTCAAACAAAGACGCAACCACCCTGCTGCAATGCGCATCAGCCCGCGCCTCGTTCCGGGCATCCGCACGCTGCCGGTCCTGTTGCATGTCGGAGATCTCCGACCTGCGAGAGAGGTGTGCCATGATCGGTGCCTTAGGTTGCCTGGTACCAAAAGGGTTTACCCAACTTTCCAGCCCTTGCTTTTGCAGCCCCCTACTAAAAATGCACAGAACCAAACAACAATAAACAATCACTTAGAAACTTGCCAACAACCGTGAAGGCAAGCCATGCAGAGAATCCAAAGGGCAGCCGCACCTATTTTTGGCCGGCACGGTCCCCTAGCCTTCATCTACCCAGAATTTTATTGTGGCTGCCTTTGACTCCGGAGAGAGCATGGAAGTGTTCTTCTTGAAGCAAATTATTCTGGTCAATGCTCACCGAGTGTCTGGACATATCCGTCCTTTTGTCCATTCACTGTTGGTTGGGAAACGTTTCCAAACTTTCAGTTTGAAAAGCTGTTCAGTGGATTCAAGCCTTTCCCCTTTTTGCTTAGCGGATTACCAAGCATAAACGGTGAACGTCTTTCATAAATGTGTCCCTGTTCCTGCCAGAGTCACTGGGCAGGGTCTGCTTTGTGACGCCTGCTTGCATGAGAACGGCAAGCCTTTCAAGACATCACCTTCCTGTCCGCTTTCTGCTTTAGATACTAAACGCCAATATGTATACTTTGATTTTCCCTGCAAACGAAAACCGGATGCGAATCCTGCGTGGGACAGCAGAGGAGAAAATCATCTTGACTATGTGTCGACAAGGCCCCTCCTCCACAAACAGTTGCACTGTTTGCTGGTTAGTGGGGACCCCACAAAAAGCCCCACGTTCTCGATCTTTATTGAGAGGTGTCCCCTTTTTGGTGGGGGGAGGCCACGTTTGTGAAAAACCACCCCCAAAATACTAGTACGGGTTCTACTTTGTTCCGGGGTCTTCCAAGTAGTTAGACAAGACTCCACCCACTCCGAACAGTCCATCGCGCCTAAAGTCCTGGCAGATGACCTCCGTCTTCCCACGAAGGTTCTCGGTGTCCTGCAGGAGCCGCTGATTCTCCACGCCTCGGAGAAGGCCCCGGCGCCGTGAACCGAAGTGGGCGAGGCTTGCTGAGTATCTCCGACCTCCGGCGTCTTAGACTAGGTCCAGATTTGAGAGGCTGGAATAGGGTACCGATCTTTTTGCTGGAGTCTAGTAGGGGAACCCTCCCAACCAAAAAAAAACGGGTGAGAAAGGGCACCAATTGCTGGGGCAGCCTCGCATGGATGGCCCTGTGGAGCAGGGCAAACCGCAGGTTTTAGTCTTTGGTTCCATTTGCCAAGGCAAGCCATGGGTGCCATTTTTTCAGCATCCATATAGTGGGGAACCAGCTAGCAGCTTTTGGTTCAAAGCCTGTTTCTTTTGGTTACACAGCTAAATGGAAAAGCCAGAAAGGAAGCCCATTACCTATGTTCACCTTTCCCGGTCACCCGAGTCTCACATTTCCGGGCTGGGGATACGGCGAACCTCGTCCATGAAGTTGGCCGTCTGGTTCGCCGCCTGAACTGCGGTGGGTTTCCGTGTTTGTTGCAAAAACCGCCAAGGGAAGCCACTCAAAACTCACTTCCGATCGAGTGGGTTGGAGAGAAAAAGTCGCAACTTGTTGTTTGGGACCAGAATGGTCTTCCCAAGTTGAAAGTCTATGAACTTGGGGCCCCAAGATGATGGTGTTCCTTCTGATTGCCCTTGCAAACCACCAAAACAAGGCTGCCACCAACAGGAGCCAGTCCCATTTCTCGCTCGCTCGGGCTCCGGGTGACTTGCGGTACTTCCATGCCGCTCCATCGGAGACAAATCCCTGGGGGGGAGGGCCTCAAAAAAAAAGAAGAGCCCAGGCAGATTGAGCCCAACTTCAGAAATCGGCCAACGGAATTCTGGAAAATGAGCTAAAAGGCTAAAATCCATCAGAGAAAAACAAAAACCGCTCAAACTTGTGTTTCTTTTTTCCGCTTCGAGCACCCCCAAGGTTGGTGTCCTTTTGGTCAGCCATGTCTGGAACCGCACCCGATTCCAGACTTCAGCCTCTCAGGCCCTGGCAACGTCCAGCCTGAAGCCCGCCCCAAGGCGATGCCAAACGAGGCAAAGCAGAACCGTCTCAAATTTCAAATTCATAGCCTCGGTTTCGCGAAGATCCAGATGGGAGATGGGATTTTTATTCCAAAACAAAGAAGAATATTTAAAAGCCCAATCTAAATTGAAATCAAATCCAAAGTGGTTTCCCTGTTTCCCTTTGACAGCAACCAAGAAAGGGACGCACTCAAATGGGCAGCCGGAAGCGGAATTTCAGGCTTGCACCGATCGCCCCAGATCCCTCGCTTCGACTTTCTTGCGGCTCCCAAAGGAAAACATGGTCACGAAACCCCCCATGTTGTGCTTCGGTGACAAGACTCACGGCGGCCATCTTTGACACAGGCTGGGTCACGCCTCATGATTTCAACTACGGAAGACCCTTGGGGTCTGGTTGAACAGTTGCCACACGCGCAATGCCCCAAAGAACACGGTCCCCAAAGAAACACGGACCATCTACAAGGGTCTGAAATAATTAGAATGGGGTAGAGGGGTACATGGTTTGCCAATTTTAGGAGGGGGGGAGGGTAATGTGTTGATAATTGCTTGCGCCTTACCCTAAGGGTCCCTTGAGAGTTACCTTGTAAGGATGCACTTTGCCCCCTTGACCCCCCGAACATCCTATCCCCCCCCCCAAACCCAAACATCCTACCTCGCCCCCCTTCCAACCCCAAACGTCCTAAGGTCCTAAGATACCATTTGGGACATCCGGGACCTGCCCAATGCCCATCCTTTGGGCCGGCGCCCGATGCGGATCGTCTCTTTGTTGGCCGCCGTGGCCGCTGAGAAGGCCTTTCAAAAGCTGCTGCAGAAGGCGAAACCGGGCACCGAAGCCTCCGTGGCTTTCTGTGAACCACCCAAACGGCCTATAACCGCTGTAACATTGGATTTGTTCAGGAGCATCAAAACGGCCCGGTAAACAAATAACTGTTTTCGAAACCACCCCAGGGGAGAAACAAAAACGTGCCCAGTACGTTCCAACCTGACAAAGGACAATGTTCGTTTGGTCTTTGGGCCAGCATTGTAAGAGCTCAGGGACTCCCGAGAAGGGGAGCCAGATGGGTGAGGTGGCCAATGCATCTTGCGAGTTCGCGATTGCCCAGCTTGACGTGGACAAGCTAACTAGTGGCGACCTGAAGCTACCCCAAAACATGCCAACGGATGGTGCAGGCTGCCCACAAGGGCAGCAAGGTCTCTGTCGGGCTCGCGGTCGCTCCGGGCCTTCCGAATGGTGGCTGCCTCAGACATGTCCCAAGCTAAGTGAGTTGCAGACACTGAAATTGCGCCCCAGGTTCCTGAATAAGCATGGCTCCCGGACATGGCTCAATCAAAGAGTTGATCACTGGTCTCAATGTGGGTTTTGAAGCCGGATGTCTGCCTGCCTTGCCAGTTCATTGGATGCTAACCCCTCTCTCCGGCCTCATGAATGGAATGCAGACTTCTCATCCCAATGGGTCCACGGGGTGGCCCCCCCAGCTTCGGCCAAACTTGTGCACTCCTTGTCAACGTTCCGCCCCACACACACACACACAAAAAAAAAAAAAAACAACTACCACCCTCACTTTTGTCAAGGGCAAGATGTCAAATGGTACCACACATTGACCCAAGCGGGAAGCTTCGGCCAAACTTTTGGCTACAAGGCAAACGGAAACCCGCGGGATGGATATCCCTAAACGAAAAACCCCTAGAAAGGCCCGACACATCGGACCGCTCCAATGCGTCCATCCGGTCGAAACGAAATTCATCTCGAGATGGTCCCCATGAAACAATGGCTGGCTCGCAAACCTAATCCTAGATCACATGCAAACCTCCCGTCTGCTTTGCGAGGCGTTTCATGTGTGGTAAAATCGTTCAACCCAATCCATCCCCCCCCGACCCCACCCCCCGCCCCAATCCACCCCCACCCCCACCCCAACCCCCAATCTACCCCCACCCCTGCCCCCCGAATCCAAATGGAAAGTCCCCATCCCCAAGCGTACAAAAGACTCCAGCGAACTGAGGCAGAAGCTTCGAAGCGGGACTGGCCCAGCCTCGTTCCAGAGAGAAACACCTCTTTTGTTACCCCCAATTGACCCGTTGATTTTCATGGGAAGAAAGCATACTTGTTTTTAGTAGTTGGTTTTCAAGGGAAACCCCCTACAAAAAAGGAATAGGAAGTACAAACACAAACTGTAGCTTCGTCTTCCTCAGGCCTGGCGCCAACAAAAACACGCGCTCTGGGACAAAGTTCGAGTACAAAAACAAAACAGACACGTAGGCCAGCACATTTGTGGTTCCCAAATATGCAGAGGCAGACTCATTGCAAAGATGTCAAAGTTTCAGGAGAGTCAGCAAGGTGGACATCCGCACTTCCGTAACAAGCTAGCATACCCCACTGTCTATCCCAGGAAACAGCCTTTGGCGCAAATTCTTGGGCCAATGCGCCACTCTAGTTCAGTTGAGCACCCCGCCAGTCTGCCAGCTCTTGCTGCATCTTCTCCAGCCTTGGGAGTCAGCATGCAAACCTGGCCTCACAGGGGGTCCACCATAAGGGCTGGGGTTGTGGCCGAGCCACACGGAGGTCATGATCTAGGGAGCGACAAATGTGAGTAACACAAATCGCCCATCCTCTTGGACCAACATGAAGTGGATAAAACTGCCCGACACCATGACCAAAACCAGCAGCCGCGGGTCTGCCCGCGCTTCGGGGGTCTGGGGCTGACCTGCACTCAAGTGGCGTGCCGAAACGTTTTGGACCAAATGGTGGGGGAAATTGGTAACATTCATCAGAGCATGGCCCCAACTGAAAGCCAAACCTGACAATAGGCTGATGTTGAGACAAATTTGAATGGAAAATCACTTCACAAAAGGTTGGTGGACATAAATCAACACTTAAATGATGTCCACACACCCAATGGCTTTCGAACATGTCAATGTGTAAGGCAGCCGCAAGCAAAATGGTTTGTTTCCTACCAAAGTGCCCCAGAAGCCCCAAGACCCTAAATATGAGGGCTTGAACCCTCCAAAAACCTCAAAAAGCTCGGATCCTAGGGGTGGTAACCTCTGCCCAAAGAAGCTGGACAAAAAAGCTGATCACCTTTGGGGCCCTTTGGACAAAAAGGGACCACGGAAACCAGAAGCTTAAAAGCTCGGCCAGAGGGCAAGTGAGATCCACTGGGATCCACTGGGTCACTGGAGCAGCCTCGCTTTTTTGGGTGCCCAGGTCGGCGAAATGCCTGGTCAAAAATGCGGACCGAAAATGGCTTGCCCTGGTAAATGGAACCAAAGACTAAAACCTGCTTTTTCGCCAGGCGGTTTTATTTTGCCCCATACCCAAATATGCATCACGCTACTCGCCCAGCTTGGCTTCAAGCTTCTCACGCACGTCCCTCTCGTCAGTGAGGCCGTCTACAACCTGCCATGCTCAGCGGGATCTGGCATGTTGCATGGACTCCTCAGGGGGGAGGTCTTATTGAGGCCTTATCCTAGGCTTATCCTTGGCGTATCCTTGGCTTTTCCAAGGATAGCCCCCCCATGATAACCCCCTTAGGGGTCCACGACTGTATGTTGACAACCAAATCATATTCAAACACGCCACCATGACACAAAAAAGGACACACCAATATTTTAGCAGTGGAAACCAGTGGTAGACTGGAGAGCTCCGCGTGCCTCCTTCATCTGGTCAAAGCGGTTCTGCACATTGATGAGCTCGCCGCCCAACTTCGCAATGGCAGACTCACCTGAGGATTGACTGGATGTCGGTCAAGCGAGCTTCCCACAACATACTGTTGCGTCTAAACATCAAGAACTTACTATTTGTCACATACCGGAAATTCGGAATCCCTATAAATGCTGAGCTCATCTTACCCGCGATCGGCAAAGCTCGCTGTATAGGGACAGGTTCCATTGTGTACTGGATGTGCTATGAAACAGGGGCTCCCCAAGAGGAGGGCCCTATGGCAGTAAGCCTAACCCAACTCTGCTACAGCGGTTGGGAAGGCCGCCTGGGGTTCGGTTTCTCATTGGCTTTGAGTCAACAGCTCGGCCCTTGGCCCCTTGCCTCATTCCTCAAGTCTAGAAAACAAAGCGCCTGTCAAACAGGCGAGTTGGAAAGCCACAAATCGGTTTTGAGTGGAACTGGATTTGTCGCCAAGGATATCCCCTAAAAGCACCCATCAGTTTGCGGGATCCATTTTTAATCCTAAGAACCCCTCACAAACCAGAAAACTTGGGTATTCAGGGGCTTAAGCACAACTCTGCCGTTCCTTAAACCACCTGGACCTGCAAACCATTCTTTTGAAACGATACTCCGCTAACATTATGGAGGATTCTCCATTTTTTAAGGTCCAGCGATATTGCCCTGAATTTCCAATTGTTGTTGAGTATAGCTAGAGGGTCCAGGTAGTAGCTTAAACATGCATCCGAATCTCGACGCACTCTTCCAGGAGCCCGGGCTCGCCCAAACCTGGAATGCTGAAGAGCCACGGCATGCATTTGCCAAATATATATATATATATATATACATATTCATATTATGTATACATATATATATAATATGAGTATGTATTTATCTTCAAATATATATATATATATGTCATATTCTATGCCAATGTTTATTGTTTGCTTGTTTGTTTGATTTGTCGGTTGCTTCCTTTAACCATTTCGATTGATTCCTAGGGTCCAGGTACATTCTGAGGACGCGCTCATGCGTCAAGATTTCATCTGCCTGTAGCAGCCGAGGGGCCGTGCACAATCCTTCTGGAAAGGCTAGAAACCCCATCGACTGGCCCATCGACCGCCAACACAACCTGAGGTTTGGCTAAGGTACCTGCGCTACTCCACAATCTGAGCCCCAAGCAACACGGGGATTTGAACCGCGTCTATGCAAATGTACAAAACAACAAACATCGTTTTCGGCAACTTCTAACGCCAAAGGTACCTCCACCTAAGCCACTCGAATCGCTTGGATCAACTATGTCATAACCCTAAACTGCACCTCTTGGCCTTGTCAAACTGCAAGACCTGGCAAAAGCTGATACCTCCAAAAAGGGCGCTCAAACAACACCTCTTTCACAAGGATGTGGATCCTCCATATCAGCTGAAGAAAAACGCGGCAAAAACACTACAAAGAAGGCTCAACCGGTCGGTTTGGCGTTGGCAAGTCAGCCGACCTTCGAACGTCACAAAAACCCGTCCGACTCCCGCCTCGTCCGAGAGGGCAGTGTGCCGCAGCTCCATGTTCGCAAGCTTGGCCTGGAATGTTCCAACGACAGGCTGGTCGTGTTTGGTTAGAGGTATTTGGAGTCTCCATGACCCTTTAAAAATGGGGTCATGACCCCCTGAACTGTCCAGTGCGACCGCCAAAAAGCTCTATGCGGGCTGTCAGGGCTTTGTCGGAATCCCATCTACCAAGAGTGAAAAACGAGGGAATGGACAAATAACATCAACCCCTATCATACACGGTATCACAAAACATGGCGGCCATACCGTATTTGTTCACAACCCTGCAGTAACTGGGCTGTCCTCAGATCCACTGCTAAAAATAACAACTCTCAGTGAGTTCTAGTGGACACCACCGCTAAACCGACTCAAAACGGGGATAGCCTGGGCTAAGAAACTGCCCATGTGGCGCGCAATCGCTGATTCTCGGCCTCCATCTCAGCCTTCAAGGGTACCACCTGAGCGGAGGGCGAGCCAGGGCGAGCCAGGGCTCCCTCGGTTTCCCCCACGCACCAAAGCCACGAGGAGTGTGTCTCAGGTGAATTTTATCTTAAGGTAAAAGACATTACGTTACTTTTCGGGTGGGATCGACCCAAAGACAACAAATGAGATGTGACAATCTGGTGTTCGACTGTGTAGGTGAAGACTAGGCAGGCCCTATGCTGGCATTCCTTCACGGCCTGTCAAAACGCAGCCCCAAACATGCGGACGCCTTTAGGGCCTGAACAACTCGGACGGAATTCTGTCTGGCAATTATTTATGAAGGCTTCTCAAAGGGATCCCCTAAAAATGGCCGGTTTCCTTTGGGTTTCCCTCGCATACCACAGCCACTCACAAGCCCATGTGCCCTCTTGGCTCGAAGCCAAGAAGAGGCTGCCAAGGGGGCGAAGCCGGCCTCTACCCTAAAGGTTTCAACGAATGCCAACTAGGTCACGTCCTCTAGTAGAGAGGTTCGAATAAAGGTACCCGATTTCTCTTCTGTAGTCTATTTTAGTAGGTGAGCCCTCCCCCAAAAAAGGATAAAAGGGCACTACTGGGGGACCTAGCAAAAGAAGCACCTGTAGACTTCCCTTCGAAACCCATGCAAGAGGGGGACCGTTTTGAGAGCCCAATTTCAAGAAGTCTTTAAATACGCCACGGGTATGAACGCTTGAACATCCCATGGACATCATATACATGATCCAAGAACAAAGGGGCTAACTACCCAAATGGCTCCATTTACCCTTTCCAGCCCAAGTGACTATGTGGTTTATTCGTTGGTTGCATGAACTGCTTGGGATGCCCTGAGCAGAAACCACAAGATGCATGGTACAATTCGCTGTCATTCCAACTCATTCTCTGCCAATCACACCCCCAATGCTCCCCATGAGACAACTCAATGGCCCAAATGGTGATGTTTCAATAGGCTAGAATACAAATATGGCCGTGGGTCAAAACCAATGGTACCATTTTGGGGTAGGTGCACCACCCATTTTAGTCTACTTTCGTTGGGATTCCCGTTCACAGAACATACGGGTGTTTGACCCATGGCCATTCGATCCGGAGCCCTCAGGTCGCGCAGCCCGAGCGCTTCGACCCGGGAGCCGAACCTCTCCCAGCTTCTCCTTCAGGCCTCAAACAGCTTTCAAACCGACGGCGGTTCAAAACATGGCCACATCCGCCAATGTCTGGACCAAAGGAAGAGTTGGCGGTGGTTGGCACAAACCGTGTGAACACCTGATAGCTTTTTGGTTGCTGCAGTCAAGATCGCCAGAACTTCGGGTGATGTTAAGTTTGTTTGCGATGAGCCTCGAGGGTTTCTCGTGAGTACGTAGCTTTTGGGCTGACCTAGCTGAGGTTGGGTGGAATTTGGAGGGATACTTCTCGGGGTGAAGCATCGATTTTTGTCTTGCAGCACGCACTCTCCGTGGGATATGTTGCTCTGTGTATGGCAATCCGAAAATGAAATCAAAGAAAGCACGACGGACCAGGGTGGACTCAAACCACCATAGTCATGTTTGGAAGCCGGCTTGGCCAACAACAATGACGCCTTGCCTATTAGGCAACTGGTCCTGCTGTGGAAGAGAGTGATTGAATTGCAGAAAAAAGAAACATTAACCTGTCTGCATGATCTGGGCCTAGTTTATCTGCGACTTTCGATTTGTCCCAGCGAGCGTGCCATACTTCGTTCCTTCTTTCTCTTTGCGCTTGCTCAAACTTTGCTCCTGACCGAGCTCAAGCCCTCTTCGACTGCCAGTTCTTTAGTCGATCCACCTGCGCTTTGGACCCATTGCGTTTTGGAGCCCAAAATGGAACCCTGGTAAATGCAAACCATGACTAAAACAAGCGGTCCCCTGGCGGTTTAATTTTGACCCACACCCACATCTCGATCGTTTTGGCAAATTCCAAGAACCTCGCAGGGGGTTGCAACCTCGCCCATAAAGATTCCCAGACATTCCTTGAATGAGTCAAAAGCCCGTAGTGGTTTTCCCTTTGGTTGCCTTTCAGCCAGAGGCCAGGGCTGCGGAAGAAGGCCTCCTCACAGGAGTCCAACTTCTGCCTGGCGTGTGTTTATTTTGGGATGTGTTGTTTTGTTTTGTTCTCGGATTTTTTTTGGGGAATTTGTAGTCCTTACCTTGGTTGCTGTCCACCCCCTGCACAAAGTTTAACAGGTCCTCCAGTAGAGAGGTTAGCAGGGTACCAACTTTGTTCTGTAGTCTATTGTAGTAGGGGAACCCTCCCCCAAAAAAGAAACGGTAAAAGGGCAGTGGGGAACCTAGTATTTGTAGTTACATGTCCACAATTGGTCGGTAAGCATCACTTGTTTGGCCCAGGGTGCGCTTCCTGGGCAGGGGTGATGTATGTTTTTGGGGGACCCGTTTTGGAGCGGGTTTGAAGAGAAGAAAAATAGCAATGTTTGGTGCACCCCCCGATTTTAAGATATACCCATTTGGGGGGATGTCTTAAAAGGGTGCCACCCGCATTTTGCAACAGGGAAACCACAACTTTGGAGGGTCCCCTAAAAAAAGACACACCCATTGGTGTCCCAATGACCCTGGATTCTGGTCAGTAACCCCTCCTTCCCCAGCCAGCCATCACTCGCATGTTCATGGGTTTCCTGTTTCCCTTCAAGGTGGTTTGGGGGTAGTGCACATCATCACCAATACCCGTTTAGCAATCCACTTCTGGGCAGGGCTTCTGATTTGTTCAAAAGGCAACAGGTAAACCCTGGTAACTATGGGAGGAACAACAACACATCGGAGAAAGCCGCGTCAACTTGCAGCATTCGAACAGCAAGCGGTGTCAAAACATAGCTGTGTCATGAAGGTTATGTTTTTGTAGGCCCGTTTCTGATTTCCCGGGGAATTTCGTACATTGCCCGGAACACAAGTGCCAGGCGGAACCTTTGAAGGGCTTTGTGCGGTGGTTTCCGGGTTTGCAAGAGAATACAAGTATACCTGGGGGTTCCTGGGGGTTGACTAAATATGAAACATAGTCTGAACATATCACCTCTGGGCTGTCCTCAGATCCCCCGCTAAAAGTTTAACTTTTAGTGGGTTACATGGAAATCCCCACTAAGCACTAAACAACTAAAAGGCTAAGGGAATGGCTGGCAGCCACCAAAGACTTGTTGGTGCACCCTCGGGTTGGGGCAAAACAACGTTCTCCACGACTATTGCCCGCCTGCAGGCAAGACAGATGTTGGCCGCGAAGGCCGCTGCTTCCGTTCAACCACACAGGGTTATCTTAACTGGATTTTTGATTTGTTCATCCCTAACATCATCAAACATCACTAGGGACACTCACCCAAAGGGGCCAAGGTGATAATGAAAAATTGAGCATGGCCCACATCCGAGGTCAAGAAATAGTATCTTCAGATCCTCTTCCACATTTTGTCTGCCGTAAACAAAACTCTTGGAGAAGGCCCAGTTGGGCAGGAACAAAAATCGCTCGGGCCCCAGGACCCCAATCCCTTCTCGGTAAGACTTCCGGCGGCGCGGCTGCAGGTGATGCACCTCATGCCTGCAAGCGGATAGCTTTTGGACGGAGCGCCGACTTGGGTCGAAGGCCCAACCAACCAACCGAGCAACCAACCAGCCAGCCACGCAACCACCCAACCAACCGAGCAACCAACCAACCAGCCAGCCACCCAACCACCCAACCAACCGAGCAACCAAGCAACCAAAAAACCACAAGGTTCTTGCAAGAATCTAGGAAGCCAGCTGCAAAAATCGACTGGCCAGAACCTGTGTGGCTGGGCGAAGTTCCTGCAGAGATTCCTGTCTCTTAGAGTTCGCCACCAGAAACTTTATGGGTGAGGCCCCTGATAGGAACCTCAGGTTCAAACATTCCCCTGCGCTGCCAGAATTGCACGCCCATAGTTTTGAGCTCGGTTTCCCTGAGAAAAACAGCATTCAAGTTTCAAGTCGGTTCTACCGAATGGGGGTACAAGCCAAAATGTGTGGCTCTCCTTTGGTTTCGATTGTGTACACCCCGAAAAGGTATCCTCAAAGCAAACAAGCAAACACAAACATTTGTGTCCAAAAGGTTTCTCTGGGGCGATTCGGCGGAATACGAATCATGCAAGGGTCCTCTAAATGGGGGCTGAAAACGAAAGGTCTAAGGGGTGATTCGGTCATCACAAAGAAAAAATCAAGCCTGCTTTAAAAAAAAAAAAACAACAACAACAACAAAACAAAAACTCCCATGGCAAGGCTACCGGCGCAAAAAAAAAGAGACCAGCCAAGCCACCCAATTTCAGGGCCTCAGAGAGTCCAGGGCGCTGCGGTGCTGCAGGTGTGCCTCCTCCTCGCGAGCGCGAGTGACGCCAGCGCGAGTGCCAGCGATCTTATCCGACATGAGACGAGCCGCGTCGAAGGCTCCGGGAATTTTAGTGGAAGGACAAAAGCAAAGGTTTGGTCAAAACAGTGGCTTCCAGCATGGTTCAACGAAGGGTTTGCTGGAAAAAGCTCAAGAAGGTTTGGTTAAAGCAATGGCTTCCAGCATGGTTCAACCAAGGGTTTGTTGGAAAGACACAAGAAGGTTGTGAAAGCAATGGGCCCCTGAAGGTACATCTGAATGGGTGGTGGGGTAGATTTGAAACCACTCTTAGTCGTGATAGTAGAAGTTAACGTTTAGGACCCTGTTCCACCTTTCAAAAGGAAGCCTGAAGGAAAAGCTGGCGTGGCTCGTTTTTTAGCGTGGCCTTTACGTTTGAAGGGAAACCAAAAGGACCACTGCAGCCATTTGGCAGGAAATAGCTACTTTGCCCATCGTTGAGGCCAAGTCAGCCGGAATGCTGGCCTTCAAAAGAGGACCTAGGAGATTCCTGCGCGTTTTCCACTCACCAAACTAAAACGGGTGCGGATTTATTTTGGGATTATTTTTTCGGATTCTTTTTCCGTTTTTCGTCCGGGCCAGTAAAATGTCGTATTTTACAGCATGTTCTCACGCATTTTACACTAGCCCGCCAACATCCCCAGCATCGTTTTCAACATCTCCCGCCGACCAACATCCCTAGCATCACCCACAAATCGTGGGTAACATAGCTGGCGGGTTGACGGGGTCAATAAATGATGATTCAAATAGGAGGGCATTCAATCCCTGTTAAAACAAAAAAAAAGTGGCGGGGGGCTTGGGGGGGCGGCAAACCCTCCATGATGTTCGAAGAAGTGACGATTCAAATCGAGGTGCAATTACATCTCTGTAGAGAATCTAATAGCGGGGGGGTTGGGGGGGGCGGCAGCTCCCCCATGATGTTCGAAGAAGTGATGATTCAAGTAGGGTGCAATGATTCAAGAAAGGGTGCGATAGAACTTAAAAGGCAGCGGGAGGGTTGGCGGGGGGTGTTGGAAGAAGTGCATACATACAGACATACATGGATTTCATAGTCGCATTTTACAGCATTTTCTCGCGAAATTGGACGTTCGAAAAAGTGATGATTCAACTAGGGGTGCAACTAAATCTCTGCAAGACATCTAAAAAGTAGCCATGATGTTTAAAGAAGTGTTGATTCAAATAGGGGTGCAATTACTCTGCAAAGAATCCAAAAAGTAGCGGGTGGGTTGGGGGGAAGCCCCCCATGATGTTCGAAGAAGTGCTGATTCAAATAGGGAGGAACCGGTGATGCCGATGATGCCGAATCCAATAAGCAATGAAACGGTGCAAACGCCAAAAAGCCCGGAGAGGAACTGGGAAAGCAGAGGATGCGAAAAGCCAAAGCAAAAAAGCCACAACCAACAAGAAGCCGAAAAGCCAAGAAGCCGAGAAGCCACAAAGCCCACAAGCCAAGAAGCCTAAAAGCCAAGAAGCCAAGCAGCCAAAAGCGGAAGAAAACAAAAAAAACATCCTAAAACAAGTACCCCAACTAAAACTCGCTTTGTGAGTGGATGGCCCCGAAAAGTCTGAACTGTTTGCTTCCCACTAAAATGGTCTTCTCAAAAAGTTTAAAGTCATACTCATCATTGGTATCTGCTCTGTTCTTGCCAAAGCGGTGGGTTTCATGTGGCATTGTGGGTCCGAAAGGCTGAAGCCCTTCTGGCGGGCCGTTCTTCGCATCCCGTTAGAAGCAGAACCCAAAACCAAGGAACTAAAAGACAAGAACAGCGATCTTCTGGAGGGTTAGACGCAGGCAGGCAAGCACGACAACGCGGGGAGCCAACAAATCCTCTGATAATGGAGCCTTGGCTGTAACATATATCGCTGAGCCTTGGCTGCAAACTATTTCGGCAACGCAAACCAGATCGCTGTGACAGCAAAGCCAGGCAACAGCAAGACTGCAAGAGGTCGATCTTACAAACACCCCAACTTCTCGTGCAGGGAGGGATGGCGGTCAAAAAGACACAACTCGGCCGATTTGTGTCGCGGACGACTCTGCCCTCCCGTTTGGGGGCAGAGGGCGTCCTTCTGCGAGGTGAACATCCGAACTTGGGCGAGCTGCACCTCGGGGCAAGACTGGTGGAGGTTTCTGAGAATTCTTGGGGAAAGCCAGGTGTTTTCAAGGGAAAACACAAGGACAGGCGTCCATTTTCGGAAAACCCGAGTTTGAGAAGCACCCCAATCCATTGCCCCTAAAAGCAAATACGACCCCCCACCCTCTCCACGAGGAACAACACTCCTTGGGTTCAATAACAGGGACCATGGTGGATTGGTTGGTTGGTTGGTTTCATACTGGCTCCCTGTACAATCATGCCAACTGTCCAATTTGCTTTGATACATTCGAGGGACTAAACCAAATAGAGCCCCGGTCGGGGTTCATGTTTGCGACTTGGGTCATATGTGTAAACGAGTATACAGTATACTCCCTCCACGGGTACTACGTATAAGCTCAAGTCAAAACTTGCCGGGTACCCAAAAAGGCAAACAGTCAAAAGGTAGGTAAGTCTGGCAATGTTAGGCTCCATTCCGCGGATGGGCCCAGAGCTTTACTTTTTGTGTAGCACTAACATGGTCTTCCAGAAGATCTGACTCAAGTCCAGGCTTGCTCCAAATTAGACTCCTGGACAAAACAAAAATGCCAATCCGTCAAAAAAACACAAGTCGGGTTCAGTCCAGGAATCCGTACAAGAAATACAAGCAAACATACTCCGAAATTCCTTGCCAATACAAGAGACATACACCAAATACACCGACATTCCAAGCGAGTGGGTGGCTTCAAACACCGAGGCCCTCCATTCGTCTTCGGTTCCCGGCCTCAAACCGCTCCACCAGGCCCTCCGTGTTGCTGACCTGTCAAACCCGCAACGGCGGCTGGGCTGCTTGGCGGCGGATAGCTGACGGGGGAAACCAACATAAAACGACAAAACGACCTGCCCAAGAGAAATTGGACACCTGGGCTCTGATTGCCCGGGCTGGTCCTCAAAAGCTATCCAAGAACATGCAAGCACATCTTGAACATGGTTCTGTTGAGCAAAGCGATCGTCTGGGCTGGTCCATTGGAGTAGCCAGCTCTACCAAATCGACACTCAGCAAATACAAAAGCGCTTAAACAAGGCTATTGTGAACCGGCATCCATGGACGCAAGTGTCTCGGTCTTCAAACATCCAGCGGATCATCTGGTGGGCCGGAGGGCCGGCGTGCCTGCATACATGTATTGCATGTCTGTGTACGTATGCCTGCCTCCTGCCTGCCAGGGCCTGCCAGCCTGCCAGCCTGCCAGCCAGCCAGCCAGCCTGCCTACCTGCATGTCGTTGTAGTGAATGCATGTCCGTGCTTGCGCTTCGCTTTGTGCTTGCATGATGCTGCGCATGCGTGTTTGTGTGTGTGTGTGCGTATGTGATGCAGGTGCGCTCAGAAGTTTCTGCATGTCACTCACGGAGCTCATAAAGCCAAAGAGGGAACCACATGCACATACCCTAGCAGGATGAGGGGCCAGCGTGGCCTTTGTCAAGGTTGCTGCTTGGCTGAGTGTGTTGCGCTTGCTCCTTTTCAAAAGCAGCAATCTGCCTCCGGGTTTATATTTCAAACCATCAAAGACGCGGATTCCTGCAAGGTTCACAGCCAATGTCCATGCAGCACCATCGCCTGCTTGTTGAGATTGGTCTCATACTTGTCCAGCTCGCTTCCTGGCTGGGAGAGCAGTAGCAGTGCTACAAGCAGCACATAAGAAACAAAGGCCTCACGTTGGGCTCAAAGGCCTCATGCCAGCTGGTATCTGAGAAATGTTCTGCCAAATATGCTGTTCCCTAGAAAAAGTCAAAGCGAGTGTGTGTGTGTGTGGTCAAACAGGACACAGGCATGAGTTTGCCATCAAAGCCACACCCCTATGTAAGTGCTAGGCCAAGGGGAACGACCGCCTTTGGCATTAGCACCAGAAACACCCAACATGTTGAGCTCAGTCAAGGTCGGTATGTAATTACCCCATTCTTGGTTCAAGGCTTTGCTCATCCCTTACACAATTATGATGACTGTCCTCATCAATCCAATGCTGAAAACACATGCGCACCCGTTTCAACCAAGAAATAATCGCAAGTAGATGATGCAAGAAACATCCCACTGTGCGTGCCCCGGACAAATAAGCAAACCCTGTGCTTGTGGTTGCTTGGTGTGTGTGTGTGTGTGTGAGAGGCTGTATACATTGTGTGTGTGTGTGCATCGAACATCACGCCTTTTCTCTTACTACGCGTACGATGATGACGATTATCACATCATCCTGATGACCTAGACGGCAAACGACGAACAAAAACCCACAATGATGAAGCTTGATGGGCGACAAATCTTTGCTCTGCAAGTGCGCGCGCACCAAAATGGCCTGGAAACATCGCTCTTTTGAGCAACAGAAACACTTGATTCACACCTCCGCCTTGCTTGAGATAGCCCGGCTGCCCCACTAGCCCCTGCCGCACTAGCATTTCTGAGCTGATGACATCCATGAAGCTAATGGGTCTCAGGGCGCCGCACCATTCTGGGGCTCGGACTGAAGCCATCAATCTTGAGGAGTCCCTCCTGCATCTCCCGAAAGGTCTGCGCGCAAGGCGCGGCGGTCTGCAGACCGAGTGAGAAGGAACGGACCCGACTCAGCAAAGAAGCGTGGCGCGGTTTTCTTTGAACCTGGCCATATGGGTGTGAGTCAAAATTAAACCACCAGGGGAAAAAGCAGGTTTTAGTCCATGTTTCCATTTACCAGGGTTCCATTTTGGGTACCCACAGCCATATTATTGAAGGTTGTATCCGCTTGTAAAGGGTAGTTTGAGGGTCCAGGAAAGTAGTTTCAGGCTCGTGTCAGGTCGTTGCTGGGGTTTGTATTTTGCTTGAAATCACCTTTTCAGGATGGTTGACAGGAAGACCAAATAGAGAAATACCCACTATTTTAGGGGTAATATGTTGACTCGTCATACCCACATGGATCGAATAGAAAACGAGGAATCGTGTGGGTTACCAAGAACCTTCAGGGCCAACAACCGCTTAGCTTTACTCGGGAGCTCGAAATGCTCCAAAACAAAGACGCCCCACATTGGGATCCAGCAAAAAACCATGGGCCGGGTCCTCATGAAAGCTTCAAACAGGGATGTCATCCTTGGCTTTCAAAAGGTGTGAGCCGGAGCCCGGCGCTGGGGTTTCCCATTCCACAAGAACCCCCAGTGCCGCCAACGGTGAAAGCGGGTTCGAAACGTATCAGCTTTGCCCCGCGACCAGTGGTCATCGTGGGAAATTGGGCAGTGGATGCAAACACAACAGAACAAAGGAAACACATTCAAACAACACATGCTCTACAAAACAACAAACACATACATCATGAAGCTACATGAACAAAAAACAAAGCAAAACCATCGACCCCCTTCCCAAACAAAGGAACAAAGGAACAAAGGAAGAGTGATCCAGGAGGCTTGAGCCGGCAGGATCACTGGGGAGCCCCGGCGTGATCCAGGTTGATGATCTTCCGAGAGTTGGTCTGGCGCACAGCGCGAGGGAGTCATTCACGGGTCATTGTGATTTGTGCTTGGTTTTGTGTGTGTTTTGTCGCTAGTTGGCTGTTGTTGCTTTTTTGGTGGGGGGCGCGGGGGGGGGGGGGGGTGGGGGGAACCACTTTTGGTCTTTTGGTTGGTTTTCAAGGGAAACCAGCAGGAAACCAATTGTGCTTCTTGTTGTTGTTTTTGGGGTGTTGGGTATTCAAGGGAACCAGCAGGAAACCAATCATGTTGGGGGATCCCGGCATTGGCGTGGTTCGTTAAAAAGGCAGATAGAATTCACTAATTTTGAAACAACCCCTCATATTCGGACATATGAATGCGCGATGCTTCGTGCTTCCAACAACACATATGCATCAAAAGAACAGCAGCACTAGGGGATCCAAGCCAGCTCCGCAGTCAGGTTAGGAACACGCATCACTCGTAATTTGTTGTGCCTGGCACAAAATTCCCTGACAGTCGACAGGACAGTTTCTTGGGCTAACAAGGCTTTGAGAGCCTTTCCCTCCGAACCTCAGGTTCCATGCGAAAAAAGCATGTGAAAAGCAAGTGTCGCACCCACAAACTGGTGGGAGGGCCAGATTCTTTGAAAGGTTTCGGCCCCGGCTCGCCTTGGACAGGTCCCAAAGGCCCTCCAACTGGACCGCCGTCGCCTTGGACGCCTCGCAAAAGAAGAGCCAGGCGGACATATAACCGACGACATACTCTCGGTTGCTTTCTGCTCCCCTGCTAAAAGTTTAACTTTTAGTGGTTAAATGGGAAACCCATTCGTTGGCAAAAAGTTAGTCTCCTAATAACATCCAAGAAAGTACCGTGGATGGTTGCGACATCCATTTCGCACCGCCATTCAGAAACCCAATGGTTTCTGATTCGATTCCGCTACGTAAACAAATACCGAGGGTATGGTGTCATTGCCCTGGTTTCATTTTGTGGTGCGGTTTAGGACTTCGCAACCATCCGCAAGCGTATCTTCCAGTAGGGGAGCTCCCAAAAAGGCTAGCATCCTTTTGGGTTCTCTTTAAGCTCCGTCCAAAACGGAGCCCAAACATTTTGGGCACATCCACATTGCAAAGTGCGGGGCCAAAGACAATATGACGTCAAAAGCACGCTTGCCCCAGAACAAGTGATGCCGACGGGTGAATGGGCTCATTTTAAAGACAAACATGGGGGTGTCTGTATTGAGCGTGCCCTTTGGGGTGGCTTCGAAGGCAAATAGGACACGTATTTTTTAAGGGGCCCCTTTTTGTGACACACATGACACCAATCATGCCGGGCGACTCTTGGTTTGGACGCATTCCTAGAGGCTCGAAGTACCTGCGGGTGTACTTTGGGCAAGATCCCCTGCCAAAAGTTTTTAACTCTTATTGGGTTAAATGGACACCCAACCACTAAACCAACAACAAACAGCTAAAAACCGGAATCAGCGACTACCATAGGTGTCCTTTTGGGGCAAATAGATGGCCCTGGTAGATGATTAAACCACCAGGTCAACCAGGGCCATCTATTTTTTGACCAAAACAACCGAAAAGGACACCTATGCTAAGTACTTGGCCCCCGTGTGCCGTCGCCCGGCTTCGGTCTTCGTACCTCCATGGTGGGCTCCAGCAATCGGTTGCAGTGCTCCTGCACCAGGCCTCGGATCTGGTGCCGACACAAAATACGGAGTGAAGCCCCAAAAACCTAACGCCAACAAACAGTTGGCCTCCGTTTGCTTGAGTCCTCTGCAACAACAAAGGGCAACTTCCAGTAGTGATAGATTCCCTTGAACACCAAGAGCGAGAAATAGACAAGACTCATAAGAAAATGGAAGGGTGAGTCTGGCATTTTTTGGCTGGTACCCTTTTTGTTGGTTTTAAGTTGGAAGCCAAGCGGAAATCAACCATTTTGGGGGGCTCCCCTAAAAGTCACACCCTACACTATTCCCCTTCAAAAGGGTAATGGAAAGGAACCCCCTTTGAAAGATGTGCGGGAATCACCCCTCCCGTTCCGTACATTCATTGAGGCTAAACACAGTGATCATTGACCTCCTGTTCAACAAGAGACGGGGCCTGTGTTGCCCCCTGACATCTGGTGCCGATTTGAAAGGATCCCTTAGTATGCCAACGTGTCACATGTGTCAACAAGTGGTTGAGTCGCCTCCGATCTCCATGTGAAATGTCTTGATTCTTGGGTACTGACCCTCCAACTGTAAAAACCCTTTCTCACAGGACAAAAGCAACCCCAAAGGGTCAGGACCCCACAACCGTTTAAACCGTTTAACCCCTTTCTCACAGGAAAGCCCCCCCCCCAGGGTTCTACTGAGAGAGGGTTCAAACGGTTCAAACGATTTACACGGGTTAAGCGGTTGAAACGGTGTTGGGGCTAGACCTTTCCTCTGAGAGAGGGGGTAAACGGTTTGAACAGTTGTGGGCCCAGACCTTTCCTCTCAGAGAAGGTTTAAACGGTTTAAACGGTTTGAGCGGGTTTGGGCCCAGACCCAACTTGCGCGCGCAAGGGAAATTCATCCACATTTGTATCACTCCCACAACCTCAAACCAGAAATCCCCCGATTCACCTAAAAAAGCTCCCTGAGTCTCCTTTCCTTTAGCCGAATCAAGCCTGGGGTGACCTCGGGTCGCCCCAAAAACCGGGGGCCACGGGCCCCGTTTTCGCGTCAGACCCCAGGTCTCGACGCGTCTCCGATCGATCCGAGGCTCCGGCGTTCCACCTCGGCCGCCGCCAGCGCGGCGGTGGGGTCCTCGGCCGCGGGGCGTCTGGAGGAAACCCGCGGGCGCCGGTTTTCGGTGAGACCTCCTCAAAAGGGCCGCCACGGCCGTGTTGAAAAACACATTTCTGAACCACTGAACAACCCAAGAGCAAACAAAAACAAAACAAGACACGCGACATGGTAAGTGAAGCGAAAGCATAAAAGGGGGGCTGTTTCTCTGTGTCCCAGTGGATCCACTTACCTGGTTTTTGGAGGTAAGAAAAGGGCACAAACCCGATATTAAAACCAACAGTTGCAAATCGCGAGGCATGACCACTGAAACCGCGTTCCACTGGGCGTGGCATGGGCCTCTTTTCTTGGCTCTGAGATGAAGATACCTTAGCCGTATGGATACCAAGCTTCTATCCCCAACGATTCCTAAGGGCTTTGACACCTGGACGAGCAAAACAAATCCGCAAATGAATGTGGATTTTTAAAAAATGGTAGCCCCAAAATAGGTTGTGCTGGCAAATGGAAACCAGGACTAAAACCAAGAAGGTTCCCCTGGTGGTTTAAGTTTCACCCATACCCATTAAATCAGAATGCAGAAACCTTACGTGTTGGCTCATGTAACGACCATGCCACTCTAATCTGGGCAGGGAGGGGATCCCTGTAACAAGGCACATGCCACTTGCTAGCTCAGCTAGTCTGTCGGGAAACGGTTCTTCTTTCAAAAGCTTTAAAGGTAAATAGTCAAACCAATGGGGCAATCAAGCAATTCACAGCCAGCGAACACGCAGACACCCGAGACACACACATATGCCTGCGTGTGCACGTCATCGCGATGCATCGGGTCAGTACAGTGTGCCGTTTGCTCACGAGCCTTGACGCTGGATCTGCTTCTTCTTGTCTTTGTATTAGCTGAGGGCCACCAAAGGGATTGACCCAATTGTAAGCTCAAGCGCACTTAGGGGATAGGCCGGCACTTCACAGCCCCTCTGAAATGTCCACTCTTTCAGAAGCATCTGCTGCCTGTTCTTGAAAGGGATGCAACAAGCAATCGTGCGCAGCCCGTCTTTCTTTTGCGGGGGTCATTAAGAACCAACACCGAAATAATGATGCAATCTCCTGGGCAAATCGGGCATAGGACCGACAAAGAACAGGTCCCCTCAAAGGCGAACACCTCTGAACATGATGCAGCTCTTTGTTTTTTTTGCAAAATCCTCTAGACCTAATGTTGTTTCTTGTCCCCGCATGACAGACTCATGGATTCACCTCGTTTCAGCGATCTTCGAGCCAAAGCGCACCGGAAAGTCATCTTCGACACTTTGCGGCAACTGCTATACTTGGCTTTGCGTGTTTTTGAGGGCATCCCACTGACCTTGGTTCAAAGAAAAACAGCATGAAAGCCACCATTTCCAGCTGCGTTTTGTCTAAGGTCACACTGTTTTGGTTAAAAGGGAAAACTGGAAAGCCGTAGTTCTAGATGCGTTTTGCTTGAGGTCCAGCTATTTGAGGCGCATCGAAATGGGAAAACCCAAGAGCAAAACCCATGTCCTCACGCATGTTGGTTTCCTTGAAGCTCAAGAGACATGGGCTGGGCTCCAGCGACTAGGCCGGTTCGGACGAGTTTTCCCCAGGCTTTTTCAGGAACCCTCGTAACTCCAGCACATTTTGGGTGAACCACTCAAGTTTGTTTTTCCAAACATCCGTGGCCATTCTCGAATCTAGTGTGTGCTCTACAAGCGAGATCTGGATTCAACCAAATTGGAATCATCCTCTTGAACAATTGCTTCTTTGCATAGCATCTCCCTGAGTCGAAAGTTTGCTCCGCACATCCTTAACATGGCTTCGCTTAGTCTTCGACCTCCAGTGACCACGGGACAAAGGCCACCATCACTTAATAAAGGAAAACCCTTCTCCACCAACGAAGGATCCACTGGAGGTCTTTGGTTGATGGGCCCAGAGACATTGGCCCTGAACCGTGTGGATCTGCGCCAGCTCAAGGGAAAGAAGTCAGGTACCAGGCTACCCCCAATACACGGGTGCCTTATCTGTTTGAGTTTCCCGGGCATGGTAAGGCACTCCTAGAAGCAAACGACAGGGGGTACCGGTCTTTGGCTAGATATTCCTGCTACATTTCCAGGCCAAAGAAATGGAAGAAGAGAGTGGCAGGCGGCCCTGCCTGGTCCATTTCAAAACGATGGCTATGACGACAGTAAAGCGGGAACACCCTTTGGCTCGCTGGACATTGATGCACAACGTGCAAAATGTCCGTTAAAGGTCTGCAATTAAGATTCATGTCACTGATGGGTGATCTCTAATGCCTCAGAACAATCCATTTCCTGCTTCATGGCCAAATCATCTTAACTACCCCGTTATAACTTGAAATTTGCTGGGTTGGGCCAACCCAACCTCTTTAAGCATGTTTGAACTTCAAACCATTCAAAGAACCTCCGTTGAGCTTCCCGTAAGCCAGGCTTGCGACCTTTGGATCACTCCGCTTCTCGAATCCCAGCATCTCATCAGCGCCGCCAGTGCTTTGCCAGGCGAAACCCCTCTTAGAGGGGCGTCTCATCAGTTTTTTTCTTGCAGATCCCAAAAACGGCAGCGGCTAAAGATCCAAATTGGCTTCATCTGGTTTCTCAGGGTCCCAAGAGCAAGGCTATGGTGATGGTCTCTTACCATGGAGACAACTTCTCCATGGGGCCTCACACCAAAAGACACTTTGATCAAACCTCCGTAGTTGCAGAGGCTGTCAGGCAGTGAAACTCACAGCTTGACCATCTTGATATCACTTGGGTATGGGTCAAATTTTAACCACAAGGGGACCGCAGCTTTACGTCCTTGGCTCCATTTACCAAGGTTCCAGGTTGGGTTTGGCCCATGCGCACTGAGATGGCTCTGGTGGCCTCCCCGTGCATGTGCTTTCCTGCCTGAACTTGTGAAGTTTCTTAGAAAACGATCCAAGGTCATTTCACCGGGAAATGACCTCCTCTGGGCATTTTCTGCCAGGTGAGCCTTAGGCTCACCCAGCCGGAACTTTACGCCTGGCACCTGACAAGCTGCAGGTCCGAGGACCTATGGGAAGAGGTCAGCTGCCCTCCAATTGGCTTGCTTGGTGGTTCAGGAGGGGTATCAGTCTAGCGGCACCAGCCTCGAACTTGAGCGGGGTGCTCCAAAACCCTGCCAAACGTTGGTAAACACACACACACACACTCACACACACACACCTCTGGATAGGAAAAACAAATCAAACTTTGGTGACAACCACATTACGGTCAGTTTGAGGTTTTTTGAGCAAACCCGCCGGAGGTCCGGCACTCTCGGTGTCCATCTTGTGATCCTGGGAGCAAACCACCAAGCTGCGGCATCTCTTTGCCAGGGAACGTCGGATACTTAGGCATATGGCTGCTTTTTTGAGGTTGCTCTTTTCCTTTTGGGGGTTGGTTCAAAGGGAAAACCAAAGGGAACCACCAGCCTTTTGAGGGTTCCCCTATTTTGGCACACACGGGCTAGTCATTTCGCGACCGTGCCGCCAGGTGTGTAGTTTGTATTGTCCACTTATGCCTTCCTTGAGAGTTGCGTGATGGGGGACCGAATCGCGGGGTGGTGCATTGGGGTGGAGGGCTTCGGTAATAGATTTCTCGACTGCAATGCAGCGTGGCGTGCGAATATTAATATATATATATATATATATGTGTGTATATATATATATATGCGCGTATATATATATATAGTCATGCCCTCAATGCCGACTTGTCAACCCGCCAACACACGTGCTTCTTGCTGTGGCTGCATTTGCAGAACCGCGAATCGATAGCATACGGGCGGCGTACAGAGCTACGGTCGTACATGGAGGAAACCTTTGCTGCGGCAGGCATCTAAGCAGCATTCATTGTCGGAATCTATAAAAGGCCCCGTCTCCGATGCAGTTGGCATTTCGCACAAAAGTTTGCTCAGCTCGACTTCCCTTAAACTGCCTTCCAGCACCCGCGTTGCCGCATTTTGCCACACGTTTTGCCGCAATGCTCGAAGCTTTCGAACGGTAAGGCGAAAGATGCGTGCGGCCACTTCTATAGGCTGGAAGTGAAGCCACGCCGGCTTGTTTCTTTGAGACTCGGCTTTTCCGAATAAGACCAACACACCGAATTGGACGCCCGTTCCATATAAAAACAATCTTGACTTTTAAAGCCATGTGACACCGACTCGAAATCTTCGCAGGCATCTTAAACACCGCGCGAAAAGCGTGAACATCGATTTTCACACCTCAACCCATGTACACCGACTCTACATCTTGGCGCATGGTTCACATTGCGCGCAAATCGAAGTGACTCGAAATCCCAAAACCCGACGCAAACCGAAGTCCGGTACTTGGGGTTGATCAACATTCCTGGGCCCCCGGTGACTTTTCCAATTTAGTGGGACACATCGTCTTTCTAGTGGCTTTCCCTAAAATGGACATCCCATAAATCCTCGGACCTTCTGATCTCAACCCCCCCATGTGGCCATGGGTCAAAATCCAAATCGTACCCGTGAACATCCCAATCCAACCACTAAGATAGGTTCTAAAATGGGTGGTGCACTGAAAACCCTCAAAATGGGACCATTGGTGCTGACCACCACAGCCATGTCCACTGGTTTCGCGCCTAGTTATGGAACTTGGGCAGCTCGAACTTGGCGGTGGGGGTCTTCGCCAGAAAGGCCTCGGCCAAACTGATGCTCTCGACCTGGTCCCCCACCTTGCGATCCTGCGCGGGGTCCCCGTGCTCGGGCTGCGTGGGTGGGGTGTGGCGCGTTTTCGGGCACCTGAAAGGTGGGGGTTTTGTATGGCCCACTGGGCGCGGGAAGGGAGAAGCAAAAAATGGGATCCCACCAAAAGGGGGGGGACGGCACCCCCGAGAATGGATCCCGCCTTGTAGCAAGCGTGTGAAGGGACCCCCCAAGCAAAAATGGATCCCATCCAGGAGGAAGGCGAGGGACCCTCCCAAAATGGATCCCACCTAGAGAGGGTGGTTTAAGGCATGCGAAGGCAAAACAACAACAAGAATGGATCCCACCAATTGTGAGGGGTGGAACGGGCCTTGTGTAGAACTTGGGATCCTCTTGGGGGTTCGGCCATGTCATTTTAGCCAATGACTTACAGTATTCAACCAAAGAACCAAAGGGTTGTTCAAAAGTCATGACTCCCAATATGGCGCTAACTTCCGATCGAGATCGGCCACAAAACAATTGAACGTTTGTGTATACCTAAATTGGTGCTCTCCAAATGCTTGAAGTCCACGAATTCAGGCAAGAATATGGCACCGCGGCTACCATTTTAAACAACAGCTGTTAGAAATTTGGCAACCGAGGTGAAAAGAAAGAAGATAAATAATGCACTCCGGATACCTTTGCTAGGCAGGGACAATTGGGATTGAGTATATAAAAGTCAATTTCGTTGTATTCGGGGGTTACATCATTACAATCAGGTGTTACACCAAATGGCTATAAGGAGCATCATGTGTCACGCTTCGAGGATTAAACAGGGGAACGAGTATCACAACGGGGTCAAGGGTGAGAGGATGAGGGGGTGCGGGGGCGATGGTTTTGGTGGGGGGCCGGGGACGACGGTTTTGGTGGGGGGCCGGGGACGACGGTTTCGCAAAACCACCACGTCCCTTTGAAAGCGTCAAAAAACACAACCACTAGCATATTGGTGAAAAAGCCACGATTACCTAATATGGGTCACCCTCGGCTTCCCTCAAACCGCGATCCCGTAAGGGCGACTGTTTCGCAAAACCACCACCCCCAACCCCCGGCTTCCTCAAAGGAATATACCCCTGTACTTCCCCAACCCCTGGCTACCAAGTAAGAAATTCCACCAGCAAAAAGGAAATTCCCCCAGAAACTAACCTAGTCTGAGAGAAACCGCTTTGCAACCTTCCACAAGTTGTTTGGGGGCTGCCCTGAGGACGACGGTCCTGCCAAACCCTCACCCCCAGCAGTCTCAGGTTTTCAGAAAGTATAGGGCGATCAAACAACTAGCAAGTCGGTGATGCGCTGCAACATAGTCCGCGTTTCAAGGCCCGATGAACCGGCCGAGGGCAGACATTGACTTGTCACATCTTCTGAACTTGAAGCTGCAACAGACCGTCAGGGAGTAAAATAACTCCAAGAACTTGACTAAATGCAAATGTTGGGCGCAAGCCTCTTCTCTGCCATAGACCACCCCCCCCCCCTTGACGCTGAAGTGGCAGCAGTTCTATCGCTGCTAGGCCCATGACACCCGAATGGAATGTTATGGCACCTGAATGCAACGAAATAGCCTTATAAACACTACATGGGATGGCAGTGCCATGGGATGGCCATGGCAGAAGCTACAGAGTGAGAGATTATGGCACCCCCCGAGTTTCACCTATGGAAGCGCTGGAATGTGGACAACTCAGGTGTTGCTTGCTGTGTTCTTCTCACAGCGCACATCTACACAAACTAAGTCAACACTCCGCATGTAAGGGTAAGCCCTTTTGGCCTCAAATTGCCGACACTGTGTGGGAAGCGAATGCCACCTATTCTGCCCACTGTGTGTTGCCATGTGCCGTCCAGGCTGCATGCGACATGGGCATGCTAGCTGCCAGGTGAGCTACATGCCGTGCAGGGTCAACATGCCCTGTGGCGGGCAAACTATCTTTCATATTCCGGACGATCCAAGCCCATGACCAACTGATGCCCACGCATCACCACACAACTCACAAGAATGTGTAGCTATAGGTGCAAGTCAGGGATCTACTGTGCTCCATGCATATCATGTAACACAGCACGGGTCAAGCAGGATTATTTCTCTACCAGCAGCAATGCAAAACCAAGTTGATCAACCGTCAACTGTAGCCAATGTAGCTTCCAAAAATATTCCTGCATAGTGTGTGGAAGCGCCATGTACCTCGCTCCTGGCAAACAATCCGTCTTTCATGGGTAGCAAATGAACGACACTGGATCCATTTTCATCGGTACCCAAAGGGCTTGTTGTTAGCCGGTTGATGGAAACCAGGATATCTCGCACCCCCCTTGGTCGCCAATGATCCCTGCAAAAAGTGCAACTTTGTGTCGGGGTCAAATGGACAATCCACTGCTTCCCCAAAAAGTTAACGTCCAAAGATCCGACAAAATAGCCATAAAGCACCTGGGGTCCCTGTGAAAAGCACTGGAAATCCAACCTGAGAAAGGGGTGTCGTAAGCTGGGAATCTGGAAAAGCCAACGCCAAATCGCCATGACTCCATGACATTGCGGCTTCCTTTCGGGAAAACAGAACAACAACTTCTGGGTGAAACAAACAAACCCGCAAACAACAACAAAAAAGTGCTTGTTGTTGTTTCTCTCTCGCGGAGCAGAACCAAAAAAAGAAACCGCCCCTCCTTGATGGTCCAGACCACATCAGCCTCTTTGGCTTGGTTTACGTCCTCCACTGTGAAGAAGCCTCACGCCCATCCGACCCGGTGGGGTCGAAGAAAGTTAAACAAGAGAGGACCCAGACCCACCTCCCAACGACTCCTTGTCCGAAATGAAAAAAAACAAAGTGCAGGCTTTGGGGCTGCTGGTTGTGGTTTCTTTTCGTATGTGTTCCCTATCCTTGCGGAATTTTGAGGCTGGAAGCAAGACTGGCTGAGGCGTGCGGCCATGCCAGCGGCAGTATTGTGCTTCAGGGGGGTTCCAATGGTGTGGTTCTTGTGGCACGTTCCCACGTTGACTTTTAGCAGCCAAAGGAATTCGTTCCGAACAGCATGTGCCACGGATTGAAGCTCGCCGTGTGGAACAGAGACGTAGCCATGTTGAAAAACTGGTTGAAGCCGTTAGTCTCGCGACGCCTTTTCCCCTTTACCCCCAGACCCGTGAGAAAAAGGGGGTAGCTGTCTGTTGTTACTTGATTTGGATGTGTCTGTTTTTTAGGAGACCCCCAAAATGGTGTTCCTTTTAGTTTCCCTTTAAAATACACCACAAGGGGTACAACCCAAAAAGACCTACTCATTTTAGAGGGGTTCTCTCCAACCCAAAAGTCGACCCCCGGCCATCTTGTCCGAAGAGCAGGTGCGCGGCCGTCGGTGGGGCCTCCCCTTCTCCGGGAGGCCAAGGCCCTTCTCCTGCACGTGGATCTTGAGGAGGTCCTGGTCACTCAGGCGGAAGGCTTCGCGACGGATCTGGCGGGGTTCAAGAGACGGGAATCACCACTTTGGGAGTCTTGGGAAATCACCGTTTGGGATACCGTTTGGGACGGATTTAGTGTCCAGCTACCCCGAACTAAACCATCCAATCTTGGAACTCCCTGAAATTGTGAAATTGATTCCCGCTCTTTCACTGACTGCTTTAGTGATTGGTCACAAAAAGTAGTCAAACGTTTGGCGTATCACGCGCCAAGCAGTTTGAAGTGAGCTGGCTGTGGCATGGCAATGAGGAGGTAGTGGGGTATACCCCGTGGCACTGGTGTCCCACTATCGCCTGCTTAGTGGCGTGTGTAGAAGCAACTTATGTAGAGGTTATAATCCACGCTGATCTTTCCACGCAGGGGGACTCTTAGTGTGGGGGGGGGGGCTTGGGGTAGGTCTAACTACCCCACATGGTCACTGGTCTGTACTGCTCTTGGCAAAGGGAATGAAGAAGTGCAACCTCCAAGATCCCTATTTACTATCTAGAAGAATCGCCGCCTCCTCTTCTGAAAGTGTGGCGAATGCACATTTCATGTTCGCGCCCAACGCGAGGCAACAAAAGTGAACCTGTTTCCCAACACCAACCAGGTTTCTGCCTTGACCCGCAGCCAGGTGGGAAATCCGCGTTTTACATCTACTCCGTGTTTTACATCTTCATCCCAACGCTTCAGGAAGGAGGGTGCGTTTGAAACGTGTGGAGCTTCCTTCTGGCTTAAGAAATCAAAACTATCCAACGGGGATTTACAAACAAACCTTCATCTGGTGTTGCCTACCCAACAGCATTAACATCTTGCTGTGGTCCGTGCTTAGTGTACCTGAACATCTACACACACAAAGAGATCCGCTTCAACACAAGAAAATCAAAACAAGATGCCAGAAAAAGGGGTTCTCAGCTTCCCTCTATGGCTTGGCGGAAAGAAGTTAGGAGGTGGTTCTTATTTACTTTTTACAAGAACCAGCTCAAATCCAAATCCAACCCCCCTGGGGGTAACTTGAGGTTCAAAACCAACGCCAGCCCAGGGTTTTCTTCGTCCTTCCAGGGTGCCCCTTCCAATTGGTCCAAGAAAAAGCCGACTCAAACGCCGATTCGGTCCAGCACGACCTTGGCCATGGTCTCATCATAGTGATGCCTCTCGTCGAGGACGTCATGTAAGTCCCCACAAAAATAGAACATGTTTAACATATTTCCAGCAATGAAGTCCACTTAAAAACCAACAGGAAACATACACAAACAAGAACAATACTCTGAACCAAGTAAAACCTATATGTCAAATAGGGAGCTGGACCTCAGACATGGGTTAAGCTGTCCTTCTGGTGTCTCTTTAACAAGAAAAGGCACCGAGCCTCCAAGAAACACCGTCCCATATTGTCGGTTTGTCTAAATTGGGTGGTCACTGTTGGTTTCCCTTCAAACCAACCACGCAACAAGGGAATCCGAAAAATCACACCCATACGTCTCACTTCCCAAGTGGGTGGTCACAAAGAGTCCAAACCGTGTGTTTTACCGCTAAACTGGTCTTGCGGACAAGTACTTGAGCAGGAGGGGGTGCACGAATGCTAGCAAACAGCAGAAGCAAGGGTGACGCAGTCAGGGGCTGAAGACGGGGCCGAGCGTTCTTGATTCTGGGAATTAGCTCCATCCAAATCCTGGATATATTCAGATTTCACCCCATGCACTTGCTGCTTGCGTCATCCAAATCTGGGCTGTCCTCAGATCCCACCAATTCTCCCCCCCCCCAAAAAAAAAACACAAAATCCCCCCGAAAAAATAAAACCACCAAATCCCCCCGAAAAAATAAAACCACCAAATCCCCCCCAAAAAAATATATACATATATATATATATATATAAACTAACGGGATGGCTGGGAATCACCCAGCCAAGGGAAGGCGCTGGCCGCTTCGTTTCAATCTCAGATCCGGTGCGCTCTCAAGCCACGTGTCCTGTTGGGCTGTTGGGGTCTGAATCGGGGAATCGAATCGGAAGGGAACCTGGGACCTGGAGGGAAGGTTCCTCCAGGTCAAAACCGTCAAACGGGATCCCATTTTAGTTGGTTTTCGGTGAATTCACCACCCATTTTAGTTGAGGTAGGGGAAATATGGCTGTGGTGGTCAAAACCAAAGGTACGTTTTTGGGCTAGGTGAATTCACCACCCATGTGAGGCTTCCTATTTTAGTGCTTGGATTGAATCGGATGTTCACTGGGGGCTAATTCCGATTTGGCGTTGGACAACCATGGCCGTGTCAATGATGCTGATGGCTGCGAAAGCCACGTCGCGCCGCCGGTCCGAACCCCTGGGTTCCGATGATGCCAACACACAGTGGGTTCGACCATGGCTTCAAAGAGGCGCAGGATCTTGTCATCAGTAGAATCAACAAGTGGGCGCTTGTAGGCAAGCATGAACTACAGGTACAGCTAGAGAGCCCAGGAACTCAGGAAGTGAGGAATTGCCTCTAAAATGGGGCGCGCCCTGTAATCAGGCTGACAACACAACACATCTGAGGCCCAGACAAAAATACTTGCTTCCCGCAAGCGCATGTGATTTTTGGGCAGGCCCCCCCAGTGTCCTTCCCACATTGTAATAACAAAGGCTAGCTTGTAATTTTCTTGGTTGTTCGCACGGCCGCACAACAGGAGTATGCTCGAATGAGCGGTTCGTCAAAATCGCTACGATTTTGGGAGCTTCCATGCAAAGTGCAAAGCCGTTGAGGACAAAACCCATTCCTGCAAACCAAGCAAAGTGGTGTGCCTTTGTGTCCATAAGTCCCATGCAAATGGACTCAATTTGGCCCGGGCGCAAGGGTCTCTGCAGCACCAGCACTTCCTGAACGCCGCCGGCACCAGTGAATGAGAGACTTCCCGAAATGGGTTGGCATAAATGCAATTCCAAGTGCCCTTTATTCTTCCGCCCCCAACTCCATCTTTGGGTTTGTCCTTGTGATCGCTCTCCAGTCTTTGGAGGTGCAGGCTGTTGGTTGGATTCAGGGCTTGGTGTTTTTCAGAAGGCGGACAGAGCATGTGGAGGCGGTGCCTTCTTCTGATTCTGGGTAAGTCAACGATTAGCAAGCCGAGGTAGGTGCCTACTGTGGATGGACGAAATCCTGGCACCACCGTTCCGAACCCCTGGAAGGATGCTTCGCCTGTAAATACCAACCAACAATGGTTTCCAATGGTTTCCAAGTGGTGCAGGATTTCGTCCATCCACAGTATGTCTTAAGGAAACTCTTTCTGGTGGTGCTGTGTCTCCAACTTTCAAATCAAAATCTAAACATCATCATAAATACATCAGATTTTGTGTAGTATTGCAGGCTATCGCCTGCAATGAACATTGAGATGCAACATCATAATAAGAATCAATGATTTGGGAATAAAGTTCCCAATGCAATGCAAGCAACTGGAGGATGGCATGTAAACTTTGGATCTGGGTGGTGCGTCTCAACATAGAACATCCGAAGAAAAGAAGGTGGTTTCCTTTTGGCTTCGCGTAAGAAAGACCTAAACAAAAGCACATTTGAAGCACACCAACCCGAAACAGAGGATCATAGCCAACAACTGTTGTTCGAACATCTGCTGCCAGCGCATGCCTCAAAAATCCAATGTCCTCCTGAGCAAAGGATGGACCCTAAGGCATAGAGGTGGGAAACTTGAACCATGCCAGATTCTTGGGTCCGCGGATCCGGCAACCATTCTAACAAAGCACCCCAAGTCAGCCGCTCAGAGTCGGAGCTTTGAGCGGGCCCAACTGCCGGGCGGCGGGGTTCATGATCAGCGCACGCGCCAGGTGCATTTTCACCTTCTCCGAGTAGGTCAGGGTGTCTTGCCACTTCTCGCCGTCGTCCTGGAGGCGAGCGCTGCAAGGAGCAGCACGGGATTGGGGGGCGCGCACATGATGCGAAGACCGTGTTTTTGTGATACCCGAACCCTTCAAATTCCCTTAGAAATGGCAAATATAATGGGGTGACATCCCATGTTTTTGGGTAGTTAGATGTGTTTCTCTCGGAGTATAAATAGAATTGTCAGAGAAGCAACACTAATCTCGTTGTTTGCCCGCCTCGCTGAAGTGGGCTCTTGCCCCCGGGACTAGTTCACGAAAGGGGATGCCCTTTGTACAGAGCGTGCGACACAAAAAAGTAAACCCAAGAACGGCTTCCTCCCATGTGCAAAATCTCAAGGGGGGTGCTGGCATGGCATGTAGACCTCGTCTGCACTTTGGGAAGTCAAACCCCATGTTTTTGAAGTGCTTCCCAAAATGGACGATGTTGACTACGTAGCCAAAATGGCTGGTATATACTGAAATGGAAGCCCAAAAGCAACCCACCCGAACCCACCTTTTTGGGGACTATTTTCAGAACCCCCATGCATTGTAATGACTTAACGGCAGAGCGAAGGTGCCAATTCAGAGTACCACCCCACACCCCCAACAAACATGGCTGGAAAATGCAGGCACCTGGATAGGATCCGAAAGTTGAAACGTCTCTAACGGCGAGTCGCTGCACAAGGAAAACCTGGCTGTAAGTTCTGACGCACGCCCATTGACAGACTTGTACTCCGGTGAGTCGGAAATATGCTTGAACCCATGATATCCCTGTCCACGATGCTTCTCTTTGTTGGTTGTTCGTCAAAGCTGAAAGGGGCACGGCACGCTGTCGTCGGATTCCGAAACGGAAGGCCGCTCTGGACCCTCGACCCTCCGAGTTGGGTGGTTTGCTGCTTCCAACCTGGGCAGATCTGGAGGGCGCATTAATCGGGGCCCAAAATCACCTGGTCATCATGGGTTCGTGGATGGCCGCCCTTCCGCTTTGACAGCCCGGATTCACAAAGGCAGATCGTGTTTCAAGAGCCTCGATTCAAAAGCCCATGATAGAATACAAAATATTGATCTTCAGCAAATGGAAGCAAAAGAACTGGGCTTTAGCAAACCCGCCAGCCGGAACGCGCTCGAGTGCCCGCCTTGGTCCAGTCTTTCTCCTCCTCTGCCTCCGACTCCTCCTCCTCCTCCTCGTCCTCCCCCACGGGCCTTCAGGGCTACGGCGAGGGGACCCAACACAGGGGTGCCTGATAGTGAACATGGGTGGGGTCCTCAGAATTCCGAGGCCTACATCTGGGGCAACCTGAAAATAAATTATGTTGAGATTCTGCTTGATGTTTACTGCACCCCAACGTGCAAAAGGGTTTTGCGGGAGGCCCCGGATTCCCTGTTGCAGGTGCGTTGCCTTGAACCACCATTTAGAGGGCACCTTCGAGGATCTCACTGTAATAGAGCCAGAAGTACTCTGGGCATCGCAGAATGATTCACCAGCAGCAATATGGGTAAGTGCCCAGTGCACCCCAAACAACTAATGAAAACTGCTTCTCTCATTGGTGGTGGGCATTGGCGGATCGGAGGATAGAAGGTCCCCGCATGTATCATCTACAAGGGGTTGAACCACCAATCCCAGCAACCAACAGGTGATCCACTTGAAAGGCCTTCAAAGAGGTTGCACTTCACTTCTCTGAAACTTCCAGCAGCTCAATTGTCAATCTTGCAAGCAAAAAACAAAACACACTTGGGGACCAATTCCTCCCAAAAGTGTTCTTCTTACAGGCATAGGGTCGGGCAATGTGAGCCACGGGCACAAAGAAAAAGTTCTTGCAACAAGAGAGACATGGGATGATTGCCGCGCCTGGGCTTTGGTAGGAATTTGTCCCAAACAAAACACAGGCCACCAGTAACTTTAGTCTGTTTATCAAGGTTTCCTACATTTCCCTCTAATCCTGCCCCCCTATTATTATACTGCATATTTTGGTGCTTTTCAACAGGCCAAAATCCAGCAATTGACCTCTCCCCTTTTACTTTTGATTGACCCAATACTAAACCAATACTAAACTTCTAACAGCCATGGGTACTTTTTGCACTGCCCTTGTTTTTGTTGTAAAGTCAACTTGAAAACTGTAATGGGATTTTCGCCTTTTGAAATTGAATTGGCACAAGGGGAACCCCATTAATATGTTCGCACAAAACAAGAAACTATCGGGACCGGGATTATACGGGGGAAAGGCGAATCAAAAGGTCATGTTTAAGCCCACCCTGGGGGGGGTGACCACAGGGAACCTGACCAGAGCTTTCCGCCGAGGAAAACCATGGACAACCTGTGTCTGGCCCGGCGAAATACCATTTGAAGCCCTTGAGATTGGGCCAAGAATTCAATGAAGAACCCCTTTGCTTCCGAACGTGTGCGAAACGTTTGGAGGGCAGGGCCCGCCTTTCTCCCCGAAAACCCAAACCGGCTTTGCCCGGATTCCCAAACCGCGAAAAAGGCAAACGACTCCGCACCTCTTGGTGCTCGCGCGCAGCTCTTCCTGTTGCTGCAGGTCACGCTCGATAAGCTTGAGGACTGTATTCATCTTCCTGCAATCCAATAGGATCCACCAAATTCTTCAGTGACCCTGGAGTCAATCTTGCTTTTTACTGGAGAAGCCAGCAAACTGGTCACCAAACAAAAAGGATAGAATTGGGCCCAAGCCCTAGCCCTCGTTTCCTTACAGAACAAAAGTGGTTCAAGCAAACCCCAGCCCTGTTAGTTAAGCGTGTTAGGCAATTGATACCTTTGAGGGCAGTGATTGATCTCAAGCGGGTTTCGGTCTCTCTGTTGAATGCAACCCATGAGGTTGAAACCCGGCTTTAGGTGCCCTTCCCCATATGAATGGCTGGTGCATGGTGCCCATATTTGGCTTTCATCTTCTTGCCAGAGCCAAAGCAACTAGGTGACGAATAGAGGGCTTCAAGGATAAGCCATCAGTATTTCAGGCTTGCTTCAATTCGCAAAGCTGTCAATCAACAATTGGGGGGGGGGGGGGAACTCCTGCAAAATGTGTGGTTTTCTCTTGGTGTTTTTCTTTCAAATCAGTGTAAAAGGTACCAACTCCAGAAGTTGAAGGATTGGCGGTTGAGTCGGCCCGGATGTTTAGCAACAAAACCATGGGGTTCGTAGTTTGGCACATTCACACATTGGATATGTTGCAACATCTGCTCGAAAAGTATACGGCGTGACACGGGCCTTAGATTGTAGCAAAGAACATGCAAACACATCCTAGCACTGACAGGTTCCTGTTGCTGACGCCGCGGAACGGCAAAGGAACCCGATGTCGGGGGCGAGTCGATACCGCAATTGGAAAATGTGCTAAGTCTGAGACCAAATGTATTTCTCTTCAGGGCGAGATCTTCAAATGTCTGTCAAAAGTTGAATGTGTGTACAAATGCGAGTGTCTTGGTTAAGTTTTGTGTTACCATATATTTATACAATGTACATTAATATCAAACACATATTTACATACACATGTATATATTATATATATATACATATATGCGTCTTGAGTATGGTACACACCGCTCCCCCAAGTTGGTCGTTTCGTGTTTGAACACGACAGCCCTACGTCACCCCGAATCGAATGCGACCCAGCGGCAGGCGCTGGCAAATGAAGCGGACCCGCGCGGGATCCACTGAGTGGGGGTTGGGGCACCCGAAGATGAGGTTTTGCCAGGGCGACAAGTTCAGCAGGTAGGTCTCCTGAAAACAAATCGCATGCCCAAAGGATCCGTATTTAGCTTTGTTTTGTGGGTAAAGGGCACCACCCTTTGAAGTGTTTTCTGAGGTTTGGCATCGCAGGGTCGAACGAAAACAACAAAATGATCATGGGTTGGGTGCGTTCCGAAAGCTTTGATTCATAACCCCCCAAAAGGGTCCCAGAAAGGTGAACCACCGGCAATGACGATCCAGGGTCGTGAGAATGCAACCCGGACCCTTTTGCTGACACCAGTTTGGTGGGGATTTGTGTCCACCGACTTATGGGGACTTCCCTGCTAATGGCCATCATGAGCGAGCCCGACCGTGGATGAAATCATGGCCCCTCCATGCATTCTCACTTTGTGCAAGGGTAAGGGGGTGATATGATAGTCTCTGCTCTCTACCCTAATCCTGCGTTGGACAAAGTCATGTCTATGTCTAAAGATGATGATGACCACGTATATTGACAAAGGTAGCAGCAGAGAATATGTCCTTTGGCTGGTGTTCAGCAACAATACATTTAGTTGGAGGAATACTGTTTTCGCTTCGGCCCGCCGTCCATGGATGGTGTTTACGTTATCTTCATTCTAACTGTGCATCAGTTGTCTTTCTTTTCCTATTTCCACATCTTGGAAGAGCTACATCTTATGCTTCATGTAATTGTTTTATCATATATATATATATAATATATAATCCTAATACTTGGTTTTCTGGAATTATTATTTACTTCTTCTTAATGATTTTCTTAATGGGAACAGCATTTATGGGTTATGTTTTACCGAATGGACAAATGAGTTTATGGGGAGTTGCAAAGGTGTGGGCGTCCTATGGAACGCTGGACATCCGCTGGCAGGGATGTTGTCTCTGGGCCGCACAGTGCAATAAAAGCCAGGAGGCCACAGGAATCGAACGTGTTGCACAGCGCGCCGGTTTGCTCCAGTGCTCAGGTCCGTCAAAGAAGGCATTCAAGCCAGAGTTTGGTTGTGAAAAATATTCTGAGAACACGCCCGCTGCCTAGGCCTCTGCGGCAATCAGTTGATCCACCCTTTCAACAACAACTAACTCCGCCAATTTGAATTCATAAGATGTTGCTAGTCACATCAGCGAGGGGCAACCAAGTTGGTTGCACCTGAATCTGCGCGCGGCTTGCGGTGGTTGCAACTTGGACTGCTGCGGCTCCTGTGTCACGTGGAGGATGCGGAGATGGGAGGGGATGAAGATGGAGCCCTCCTGGGGGAAGATCAAGTGGCCCAGCAGTTCCAGCAGTGTCCTGAACTGGCAGAGCCATCAACATCTGAAGGAAGATTGGGGACAGTCCCAGCCAAGAGGTGTGGCAAGACGCCCTTCTCATTCCTTTTCCATGGGAACAAGAGCAGTCAAATCCCAGTTGAAAAAAAGGTGCTCAGCCTCATCACGAACATGTAAGGGGAAGGTCCCTTAGTTGCCCATTGCGCGCGAAAGCCGGTAAGGTTAGGGATGCAACTGGCAAATGCAGTCAACTGACTGCGGAGTTGATCGCTGTTTCGCAACATCTTATGTATATAGTGCGCTCATGTGGAACACCATTTTGCGATGCCCAGGGGGCCCTTCCTGGGGAAATATTATTGTTGTTTGTTCCTTTCCCAGGTTTCCCTAGATAACACAGGGTTCCCCACAACACACAAACACAAACACTAGGGATTTCTCCGAAGCTGAGCCGGAGATGTTCGACGCGGTCAAACTGCATCCTTTGGTCAACTCCTGCAATACACTGCAGCATGTTGCACATTTAATTGCTTTCAAGATCCAGGTTAATCTGCAGGACGGCAAAGCACTGCCCAACGGCTGCGAACCCCTACGAAGTGAAGAAAATAGGGGGTCCAGCAAGCAAGACAAAACCCGCCCCCTGATGTCTTCCACTGAGACATGTTGGTTGTCTAGCCCCTAGCGATTTCAACAAAACAACAACGCAAAGCTGCATTTGCTTGCTAACGGGTGCGGTTTCCCGTGTACCCACAAGAATCCTTAGGGTTCAAGTCAGCAATCCCAACATATCCAAAACCACCAAATCCTGGGCTGTTCCCAGTTACCCCCCGCTAAAAGTGCCTGCTTTTTTACTTGGTGGGTTTATCTGAATTTTACCACCAAACCAACTCTTTTCCAGCTAAAAACCACTCGCAACCTTTGGAAACGGATAGCTGGGAGCCAAGGGCCACGCCGCACCGAAACCGAAACCGGAGCCCCGAGGCCCGCGCTTCTTGCCGCAGCCATGGGGCCCCACGAGCGCCACAAGCTTGCCTGCATCGCGGTCAAACTGGCCGTAACTCGCTGATCAACGGACTTGGAAATTGAAAGGCAAACTTTTTTGGGGACGTTAAGGGAAAAGCCACAAGGTCAAAAGGTCGGTTCTGGACAGGTGAGTATGTGAGCATCCCTCAGACTAGCTCAGCGTTGGCCCGTGATGTGGTTAATATGGGTCTGCCTCAAAATGGGGAGACCCACCAAAAATCCAAAAATGGTCTTCTCCTTCTGGCTTCCCTTACGCTTTGAAGCGACCTCAAAAAGGACAACCTGCAAAAAAGGACAGCCTTGAACATTTTGGGCCGCTGACCTTGAACAAATCCGTTCAGAAGAGATCCCAGCCGCTCGCAAGGCCAATTTTGGGCAAGAGGTCAACTCGGGGGCACTTTGTTGTTTTGCACAATTGGAGTGGGTATTTACGTGCACCCGTTTGGGAGGTGGTGTTCCGCATCAAAGCTAATGGCCAAAGAAAGTTAGGCGGAGACATCGATCTCGGACGTCTCGTCACCTACGCCTTCCAACTTGCAACTCGCCTTGGGGCACCGAGATATTCACGCCCTCGAAGACAGGAGCTCCTTTCTCTGGAACCCAGGAGAAGCCCATGTTGGTCATCCTCAGGCTGATCCGCGAAAACAGAAGGAAACTCTTCAGGGTGTGAGTCAGCCCCGAAATGGCCGGTGTTCCTTGTGGTTCCCCTTTCGAAACCAACCCGAGGGCACCATCAAACAAACAACCGGCCAATTGAGTTTATTCTTGCGGAGGATATGTAGGTCCCGCCCACTTTCCCCACAAAACCAGCAGCCCATCCAATGCTCCCATGTCCTGATTGGGGACCACAAAATTTTATTTGTTCCGGGACTCCGCTGATGTGAGGTGAAGGCAAAACATGTTTTGTTCCGGCTGGGTGAGCGATTCTTCACTAGCAGTTTGCAATGAGCTGTCTGGCGCTTGCCCAAATCATTCCCTTCAGAAACTCAACCATCAACCTCCAGAAAGTGGCCGGCCATTCCGCGGGAACAGGAAAAAGAAAATCTGGCTGCTCGCCTTTCAAGGGAAACCCCAACAAGTTAAGAAAAAGGGGGCGCCCACTGGAGCCATGGCAATCCGGAGATTCCGAACAAATTGCCATGGCAGAAAATCTGTGCCACCCTGACCCAGTGGTAAATTCACCATTTCTGCTTTTCGGGACACCAATCATAAACACAGGGAAAAACCACACCGGTGTTGAAAGAAAAACAACATGATTGACAAACACCATGCAGGAATCGAGCCCTACGCATCCTTCCAAGCAAAAGGAGGAACCACAACGACGCCCCGCAAAAAAAAAAAAAAAAAAAAAAAAAAAACTACCACCTGACACCACCTTCCACGGGCTCCTGAGCTTGGCTCCCTTCCAACCTCGAACATGCCCGGCCGAGCCGCTGGATCGGGATCAGATCGGTCTTGTAGAGTCCACTCTTCCCGTCCTTCTCCTGAACCCCAAAAGGCTACGGTGGATTCCCTCAACTAGGGCCTCCAGTTTAGGTTGGAATAAGGACCCCCATAACCCCTTTTCTGTAGTCTATTTTAGCACAGGAACCCTCCCAGTCGGTCACACCCGGTACCCTTGAAACAAAGAATGTCTAAACACCTATTAAGCAACCTCCTTGTTCTCACTTGCGAGCGAGCAATACAAACTCGACCAGTTCGGACCTTGACTATGGACCAACATGGGAAAACCAAAAGAACAACAGCTGCTTCTGATTGAAGTTTCCTTGTGTAAACAAATGCTGCCTCAGCCCCAGCCTTCCCATCCTTCGCCTCCTGCTGGGTCTGATTGAACAGCGAGTCCCGCGCCTTTTTCCTAGCGCCGGAAGCAATACTTCTGGCGGGAAAACCACCAACCCTCGTTCAAGGGTCGTTCTATTTGGGTGAATAACACATGTGTTCAGTATGGTGCAAGCTGAAACCCCTTCATTCGAACCCATTTACCGTCTAGGTTTTCTCTGATATATGCGCCCAAAACACTGCATCCCCGGGAATCAAATGGCGCCCTAGGAGATCGGAGGCCCTATGCCCATGGGGAGCAACTTGATATGAACATGTCAAAAAACCTCGGAAAGGCCGCTGTAAGTGGGTCTACTTGCTTGAATTGGGGTTAGTGTAAAACTTATATACACCTTTCTCACCATGTTAGTAGAGCCACAATTCAATGGGTTTTGACTGCTCATAGGACACAATGGCAGGGCCCTGCCCTTTCTGGAAGGATCAAACAATGCGGATTCAAAGGGACATTTGCGATTTGAATGCCGCTATCCAGCACCTTCCAAAAGCCTTTCTGGATGGTCCACTTGTTCCAGAGTGCTTGTTTTTGTTTTGGCGCGGAATGGGAGTTAGGATAGGTGATTCTGGCGATGTAGGAACGGAGGTATGATAAGCAAAACTTCATTGCAGTCGCCCCAGTTTGACGCTGGCCGTGCTGTTTGCCTTGTTGGAGCAGGACAGTGGAGAGCCAAGAATTTGGACAAAGGTTGCCCAATCTGAAAGAGGCACCTCAGTTGTGGTGGAGAGCACTTTTTGCCGCTCCACAAGCGATCGCCATCTCTCTCTCTGTCTCTCACTTCCTGAGTGGATTTGCAGCAACAAACATCAAACTGTTGGTGCGCCATTGAAAATTCCGCTGCCCAAAGGACCCAGAAAAGAAAAAAGATGGACCAACTCAGGGAAACTAAAAGATCAAAAGGTCGATTCGCGTTGGGCAAGAAAGGAACTGGTCCTCCCAAAAAAGGAACTCAAACCAGAATCTCAAGGAGTGAGCGCCTGGCTGTTGGGCTGTTGGCATTCGGCCACCTTGCTGTTGGCATGTCTCGAGAACGGGCTTCGGCCCTTTGTTTCGCTATGGGCAGCGAGTCTGGTGAACAGCTTTGAGGTGATCAAGTTTGGAACACATTTCAATCAATCAGGAACTTGTCCAGCTGAGTGAAAGCTGATTGCCAAGGTTGGTGGTTTCATCGTCAGTCAGTCAAGATGAGATTTCCCTTGACCCAGATTGACCCAAGCCGATCCCTGCACAGGGCCCTAATTCAAACAATCACTCCCAGATGCCGATGTCCCTGAGTCACCGAACCTGACCCGCAAATATGGTTTTCCCTTTCTTTGGGGCAAACCCATTTAAGGACGGAAACTCCGGGCCTTTGTAAAGGCAAACTGTTTGGAGGGTCCCAACAAAAACAATCGACAGCCAGCCACGCCTACGCGGAGCCTGTGCGGGTGTGTAAACCATGGAAAGATACCCAACGCGAGCCTGCAGGCGCCTACCCCAAGCGTCTACGACTTTTCTCCTGGCGACTTACAAGTATTGAAAGGCAGACACATGCCTACGCAAACCTGCCTGCGGACTTTCCTGAACAAAGGCGGACTGACGCGATGGCTTCCCCAACAGAATTGCCTAGCGCGTAGTGGCATGAAGAGAGGTTCCCCCCACACGAAGCGAATGCTCAAGTGTCGTGGCTTCCCGTCGGGTGCGGTTCACGCCCTTCCACATCATCAGGTCTGTCGGCTTGTTGAAGTAGACCTGTGCATAAGCAAAGAATCAGCACCGATGCTTTGAGTGATACCCATGTAGTCTCTATGATGAAACAAACATGGCGGATGGCATTACATCGAAGAAGAGGGTCCTCACCCCATGCTTGAAGCATGGAAACTCCTGGTCATTGATCTCACAGGGACTGGAGCAGCCCACAAATGAGCCGTGCCAAATACTCTTGTGTAAAAAGCGGTCCTATAAACTTGCTTTCGCGGACCCTTTCGCGATGCTTTCGCGACCCCATGTTTTGCTTTCGCGGGCTTTGGTTTCTTTAGAATTGCTTCCGCGACGCTTTCGCGGCGGAGCGTCACACAGCATGCAGGCTTTCGCGGGTCTTTCGCGGCGGGACCTTCTTTGGTTACTTTCGCGATAAGCTTTCGCAAGCTTTCGCGGCCTGCGTTTTGGCTTTCGCGGGGATTCTATAGGACACCCCCCTTTACTACTTTGTATTGTCAGGGTTTCTGGCGCTGCTCAAATGTTCTGAGTTACAGTCTCTCGAAGCCTGAAGACCTTGTTGCTGCGGCATTGCTGAGAAGGCCGGAAAAAAACATGTCCCTGGCAAAAAAATACACATCATGTTTGTGTTGACCTCAAAGAAAACCCTTCCGAGAAAATAAAAGAAAACAAAGAAGAGGGCGCGACTGCGGACAGTTGTGGAGTCGAAGGGGCTGCCGAAGCCCGCCTTCCATATGCTTTTTGGCCGCCTGGAACAAAGATGAGAACATATGCCCAGTGACAAGTTCCCTCTAAAACCCACAGTTCTTATGCAAATGGAAGCCTCAAGCCCCATCTCACAAGCCGGACCGCACCCTAAAAATCCCGAGATGGCGCTTATTGCTAGTTGTTGCCAGCTTGCTGGTTTCGCGTGGGATTCCTTCCATTGGGCACCTTGAATCCAACGATGCGAAGGGAGGAGCCCTTTTGGGACGGAGTCCATGTTTAGGTACTCCAAACAAAGGCCTAGGACACTGCCCACTAAACACCCCTTTGTTGAAGTACCCCTTTTGGGACCGTTGCTTTCAAGCCCAGAGGAAACCAAAGACTGCCGGAACACAGACCACCGAAAAGATGCGAAGGGTGGAATCCATTGATCTTGGCGCCCTCAAAAAAGGGGCCGAACAGAATCTGGTCCTTAGGTGCCATGGGCCCAGGAAATTCTAGTTCCCTTCGGGAATGCGCCCCAACCTGGAAGTTCAATGAGGCTCAAGCTCATGTGAGTCATAATCAAAACCCGGCACATAAAATGTGCACCCAGAACCATGCTGCAAGAACCAAGAAGGCGGATATCCACAACTAGTTCTGGTTGGGATCGTCCCTAACCTTCATCAATCCCCGGGTGTTGAGCAAGTGGCTCATGTTATTTCTCCCACCTGAAACAAAACCCCTACAAGGCGGGGCCTAAGCCAAGGCGCGGTCATTTTCGTTACAGACTCAAAGGTGTCCTTCATCTCCAGCAGTAGCTCGTAGGCCTTCGGGCAAAACCAAAGCGAGCTCCGAGCCAAGGCGAGCCAAGCGTCAGGAAACGTTCGCTCGACCCAAAGACATGAGCCCAAGGGGCGGAGATACAGTGGGCTTGATACTGCATGAACACCCATCAACATCTGTTCGGCCACAGCTTTGGTATGAGATCAGCTTTGAACCAAAAACACTTGGCCATGGGTCAAAATCCAAATCGTACCCCCAGTGAACATCCCAATCCCCACTAAGATAGGTTCCAAAATGGGTGGTGAAATCACCTACCCCAAAATGGGATCCCATTTGACAACCACAACCATTCGACCCGAAGAAAACCAACGAGCACAGAGGCCCAGGAGGGCTGCACCGCGCAGACTTGGAACTGGACCTGGTTTCAGCGTTCCCTCTCCAAGGGTGGCTTGGAGCCGGATCGGTGGGTTGGTGGGTAAGGAGGGAACTTCCCATGTCCCCTCTACAAGAAACAGGGACCCGTTCAAACCCCCAGTTCCTACAAATCCAAACCAACTAGGGGTAACCTGATAGTTTGTATCCACAGGTCAACCTCTGAGAAAAGATCAAACTCGGCGCCAGAGCTACAGCGATGTTTTGGAGAGGACTTGCAGGTCTCTTTTAAGAGTACCCTGGCATGGAAGCCAACCAAGGGCAGGGGTCTTGTAACTTTCCACCAACGAAAGCGCGTGAACCATGTGAACCCAACTCGGGGGGTCCTGGAAGACCCTCCAGCGGATTTCTGTGGTGGGCTTTATGGGGAGAACAATGTAGTTTGTGCGGTTGTTTCAAGGCACGCCCACATGGCCATACAGGGAAGATTCCTGGTTTTTTTTCCGCTGCCCCGCCCCCATTTAAACCAACCTGAGAAGGTTGAACACTCAAACACTCGGCGCTCTCTGATTAGTCACCAAGGGATCACCCTAATTATCCCCCGCAATACACATATATATATATATGGGTATGTGTTTTTTTGACGTGGCCGTGCCGGGAGGTTGGTATAAGGGGTATGAATCGCAGGTATGGTTCGGGGTATGGCTCGGGGGTATGATTCGGGGTATGGCTCGCGCGCCTCTGAACTCTTGCTTTGTGCCTTTGGACACTGCAAAGCTCCCGTGCGCTGGCAACTGGATAGCCGTGAGAATTTGGACCGCTTAGTTGCTACAAGCCAGCCTGGGGCGCTTTTGAGTGGCCTGAACTAGACAGCTGCCACTCTGCGTGAGTGGGTTTGCGAAAGCTGCTGCGCTAGGTGGAAGGCCTGAGGCGAACATCATGGCCACCTCCACTTGGAGTTCAAGCGACCCGCGTGCTCACAGACCCAAGCAACCGCCACCCGCACCAGTCACGAACCAGCGTAAGGGCAAGACAACATGACATCCTCAAACGGCAGCCGCGCAGAGGCTAGTGGGCCTCTCACAGGTGGTGCACCGTGTCGCGCTTGATACATCGCAGTAAGCCTTCTGAACCCACCTTCTGGCGAACTTCTGCGAAAAGAGCCGCGAGCTGGTTCCTGCAGTGCTTCTCTTTGAGTTTTGTGTCTTCTGAGGATTCGGGCGGCATAGCTTCGCTAGTACTGCCCAGTGCGCAAGAGGCTCTTGGCTGCAAATGGCAGCAGAAGGGTATGAATCGGGGTATGAATCGGGTATGAATCGGGGGTATGAATCGCGGGACAGATTTTTTCGACCGGAAAGACACCAAGAGTACCCCAGGAGCACAAAGACAGCTTGTGTTTCACTGCGACAGTGGCCCAGGACAGACAACTGTTTCCACCGCGTCGGACAGACTGCAGGAAGCAAGCTCCAAGTTTCAAGCCCAGCAGCGGCACCCCCCGCCACAGCGCCCTGCAAGTCCTAGCGTCTTACGTCAAGCTGCACACTTTCCATTGAAATAGCAAGCCAAGACCGAGTGTCAAGGAACACCACTTGAGAGGAAATGGCCCTTCACGAGTAACCAGTGAGTGTGTGAGTGGACATGTCAACTGTACTTGGCCCCATGACATCAGAGCCCAACCATGCAAGCATCGCAGACTCAAGAATAGATCCAGGAACCACAAGTGAACCAGGTATTCCCTCGGAGTCCCTACCCCCTGGCATCGGTCCACATGTCAAGCTCTCTAACACTGTTTCTTGACAAGACCCCCTTCTTCACTTGACTATAGCTTCCAGCTATCCATGGATCACATGCAAATGCCACAGTTCTTGCAAGTTGTTTGGTGTTTTTTTTTAAGGGGTATGACTCGGGGTATGGCTCGGGGGTATGGTTCGGGGTATGATTCGGGGGTATGGCTCGCCCAAGCCCCACCTCCCACGAAGACTAAAGAACTGACACGGTAAAAAAACACAGACCCATATACACATATTATACATATATATATATATACATATTATACATATATATATATATGCCGCGTTCCTTTGAATTCCTCTTAAACAGGGATCCTTACATTCTACACCTGAACATTGCCTTGTAAATGGTGGTTCCCTTTACTTTGGTGGAAAAGGCCACGTTTCAAACGGTTGCAACATGTATCTTTTAAGGAGCCCGACACCAATCCCCAAAAGTGGCATGGACCCGTCCCAACTTCGGACTCCAACCCCTGGGCCCGAAGGTCCAGCGAGCCTCCGCGAACTCGGAGCTGATGTCCTTCCTCCGAAGTTCGAATGGGGATGTCTTAGGAAAATGCCAGCGGGATCTTTCATACAACCCCCCGAGAAAAAACAAAAAAACCGGTCTGTGCAAAAAGCCGCTCACAACATCCCTGATTGATATTTAAGCCGAAAAAGTCATGACTCATGACATGGGACATGAACACCCCCGCCAAAACACGGCCCACAAGAACCAGGAAACAACATGACCGTGTGGGCAGCATGAGTCTACTGGTGATGTTTGCCTGAATTGGACAATCCGTGGAATCCAATCGCTGGCCTCTTTCAACACTCGCTTGGAAAAAAAACACATCCACAGCATCCCAAACTCCGAGAGTCACAGGCCGCGGGAAGACCGTGGTTGTCTGAATCTAAGATGGTTGTCCCTACCTGCCAACCACTACCCCCAGGACTTTAACTGATACCCACATCCAGAAGCAAACTGTTTGCAACATCAGCAATCTATCTAAGGGTGCGAATTTCCTCCCGGTGACTTCGCAGTGGCTTGCCCTGGCCCCATTTTCTCGCCGTGGTAGGTTGAAGGTTCACTCCAGTTGCTAGCTTTGATAATCCCCCGCCAAACACATCCCACATCTTTTCCTTTGACCATCACCCCGCGCGAACCTTTCAAGTTGGCCACCCAAAGCTGTTCTGTCCACATGTCCCAAAGGGTAACTCTAGGGAATCCGGTGGCTTCATCTCTCGTTTCTTGTTGTTATTTTCTAATATTTTCTGTCAAATTGGTAATCAAAAAAAGCTGATGTGTCCAGATGTCCAGAGGCAAATTACTCAGTTTCCCAGTGGCCATGGGGAAAAAATAGGGCATCCTTTTTTGGTTGCTTGAGTTTCAAAATCCCCTTCCCCAAAAAGAAATGGAAAAAAGTTCGGACTCCACCGGGCGACAGAGATTCTGGGGAAGCCGATGGCTGGGTCTCTCGGTTTTTGTTTCTTCGCGAGCGGCATGATGCCCACCGTGGCCAGGAAGGTGCCCAGCGAGATGGCCTCATCGAAGACCGAGGGTCCGTAGACCGCGATGTAGACCCCCACGAACCTCAGCCAATGCGTCTGGCGGGAGCGCTCGGTGGTCAGGGCTCCCTATATGGTTGTGGTTGTCAAAAATAGGGTAACCCCCAAATGGGTTGCCCTGGTAAATGGAAAGAAGGACTAAAACCTGCGGTCCCCTGGTTGTTTAATTTTGACCCGTACCCGGATTTCCCCTGAAAACATCACCCCCGAGGGATACTCACCTTTGGGCCAAAAAGGTGATGCTTAAAACCACCAAAAAGGGAAATATAGGGACCCCTGGTGGTGGTGGCTGACGCGCTGGGCGGGAAAATCGGTAGCTTTTTTTCTCCAAGGCAGTCGGAAGATTCACATGTGCCCAAGTGAGTCGGAAGACACACATGGTGCAACGAGTTATTTGGAGAACAAACGCCTGGGAGCATGTATAGTAAAGAAAAATCGAAGAGCGTGCAGAAGAAACCAGGCTGCGGCTTTCCTCCAAACAACCTGCTGCACCATGTGTATTTCCCGGTTTCTCCTGGAAACATATTCTCCCGACGAGGGCGGTCCAAATGGCCACGATCCAAGCCAAGGAACAAGGGCCCCAGCCACTTGGGGAAGTACTCGTCGTTCACCCCCTCCATAGCCCTCGGCAGGCGCTGGACGAGGGCTTCGTCTCCCCAAAAAAAAACAAGTGCTGTGCTAGAAGCAGTGCTTGGGGGTGGGGGGTGCTGGTTACTGATTGCTGTGTGTTGTTTGAGGAGAAAATCGGTTGTTGTTTCAGGGAACCACGGTTTTCTGTTTGGGGGCTACACTTCATGCAGCAAATGTGCAAAACAGATTCCTTATGTGTTTATGGCCCTTTCTCGTTCTCGCCGGCCTGTCGCGATGCATGTTCAGTTCGTGATTGGCTGTCCATGGACATGCTGCATGCGGTAATATTGCTCATGCAGTTGAGATAGTGCCATGTGAGTTCACTCAAAACATTCCTTGATCTTCCAGGACCCTAGAAATGCAGGCTCTGCCCTTGGTTGATGGCCATGACCTGACTGCAACATCCTCGAATGGGTTTTCACGGTTCAAAAAACCGAGGTTTTGGGTCCAAATCGGGAGATTGCAAGCAGCGTGAAAAGTGGCATGCTCCCTCCATGCCACGAATAATGGGTCTGAGAAAAAGCTTTGAGCAAAAGGAGAGGACACCCAACAAGGCAAACAGCTTTCGGCCCCAGCGAAGCCACGCGAAGTCTGGCAGGTGGATTGAGCCCAGCGGCTCTGGCACCTTGTCCTTCCGCAACATGTCGGTCTTCTTGGCGAAGATGTCGTTCCTGGAGCTCTTGGCACAGGTGGTCTGGTTGTGTACTAGGTCCTTCAGTAGAGAGGATAGAATAAGGGTACCCGTTTTTTCCCTTTTGTTTTCTTCCTTTTTTTTTCTGGAGTCTATTTTAGAAGCAGAAACCTCCCAACCAAAGAAGGGATGAGAGAGAGGGCACTACTGGTGGACCTAGTGTAAAAAAAAGTTGGCAAGCCCCAAAATGGGTTGCCCTGGTAAATGGAAACAGGAACCAACATCTGTTCCGATTCTTCTGGTGGACTTATTCTCACATCTACATGTATTTTGGGACATCCACCCTAAAACATGACATAGTTTTGGAGCAGACCCCGGAAGACGTTTGCACGAGCCGCCCAACAAGCTGAACAGCGAGCTCTGAGCCATTTGCAGTTTGCGCCTGACATGGCAGCTTTTGGCCAATCAGAAGCTGGCTGCAAAAGCCACCTGGACCAAAGCCACGGGGAAATAAATGCCTACGGCCCCTAAAAAATGCCTATGGCCTATGGCCCTTAAAGCCAAGCCCGAGCACAGGGCGCCCCTCCAAAAGACGTCTCTCCGCCGAGCCGCATCTGCGGGCGCTGGAAGTAGTCGGCGATGAGGCGGTAGCGGTTGCACACCTCTGCGGCCAGGCTGAGCACTGCGGACTGCCTGCTCCTCAGCCAGATGTTCGGCATGTGCATGGGGAGACCTGCTCCCAATCCGTAGTAATCCATGTAGGTATATGCCAACCTTTGAGACAAATTTGGAGGCTGAATGTGGTGTGCTTGATGGAACACATGCTTGTTCAAACATGCTTACACATGGATTAAACACATTTCAACGACCTTGTGGTTCAGTTTCAGGGGGCATACTTCATACTTATCGAGTTAAGCAAGTCTTTCTCATCCCTGGTCCCAGCAGCGTTCGGGAGAAAACACCGACAATGAATACACCGAGACATTTGCAATGTCCGTCAACGGAGGTACTGACACGTCCCTGACGCCAGCGCTGTCTGCTTTTTGCAGTCAGCACTTAGGCATTTTGAAACTTGGCACCGTGCAATGCTTCCTGGCTGAATCATGACGGTATGCGATGTCGGGCTGGATATAAACAGTATGCTAGAACAAAACATGAGAACTCGAAGAACACAACTGCCTGGGGGACAGGCCGGGGCAAGGTCTATCCATCCTAATTACGGGAATAGTAGCTTCGCGATGTTGCTTTTGGTTCCGGTGTTCAGCCAGATAGTTTGAACTATCGGTGTGTCTCGGATTGCATTTACCAGAAGGATGGGAAAGTCAGCCAGGTTCACTGGAGTAAACACACGTGCCCGTCCAATTTCCGCTAGGTGGTTCAGACTTTTGGAAAGGCCAATTTTGAGTGGCAAATATGTATATATATATATATATGGGTGTGTCTTCTTTTGAGGGTACCCAAGTTGTTGTGGTGTTAAAGAAAACCAAAAGGCCTGAAATAACACACACACACACGATATGGAGGAACTCTTCCCAAACCCGGGCTGCTCACGATGTTCGAATGCTGTGGAACGTCATATTTTTACCGCGGCTCAAGACAAAACCCGATTCGGAGCCCAAGACAGCCAAACTTGACTCATAAAGAAGGGGGCGGAAGTCGACACATATAACCTGGGCTGTCCGTTTTCAGTTGCCCTGCGAAAAGTCTAACTATTAGTGGTGGGTCAAAAAGGAAACTGTCACCAAACCCTAAAAGGCCAAAAACCAAAGGAACCGGATGGCTGGGAGCCACATGGAGCCAAGAAATGAAACGATGAAGCTGGGAACCAACCAAGGCCTTCATGAGTCCTTCAAGGCCATGGGTCAAAAGCCAAATCGGTTAGCCCCCAGTGAACATCCCAATCCAACCACTAAAATCGGTTCTAAAATGGGTGGTGCACCTACCAACCAAAATGGGATCCCATTGGTGTTGACAACCACTGCCATATGTTGCAGATACGCTGCAGCTGTTTGGGACCCGCTGATCCAGCCGCTTGAGGGGACGGGCAACATGGGTGAAAGAGAGAACAGAAACCAAAAGCAAACATGTCCCGCTCGCCAGAGTCATCTTCAATACTTCAGAAGGAAGGGACACATGCTGCGGTTGTCTGGCTTTCGATTTCCTTTGTGCCAAGCCCCGTGTAACAAAACTCGAAGCGTCCGAAGAGCTTTCATCGTAAAACGTACCATTTGCAGGGTCCCGCCTTGGCAAACATGGTGGCCTGTGCTGAATCCACATGGATGACATCGGGTTTAACCCAAGACCACCAGGCCCTTTTTCAGATCGGTTTTAAAGGGGTCACTGGAATTTCCCCTTCAAAAGTTGCGATATACTGGAGGTTTCCGTTGAAGATGTCACTTTTGGAGGTTCGGAGGGGGGTCCCTTTTCGAAAAAGAAGAAAACGCCGAGGCTCTTCTTCTCCTCATCACCACCTGACGTGCACGACTTGCACCTCAGCCATCCGAGTGCCGACGCACCCCCGAAAGAGCCAAGGACCGATCCGCCATTCTCTCAAAAACACCCACGTACGAAACCCTGGTTTCTGGTGATTCCCCGGTAAATACCAACAACGATTGGTGTCAACCATGGTTTCAAAGTGGTGCGAAACAGACTTCGTCCATCCAGAGTATGACCAAATTCTAAACATCCAGCATCGTGACATGGGTACTTCAGCTCCCATGCTGGAAAGAAGCGCAGCTGCACCCCCCCCTTTTTGCCCCGCCCCAATGTCTCCGAACTTTGCCGAGGGACACCAAGAAAAGCAACATGAGGGAAGGCATCGCAAGGATGAGGTAGATGGCGTCCGGGTTGGAGAGGAGCGTGAAGTAGGTGAAAACGGCAAGCCTCAGCTGGCAGCCGAGAAGAGCGCTTTCGACTTTCGACCTGTTCGACACCAGGCTGCTCAACAACATGCGTGTGCGTGGAGCATCGTGCTCCTTAACATAACGATTTCTGGGCAATCACCTCTGTGGAGCCTGCTGTTTTGAAGAGAAATCACAAGGACACCAACCAACCACCCCAAAAAGAAGAGGCAACCGAAACAGAACCAGCGTCGAGCCGAAGTGTTCCATCCCGAAGCCGTCTTTGCTGCCAGGGGGCTGTCCGAACTTTTGGAACAGCGACAGTACGAGCCTCAGCTCAAAACACCGGGCCGAGGACTGGATCCTACCACAGGCGGCCGTGAGTGCGGTGAAATCAAAATGTCCCTGTTGGAAAATAGATGGCCCTGGTAGATGATTGAACCACCAGGTAAACCAGGGCCTTCTACTTTTTGGGCAAACCAACCAAAAAAGACACCTATGGTTTGGAGGGGCGACCACTTCTAGGGGTTGCATGTGTGTGTGCCTTACTCGCTTTCTCTCCCACACAGCCAATCCTTGAACAAAGACACACAGAGAAAGAAGATACTCGTTCCAGCGGTTCACGGTGTCCAAGAGACGAGAGGGACCAAGACGCAGTCTATGAGCCATAGAGTCAAGAGAAAGGGAAAGAGAAAGAGAACAAGAAAGTTTGAAAGAGAGTGAGATAACATCATATTGTCGTTGAGCTTAACACTGAGACTCTTCCCCCACACCCAACTCCAGGCGTTGTTGGACACCATAGCCCCTGTCCTTTCAGGCAACATGGGTCCAAGACTCCGACATTGTAAAGGTTCCAGGTTCATGAATGGGAGACCCGATCTTAGGGGCTGAAATCAAAGCTCTAACCTTCACTTCCTCCTTTGTTTGGGTTTTTTTTGCTCTTTGTGTTTTATTTTAGGACAAATCCAACCGGAGCCGCGCTGTTTTCTGAAAAAAATGGGTAGGCTCCCCATGTCTTCTCCAGGTCAACCCCAATTGTTTATAGCATGAGGAAAGGTTCTTGTTCTTCAGGGAACCGTTTTCAAGGTAAACCAAAAGGACAACTCGAATTCTGGGGGTCTCCCCCCCCCAATTTAAAAAAAGAAAACTTGCTGGTGCTCAGCAGGGAATGAGGGAATGACCCTCATAAACCATGCAACTGATGGTTTCCTTTAAGGGAATCCCTGGGTTCATTCCCACACTATCGCACCAGCAGGAAAAGCACGCCCCCCCCCCCCCCAGAAAAAAAGGTCCACTGCTCCCCGCCCCCCAAGAAACGGGGGACTGCAGACAGCCCGGTTTGCGATTGCGAGGCGCATGTAGCCCTTGGCCGCATTCGCGGAGCCCAGCGACAGCGCATGCTGCATGTCTGCCGGAGGTACCGAGGCTCGGCTCTCCTCGCCTCGGAGTGTTTCGCTTTGGGATGAGCACTTGAGTCATGATAAACACTGGGCAGTAAAATGGTCTACCCAGAACCATGTAAAGAATTAAGAAGGCGGCCGCAGCTATTTATGGTTGGGATTGTCCCTTACTAACCTTTATGTACCCTGGTTTTGATTGTGGCTCACTTGCCCCTTGTCTTCACAAAGGCTCCCCAAGACCCGGACAAGCAAACCAACCAATTGAGTGGCCAAAAATAAAAGGTGCATGTTCACTCTTTCTCTGAAATTCCGGAGCTGAAGCACATGGCAAAGGATCGATTGGATGTCGGTGTATCCTAAACATGCTGGTTCGACAGGCAAGGAATGAGAATTGGAATGACCCCGAGGAATGGTCGTTCCTTTCAGGGATTCCCACATTCCCTACTGAGCACCAGCAAGGACAAAACATGTTAATTTGGGTGCTTTTGTTAGAGGGGACCAAAACGAAAACCATCTTCAATTTCTTTTCTTGTTTTTGCCGAGGGGGGGGGGTGTTATCTTGGAAAAGACCCACCCATTTCTCAAAATAGGGATCCTTGAAAATCCTAGTGGATCCATTTACCTGTAAACTAGGTAAACAAAGGAACCACTCTTTAAAAACCAAAACGAACACAGCTAGTTACCTACTATATGGCAATCATATGGTAACAGGGTGTGTGTCCCTTTTCTTTGCTCTTTGAATACGAGCAGCCAAAGGGGGGTGGGGGATTTCTGAACATTGGGTTCCACTTCGTGTTTAACATGGGGCTCCTCAAATGACAGCTTTGTTTCTCTCCAAGGCGACCCAAGTTGAGCGGAATCGGCTCAAAGGCGCCGATTCCAAGCCTTCGGATTCGGATGCAGCTGCTGTTTGGACAAACGAACAAGCGGGGATACGGAGGGAGCGGGGTATTGGGGGGGGATTCCCTTGGTGCCATTTCCCATATCAAACTTAGTCAAGCTGCATTTAGGGGGAATCCTACCGTATCCCTGGTTCCCCCTGTATCCCTGCTAGTTGGTTTCCCTGATGGTGTGGTCTTGCAGCTGAGTGTCTGTAGTTCAAGTAGCGCCGGAAGAGACTGGACTGAAGGTAAAGCCTGCCAAGGGCGCGTGGCAGGAACTTGCTCAGAAGCTGTTGAGGAAGCTAACCCAGACCCTTTCATTGGTGGATTCACCAGCAAGCGCGTTCTTTGACCCCCACCTCCAAACAGGGCAGAAAGCCGGTTCCGTGAGGGAAACCCTGGGACAAACAAGCGCACAAACAAGCAAGAACGCAAGAGAGCAAGCAAGCAGGCAAACAAACAAACAGTACATACTGACATGTCCACAAAGCAAAACAAATCACGAGGAGCAAAAACGTTCGCTCGTTTTCCTTCACATCGGACAAACTAGTCCTCCCAAGAATCATTGAATCACAGGTTTCCCCAAGAGGCAAAGAGTCGTCTAACACCCTCCGATCGTCAGCTTCCATGATTCTTGGAGGGAGGGTAATTCTTGGCTGCCCTCAGGCCCTCAGATCCCCTGGTAAAATTTCAGCTTTTGGTGGGTTAAACCAAAACCTACCGAGCCCTAATAAACCAAAACGCTAAGGAACCCGGAACGGCTGGGAGCCACCAAGAATCACCTCGGCTCGGAATCGTCGCCTCAGGTGTCCCACGAGGTCCATCTTGGCTTTCAGCAGGTCCCAGAGATGCAGCACCAACATCGGCGCCACGTAGGCGACGCCCACCACCATGGCCGTGCCCTGCCGGGCTCGCAAGATGTACGTTGCTAGGCTTCCTGGTTCTCTGTTGGTTTGCTGTGAGTTTCCTGTTGGATTCTGAGGGTTGTCTGTTCTTGGGATTCTCAGTCTGAATTTTCGCGTTGCCTGAGGCCAAGGCAACCACCTGGATGGCTAGACTTAAAAAAAAAAAACACGTGATGGAATTCGGTCATATCCGGAGAGGCAGCAAGATCCATGTTCGATGGGTTCGAGCTCGGGGTGAAGCCGACTCTTTCGGCCTAAGCCGACAATTCCTAAGCCAGCCGAGCCCGGCGATGCTCAGGGCTTCACTTTGGGAACAAATATCCGGCTGAAGTTTATTCAGCATGTTCAGGTGAACTGTTCAGGTGCGGCTGTTCAGGTATGGATGCTTAGAACAAATACACCAATGTAAGCTTGGTTTGTGGTTTCCGTTTGGGCATGCATGCTGAAATATATCGCCAATGTGAGCTTGGTTTATGGTTTTTGTTTTTAGTGCGTCCCCCTCTCACCATCTTCCGTGCATACACGTCTTCCTCACGCTAGGTCACCATTTCCAGATACTTGCAGGCCGCTTGCAGCCGGTGGTTTCCATTGCTGAACAGAATGCCACTGCCCTAATCGAACAATGATGCGTTTAAGTTTGCAATCCGATATAGATCTAGCTCATCGCTGCGTATACGTATAGTTGTATTGATTATCCTACTAGACAATTTGGATAGGTACGTGATTTCGGGGATATTTTGTTCACACGTAAACAGGACAACTCGGATAATTGGCTCACTTGGATACCTAGTTTCACCTTGTGATTCTAATTAATTGCGATAAGTAATCAGGATTATTACGTTACTTTGCCAGCTGAGTGCATCAACTCATCCAAATTATCCCTAAGACTTAGGAGTATCGGAATAATCAGCGATTTGGATGCCCCATTTCCCATGACTCATTGATTTTCCCAACGTATGACAATGATAAGACGAGTTCGGCGTGCAAATGTCCCGAGTCAGCTAATTGCAATTATCCACATATTCCTACTATCTAAGATAAATCAAACGAATAAGTGGCATCACCTAGGAAAGCCAAAAGCATGAGGTGGACATGCTTCCTGCAAATCTTCGTAGCAATTGCTTTTCAACTTTGGGATCTCTTTCTGCCAGAACATGTACTTCCACATCAGTTAACTAGTTCACCCTTGAAGAAGCATCTGTGCGACACACAGGCCCAATACCCTCGTACCCGGTCCCGTTTAGGGGGCGCGTCGCCTTCCGGGTGGGGCGCCACAACAGCTCTTCGGTCTTGGGGTCATCCAGGTTGAACAGGACGTCCACGATGTAGATGTTCAAGCACAGCCTCCATGAACATCCGGGTCCGAGCTGGCAACCTCTAACCAAATGAGGCGACTACAATCGGAAACCGGTAGGGGCACACTGAAAAAAATACAATGCATATATTACATATATATATACATATATATATATATTATTGTCCGCTGCGCAAGTATTGCTACAAAGCGGGATGCAGTGCGCAGAACCCTCATACTGCTTTCGGCACCGTCGCGATGGTGCCGTTGCAAAACATATCATTCTCTCCTGGCACTGTTTCCTGCACTCATCCGAGGCTGACAGAACAGAGGTCAGTCAGACAGACAGGCCCTGTGATCCCAGACTGCTCACCACCCAGATATTGCCAAATTGCTCACGTCAAACACGTGCAGCATCGGCCGTCAAGTTCACCACCGGACAACACAACTGGATTTCAGGCCAAGGTGCATGAAGTAGCGGTACGCATTCCTCAGGCGTCGGTCTTTTCCGGCTTTCAACAAGGCAAGGACTGGTGCACCAGGGTGAAAGTAGATAGCAGAATTCCCCTACTCTCCCTCCGAGAATCTTGAAAGCTGATGATCGGAGGGGCTTGAAAGACTACCTTTTTTTGAAGAACCACCATGTCCACTTCCATTGTTGGAAAGAGGGTATGTGGGGGATGATCAAACCAAAATGGGCCGATGGGCCGCAATTGTGCATTTGGCTCGATGGGTGCCGCTGTCTTGCTGGCTGTTGGGTTCATTTGCACGGCGGGTGATGTGTTGAGGCGACCACAAGGTGATGTTTCAGGACGTTGCCACTCCTTCCACGAACATAGCACCTCTGATAGGGTACCTGGAGAATCCATTCCCTCTTGCAGGGGCCCTTTGTGAGGTGCCATGTTAGTGGGCCGGAGTGTAGACAACAAAAAAACCTGGACCGTCTGGCAGAGCACTAAAAGAGTACAAGAGTACCAACCGGAGGCGGTTGGAACAGGTAGAATCCACAAAAAGCGTGTCTTCCGAAGGGGAGGCACCCAGCTGGAGTGTTCCTACTAACACAATAAGTTTCTGTGTGCCGCGGTCAATCACTTCCTGTGGGTCATGGTCATGGTTTCGGTCATTGAAACCTTTGACATTGGTGGTCTAAATCCATAGTGATGACCATCCCTGCCGAGCCCTGCATCACTTGCAAATCATTTGCTTGGTCCCCAAACGCCAAAGCTTAATAGAAAGGTGAGCCAAGTCTGGCAATGTCTTAAAAAGTCGCGAGCTAGGATTCACAGTGCCAAAAAAAGAAGCCCCGTGCCATTCTTGTCTCTCAAAAGGTAATCGGAAAGAGTCTAGTCCAGAAAATCAGGTGAGTACTGGATCCAATGCTGCATGCGCGTCTTCACAACTACTAGCACCATCCAAACAAATGGAAACAAGTTTAGAGAGATTTCCCACCGGGACCCAACAATTTGGAGAACCCCTCCACATCAAACCACTTGGAATTTAGTGAAATGGTACTGTTGCCGCCTGGAAATCCCCTGGATTCATGCAACCCCAGGCTTCCCCCCGAGGCCCGGGCTTCATCTGGTCCATGACCACACACACGGCGGTGCGCCACGACACGCTGGGCACCTGCGAAAGCTTTCGATTCCAGCGAGGTGAGTCACCTGAAAGCCAGGGAGGTCTGGAAGCTCGCGACATGCCGCAAACCCCAGCAAAAAACACATCTTGACGGTTGCATTCCCTACTTGGATGTTCCGGTTACCCTCCACGAGCATCAAAGACAAGAGGGTGGCCTGGAAGCAAGCCCAGAGGGTCCAAGTACCTTCTAAGGAGGTACTTAGACCCCTTTTTACCCCCCAAAGCCATCCTCATGAGGTACTTGGACCCTCTGGGAAGTTACACCAAAGCACCTTCCAACATGGGGGGGAATCTGCCCGACCTCCTGCAGACCTTCCAGCCGATCCAGGCCTGAAAGAAGCACAGCTTGAAGTACTCGAGAAAGAGCCCCACCTCGCCTGCGATTGCAATGCTTCACGGGTCGAAAACGAGAATCCCGGTGGAATATAAGAATGCTGCAAAAGTGTGCGAGGTTAAAATGGCCATGGGTCAAAATCCAAATCGGTTAGCCCCAGTGAACATCCCAATCCAACCACTAAAGTAGGTTCTGAAATGGGTGGTGAATTCACCTACCAACCGACATGGTACCAAAACGGCTTTGACCCACAGCCAAATGGGTGCAAATTTCAATTGGGCACCTTTTGGAGCACATCATGTGCGTGGCTTGTGCCCACCAGCCATTGTAGGGCGGGATCTCTTGAACATTCAAAACGCGACATGGAACCACGAAAGGGGAGGCGGTTGAATCCTGCAAAAAGAGCTTCCTCCACAACTTAACGTTCTTGGGTGCCACCCTACCTAATCTCCTTGGAAATTGCGGTTGGGTGAGAGTAGCTGACACAATCCTTCCGCCATTGCGGTTTGGTCCAAGGAATTGTGCCGTGTATTTTCGCCCAACTATCAACACCCGGATTAAACTTGGGCGGATGTCTATAGCTTTTGAGGGCCTTTCAAGGGGATCACTGTGTCGGTTGCACGAACGAAAGCGATGTCTCTGGTGTATGGACTGTCTATACTTGGGTTTATAGGGGGCGTCGTTTGCATTGAACCCTTCCGGTGTCGTCCACCGAGTCTGCCCAGATTCAAACATCCACGCGCGCTTAGAATTGAGTATGTATAGTTACATGTGCCGCATTGCGCACATAGCCCTTTTTCATACCCCTCGGGTACATGACTCCAAGATGCATGCTGTTGCTCACACAATCCCCCCAAAGCCGCTGTTTAACCAGGGAACCAATGAGCCCCAGCAAGGGTTATGTACTTCCACTATTTCAAATGGCAGGAAACAAAACCATCAAGTCCTCCAATATCTCAAGGGCATCACAGTTCCGAATGCCGCGGCGCCATAGCTGGTTCAGTACAGTAAGGGCTATCGATGCCAAGCTTTGCGAAGTGAGGCACTGGAAGTGAGCTTGCTCTCTTAGACAGTCGCGATGTTTGGGATTCCCGCAACAAAAGTGCTTGGACCACTTTCGCTAGCCAATGTCGTGCTATGCATCTTGTTTCCCTCAAAGGGTTATTTTGTTTCGCGACCGAAAATGAAGGGGCCCTTCCCTCGGATCCGATATCCTTCGACGGTGAAGGGGGGGTCAAGGTAGTTCCGCTTCCCGGATGCAAGGATTTCAATCATTGGGCTGAAGGCATATTTCTACCTCTCCATGACCCTTAAGAGATGGGTCATTACCCAAAATCATGGGGTCATGGACCCACTTTTTCAGGGTCATGGAGATTCTAGGTAGGGAGCACTCAAGAATGAACATCCCCTGGCAGTCACCACCGTGGTCGGTGCTACCTGGCACTGGTCCCCCCCCATGCAAGCTCAGCGGCTGATTTCCTCCAGGCCCTTCTCCCCCTGCCTCGAATCGGTCGAGTCGACCGGCCCACATCACCCGGAGGCCCGACCGTTTCCCCCCTCAAGTGCGAGAACCAGCATCGCGAGTTTTCTGGTTTTGGACATCTGATTTAAGTCCTCCATTATAGAAATACATTTCTCAGCTCAGGCGGGTGTTTGCTGAGGCCAAGGTGGAACTTGCCCCACCTGAGCTCTAAAGGCATTGCACACATGGACTGAAGGTGATGAACGCTGACGAAGTTGAGCGAAGCGCGGACACCGGCCAGAAACAAAGTCCGACTCACCAAAAGGACATGACAAAGGGGTGTTGGGCCTTGGTTCGTGTTCAAACTCCGGGACGCTGAGTAAGTCGCAAGTTCTGACAATGAGAAGCATCAAGCAGGGCTGATCAAGCAGAAAGGGAACATTCGCAAATCGAAACGTTCTTCTCCTTCTCAAACCCCGGGGAAACAACCTTTGCAACGATGTTTCAATCATTCGCCAACCCGACAGTGGCGCAAACCTGCAGTGATTTTCATGGGCCCCCAAATCGGTTCAAAAAACCAAGTCCCGACATGTGAGGATTCCGTTTGCCCAAGGCGGGGCTGGTCTCGCCAAGCCGGTGGTGTCGGCGAGGTTTGGGGAGCAAAAGACGAGTTCAGCGACTCCTTAGGCCCTTTCTGCAGAAGTCTGAAATTCACCCCCAGGGTTCAAACCAGCATTTAAAACATCTGGGGTTCATATCCATTCTTTACCTAAGGCTGGTCATCATCCAAATTGGGCCTTGCCATTCTGCAAACCCTCAGGAAACGGACCTTGGTGAGGGCCCGTGGACCTCTTGAACTCCAGTTTGCGCCCTGCGTCCTTCGTTTCCTTGGTCACCTATGGCACCCTTTGGCACCTAAGGCACCCTTTGGCACCTACGATGCCCAGGGACCCTTCGGGACTTCTCCCAAACCATGGGCAGGGGCACTTGTTTGACAAGCTGAAAAGCAACCGAGTGGAAGTCTCGAGTTTAAACTGGTAAACAGCATGGGTTCTCAAATGTTCTTTCGAGTCCAGGGGTGTCAGAGTCCATCAAATCCCCTTGAGTGGTGTCTCAATCTAGAGCGAAACTTTGAGGATGTCAAATGGGTGTGGTCAAAAATAGGTACCCCAAATGGCTTGCCTGGCGAATGGAAGCAAGGACACACAATTCTGCGTGGTGACTGGTTTTAACCCAACCCAAACGGTTCATCAATATTCCTGGCCCCAAAATTTCTCTACTGGTCACCCCATGTTTACCGGACCTTTTGATCAACCCCCAAATTGCTGTGGCTCAAAAAAAGAAAGCCAAAATGGCACCTTAATGGACCCAAAGACTAACACCTGCGCAACTCTTCTTGAATTTTGGCCCGAACCTTTCCCCACTGGCCACCCCATGTTTACCGCACCTTTTGATCACCTCCCTGGACCCAGTCGTTCCTCCCACCGGGCGGCAAAAGCTTCTCCCGGTACTTGTTGGAGGGAAAGGTGTCCGTGTCGATGATCTTCACGCGGCAGGCGTGCAGGTGATGGCCTCGAATGGCTCCAACTGGGCTCGTCTTCTTGGTTGCTTTCTGCTCTGCTATTTTTTTCAACTTTGAGTGGTTTAATTCGGAAAAACCCATTAGTTGGCAAAAAGCTAAAGTCCCAACATCCAACAACATGCACCAAGGTCTTTGTTTGAGGAGTTGAACCACAGAACGAGCCTCAAAATGGGCTTCGGTTTTAAGTTGGTGTACACATATATATATATATACATATATATATATATATATGTCTTTGTTGTTTGAGTTGGTACCCCTCTTTGGTGGTTCAAAGAATAGCCAAAAGGAAAAATGCGCTGTTGTGCTTTTGTTCTTTTCCTTCTTCTTTTTCCGGGGGAGGGGGCGGGGGCCGCACACCCATTTAGCAAAACAGCCTCACAATTACCCTCTACCCCCCTCCAAATTAACATGAAACCCAAAAAGAGGTTCTCCAAAAAGGAGGTTCCTCTAAACAGAACGTATTTGTTCACATTGATTCGTGGGAGTGTACATGCTTGCCAAAGGACAACCGCCAGAAGTAGAAACAAACTCGGAGAGGGATCCCACCAACTGGCTCGCTTCCAGTTTGACTTCATCTCACCTCTGCAAATGGTGATCTACCTGAACTAGGAGTGTATTTCGAAAATGTCATCGGCAATTTGATAGACTCCTACGGTAACAGCTTGACATTCTGCTCGGCCAATGGAAATACCTGCATAGTAATCCACCTCAAAATGCCGAGGATCTCCGGGTTGACTGTCTGTGTCTGTGCGTGTAAAGGATGGAGGATCGCCGCAAACCCCCACAAAGCTGGCCCAGCCTGGCCCTTTCGTTTTTGTCTTCCCTTGAACCATGAATCAATAAGATTGACAAATGCGTTCTCATCTTTTATTCACAGCCTGGTGTTTCTTTCCATCCATACATCGCCGCCCCGGGGCTCTCAAAAAAGGATCATGAACCCAATCGCCGGGCTCCGGGCCCAAGTTGCAGCTGTCCGGATTTTGGAGAACCACCTGAACATCACAGAGTTTTGCACAGCGGGAACCTTTCAGGGCCGAGATGATATGGAGTTTCTGGACACTTCCAACTCAGGCATGATTACAAAATCATGAGATTCGCAAGTCTTTAGTCCATCATGATACCCACAGATCCCTTTTTGTTCCATGCTTTAGACGCCGCTTCCCAGCTAGCTACTATGGCGTCGCCTCTTACATACCCGGTACAAGTACCTCCGCAAGGTCGGCCCGGCCGACCGATTTGAATAGGCACTTTGCGCTACTTCGTGATTTGGCTGAATGTGGTCTGGCTGCAGCGGCTGAATCTGGCTGAATCTGGTCGAATGTGTTGAATTCTGGCTGAATCTGGCCGAATCCGGCCGAATTTGGTTGAATGTGGCCGAATACCTCTCTGAGAAACAAATGTGGCTGTGGCTCAAAAACATGTATGCAAATAGCCCCTTGGTCAATGGAACCAAAGTGCGTAACCCTAGCTCTTTATTTTGAGCCATACCCATGTCCATGTAAGGACAGCAAGTTTATTACTTTAGTTTCCTTTGATCCTTTTGCACGCGTCCAATGTTTCAGAACAAGTACGGTATGCTTTGGCAGCTCGGCTCTGTGGCAGCCCCAGCTGAAAAATTACAACTTTCAAGGTACAACGGCAGCATGACATGCACTTGGCAGCTCCAGGTTAAGCATTGCACCTTTCCAGCACAACTGATAGCCCACTTGAAGTGCCATCCAAACAGTCCACAACATGAGCGTTATCGTGTTTTTCTTTGTTCCGTTTTTCGAGGAAAGCCATGATTTGGAGCCCTGTAAATGAAACGGCGCCGGGTTTTTGTATCCAGCCCCCATGGCCAAATTGAGATTCTGGCCCCTTTGCTTTCAATGAACTTGAAGGCGCAGGTCGGAAGTTGGGGCCCTAGGTCTGAAAACCAAGACTCTGGAAGCAACCCATGTCGGATGTCCCCAAGGCTCACTTCCTGCATCGAGCAAAGCAACACATCTTTGCTTGCCAGTGGCTAAAGTCCAACTCGGGAAGTGAGTAAACAGGGGCACCCCCTGTTTACTGTTCTTGTCCAGTTTGCCCCCCCCCCCAAATAAAAAAAGGCGCCCTAAACCCACTCCAAAAAAAGAACGCCAAGGGTATGACTCGGGGAGTGAGGAACTGGCCTTGAACTCCATGGTCGCTGACCAGTAGGCATTGTGCAACGTCCGGATGTCCAAAGACTTCCGATACCTGTAGGTCGATGCACGGGGACCATGTGTGTTTGGGCTTCTGGGCCAAGTCTAGGGCCCGGGGTCGGAACACGCCTGTTGTCAGAGTTATGTCTCGTGTCTAGTGAGTAAAGCCAAAAACCAAAGAAATGGAGGAGACAAGTAAAATCGGGCCGCCTGAACGACCTAATTAAGTTCCTGCGAAAGTGTCGGAGGGGGATGATGGCTCGAAGTGGTGTTCAGCGAGAAAAAGTCACAAATTCTTGCCAGCCTTTTGCTTGCCTTTCAACCGTCACAAGAAAGGAAGTGGTGTTTACTCAAACTCTCGACACCCCCAAATTCCCAAATGGCTCCTTTCTCCCAAGACGGTCCCTTGCTAGCCTTTGATGGACTCAAAGACCTCGAGCCTCGAAAGGCTTGGCTGGAGCATGCTGGGAGACCAATGGACACACCGTGCCATATCCCATTTGAGCCGTGCCACATACTCTTGTGTAAAAAGCCGTCCTATGAACTTGCTTTCGCGGACCCTTTTGTGATGCTTTCGCGACCATGTTTTGCTTTCGCGGGCTTTGTTTTCCTTAGAATTGCTTTTGCGACGCAAAAAGAAGCGGAGGACTGTCACACAGCAGGCTTTCGCGGGTCTTTCGCGGCGGGACCTTCTTTGGTTACTTTCGCGATAAGCTTCGCGGCCTGCGTTTTGGCTTTCGCGGGGATTCTATAGGATACCCCCCTTTACTACTTTGTATTGTCAGGGTTTATGGCGCTGCTCATTTGGAGACACCCCATCTAAACAGGAATCAAGGGGCCAAGCAGATCCTCTTCACCTTCACCCTGTCACCTCCTCTGTCCCCACCGCAAACTTCATGGTTCTGAAGTCTATAAAATGGTGACAACCATGGTCAAGGAGACTCACCAGGGTCAAAGGTGCCAACATCTTAGCTGGACCTTGCTGCACGAACATCTGCTGAGATGTTTACCACAAGAATCTGCCTGGCCATGACATCTGTCATAACATTGAGGGCGGCCGTTGCTCATACAGTATGATACATGTCGAAACCAGGGAACCAACCTGTTTCTCTCCATTTCAATCAACCGACATAGAGCAACCCATGCCGGAACGTCTCTAGTGACTCCAGCGTTCACACACAACGTATAAGCATGTAAGTAGGCTTGTCATGGCAAGCCACTGATCCACCACATCATCCCCAACCTCCAAACACCTGGAAAAAGCGAAAGGAAATGAAAGGAACCCATCGCTTCCATCGAGCGGCTCACCATCCTCGAAAATCACTTCTCCAAAGGCTTCCTCATAGTGCGTGCCCGCTTTGGCGCTGCCATCTTCCTGACATCAGACACCATCCAGTGTTTCACTGTGTCTGCACATTTTACAATATGTCCAAAACCTGAACTAAGTTGGATCCCCAAGTAAAGGACTTCAAATCGGTGAGCTCGTTTTACCCCCTGGCGATTTGGAGGCGACACATACCCTTTTTTGGGTCTAGGCTTTCAGGGGAAGCCAAAAGGAAACCACTCATTTTGGGGGTCGCGCTTGACACAAACCCAAATTTCTCCCCGAAAACAGAACAGGAACGGGTCACAAGCAGATGTCTCTACACATTCACCCTCATTTCGACAAAATTGCTGAAGATGCCGAGGCTCTGTGGAGTAGCCCACCTTCACGGCTCCTTACATGGCGGGCAATGGGTAGAAAGAACCCTTTGGTTGGAGGGATTTGAAGAGCAACTCACCCGACAACTTGGCTGGTTTGGAGAAGCAAGTAAATTACCTAGTCGAATGGCACAGAAAAAAAGAACAAAAAAAGCGGGTCACTAAAGACATGATGTGACAAAGGAATCTTGGCAAACAAACAGAAACAAAGGTTTCCACTTGCGAATACGCCCCCAGACAAGGAACACAACATATTTCCAGCAGTGGTAGATTCCATGTCTTAAGAGGATCAAAAAGCATACTAATTTCAGCAAATGGCAGAAGAGTCATGGACCATTGCGGGAGCCTATGGAGAGGATGGGCTTACCCCCAGATTTTGCCCAGGATAAGCCCCTTAAAAGATCCCCGTTTTGGGGGTTGGCAAAAAGTCCGCGTGCTGCAAGCAACTTGCAGCCGAGGTTCCCTTCATGGATCCCAGGCGCATGACGTCTACCTGGAAGGCGCCCTCGTCGTCCTCCACGTAGTAGATCCTGTCGCGGTCCGCGCGTCCGACGCGAAGAACGTCCGCGCTTTCGGGGGAGTTTCGGGCGAGTGGTTTGGGGTGCCGTCTGAAGGCTGCGGTGTTCAACTGCCCAAGGGGAACCGAGGCGCCCAGTCTTGGACATGACTTCCATTTGCGAATGCGCACCCTGGAAGAAAGCAAATACAGTAGTGATAGCTTCCCTTTAACACCACAAAGGGGGAAAAACACATATTCCTAAGCAAATGGAAGATGATCGCTGTGTCTCCAAATGGCGCAATGCGCAACCCAAAAGAAACGGGTGGGTTCCTCTCGAACAAGCCAACGAGAAAACCCTCAAAAATGACACACCCAAGTGGGGTGTGAATTGGAATCGCGTACCCTATCTCTTGACGATTTATGCCCACCTACATGGGAACCAAATCAGAAATCGACCATCAGAAGTTCCATGAGCAAGCCCGACCTTCCGATGCAGAAATTGGTCCATGTTCAACCCCTAACCCAGAATAGAAAACCCCGCAAACACACAGAACCAATGCCATCCATACAGACATGTGTGTACCAGTACACAGGTGAGTTGAGGATTGTTCACATGCATGCGAGGGCAGGCGACTGTGGCCGCTTGAAGGCGGGGGGCTTTTTTATCGTGTGGATGCTTGCTTGCAAAACACAGGTACCGCTGATGCATACTACACCCTTACGACTTGTATACCCGTTGCATTAGGTTAGTACACCCAAGTCCAAACGTAACTTGTAGCTGAATCACTCATACCTTGAACAATTAAAAAATTAGCCTTTCCCCTGAACCCCGGGAAATAAAGACGCGGGCAAGGAAGTTCAGAAGTTCAGTGGATGCCTTGGAAACAAAAACCACAATCTATTGCGGAGAAGGTTCGTTCAGTTCCCTAGAGGGTGCAAGCATCATCTGAGCCATGTCCTAAACGCGTCATGATTTGCTAAGTCGTATCATTTGATTACGCCACTAGCTTGCGCCACCTTACGCGTGTGGAGGTGTTCCTTACGCGACACATTTGGAGGTTTTGCTTATGCCACTAGCTTACGCCACCTTACGCACGTGGATGTTTTGCTTACGCAAGGTCAATATGACAAGACTCTTACTAACCATGATACACGGAGGTTTTGGACGCTGCTCGTCTGAGGATTATGTTTGCTAGTCGACAAGGTCAACGTACCTCCTGGAAACTTGGACCCTTTGGTTTCTCTCGCAGATTGAGCGCGTTGGCAGATGCAATTGGAGCGCGTTGTTTCTTTTAATGTGAAAGCCCACATGAAACTAAACCTTTTCTTGGTTGGCGTTGGAAGGGGAGCAAACATTTGAATCTTAGCAGTTAAGTGGGGATTTCCCACTAAACCACAATAAGCAAAAATGTAAAATGTTTCCTAACAACAACCATGTTTTCGATATGTGTGGTTCCCCCCGTTTGAAGCTTCACTGAGCAAAATGAGTCCAAAATGCTGCTGGTGGTCTCAAGGATCGGGCTTCGGGGGCAATTCAGAAGTTACCTGGATGTGTCCGAAGAATGGACACCCAACCCAAAATAAATCTTAGTCCTTGAGATTTCTAGCATGTCATTGCAAGGTTCCTGGTATAACCAAAATCTCCTCAGAACTTTTACTCATGGACTGCGGCTCCAAGTCATTCATTGCGGACAAATGTGTGTGTGTGTGTGCTTTTTTCAGTGTGTCTGCTTTTAATCAGAGGTAAACCAAAGGACAACCGCCATTTTCGGTTGGGGGGGTCTACCGGCACAGGAATCCGCCCTAAACGAAAAGGGTCCTTTGGGTTGGTATCTAAAAGGAAACCAAACGAAACCAGCCATTGGGCGCCCATTCCATATGCTGAGAAGCCAAACAAAACAAACAACTAGCCACCGGAGATCTTCGCGGGATTGGCAATCCAAATGGCAGTGGTTGTCAAAACCGTTATGGGATCCCAGTTTGGGGTAGGTGCACCACCCATTGTAGAACCTATTTTAGTGGTTGGATTGGGATGTTCACTGGGGGTACGATTTGCATTTTGACCCATGGCCAAGCGGCGCCGTGGAGAACTGCACAATGTCCGCATTCGTCGCGGCGCGTCGAATGCGCGGCGGCGAGTTGGAGCCATCGCCTCGGTTCCGGTGGGGGTTGATCTTGCTTCCCTCAGTGGATCCGTTTACGTGCCTGGGTAGCCGAAGCTAGGGCCTCCAGAAGAGAGGCCAGAATAAGAGTACCCCGTTTTTCTGTAGTCCATTTTAGTAGGGGAACCCTTCCCAAAAAAAGGGTTAAAGGGCACTGCTGGGGGACCTAGGAAGGAACCACCCGATATGAAAACAAAAAGGAAGATAGCGACGGGTTGGGGTTGGCCTGGAATCCACTGGGCCTCCTTGGGAGGGATTTGGTTTTTCACTTCCCGCCACTTCTTGTGGCGAGAGAAAGGCTCGGGGGGTAGGGAGCCCCTTTTGGGGTAGCCGATTTATACAGGGAAGCCATCAGACTAAAGGGGAAACAGAACGACATTACTGAAGAACTCCAAGTGCGCTGAGTGCGAGTTGCTAGGCGCCACCAGGGGTTGGTACGCCTCACAGCACGGGAACATCTCGAGCTTCGCGAAGTCGCGATTGCGCCGACTAGATGCGTGCTGACATTTGGGTGCAAATGGCTGCCGATGCAATGTCGAGCACGCACATCCGTGTGGGTCAATCCTCTTTTGCATGCAGGCCCGAACTAGCCTGCAAACTGCAACTTCATGGATCCTTTGTGCACTATAGATCACTTCCCGCTACTCTAAGAACGTACACAAAAGTGGGGTGGCAGCGAAAACCGATTTTTGCACCTGTATACTCGTCGATAACCAGGTTTGCGGTTGCAAAAACTGGTTTTGCCTGAAATCCTTGCACAAATTACACACACAAAAACAACACAAAAGACTGTGCAAATACTCGGATTTGCCCGTGCTTTTTAAAAATCAGGGCTCTCCTCTGAAAACCTGGCATTTTTTTCGGAAGCCTCTTCTTTGTAGGCAAGCCTACTCATGATCCCCATTGCGAAGCCACTACAAAGGGGACATCAGCACCCTCAAGGGAGGGATTGCCTTTGCACAGCGGTTCACTTTTTCATGCCTGCCAATTCCATTTGCAGCTCCAATGCCGCTGCCTTATCGGCTAATGCTAGCTGAAGAGCACTGGCGGATTTGAGCCGTCCACGAAAAGCTATGGACTCCAACACCGAAGCTTGCGAGTAAACCACAAGCCCGGTCAGTGCTTCTTCAACCACGAAAAAAACACGATCAGCGGCCTTGAGGGCCGCGAATTCCGAATTGTTGCACGTTGCATCGCTGATGGTTGGGACCGGGTCTGATCGCCAAGAGGACACCTATAGGTGGGACATGGTTCCAAGAAGGCAAACCACCCTGGGGTGGGAAAGCTACAACGCAAAGAAATCAAAATAGCGGGACCCCAAAAGTGTGGTTGTCCTTTCTAAGTGTCCTTTCATTCAAACTTGAAAGTAGTCTCAAGAAACTCAAACCCAAATCAACAACGTCTTAAACACTTACCATGTCATGCTCTGGCGCATTTAGATCATGAGCAGCGTCGGAAGCCCCCCATCTCAGTGCAGATTCCTGCGACGGCACAACTTGGCCAAGAGCGACCAGGCAAACTGCCGCAAAGCGGATGGAAACGCAGCATTCATGTCACTTTCGAAGTGAGAGCAACTTGGTTGTTTATTTGCTCTACGGTCCTCCTTCATTCAAAGGCTTGCTGAAAAGGCAATACGTCTCAGGATGGGTCGCTGGCCCAAAGGAAGTCCTTGATCCAGGATTAGAAGCTTGGGAAAAGTAGTTTGAGACAAGCCGTCTGAGATTAGACCAAGTCATACAGGTTCCTCCAAAAGACATGGAATCTTTGCGAAGAAAGTCCCGCTGGTCGATTCCACGACTGGTCAAGCCAGGCCTGTTTGGAACAATCCCTAAAAGATGCCAACATGACTCACCAGGTCCAGTGATCCGTCTGCAAAGCCATGCCAAACCATATCCTAGGGAGTCTTCAAAAAGAGCAATACCGCAATCCTCACAAGGGAATCTGCGAAATATATGTCATGCGCCAAGGATACCGCGCATAATCTATAAATCTTAAGGTGCCTCAATTTGTTGGATGACTATTGCTAGCGTCGTGCTCAAGTCCATGAATCTCCCTGATCGCATCATCACCTTCACAACATGGCCGGAATCCCGAAGGGCTGAGGGCTGCGCTATGTAACCATCTCCATACTTGGCGTATCACAAGTCTTCTAAAAGCAAGGAGCAGAAACCGGCAAACATAACATGAGTCACAATCAAAACCTGGCATTTACATGGTCTACCCAAACCCTTTGCTTACCCGCGGCCGGGTTTTTTGATTATGGCTCCACGTGTACATCGCTGACGTTACACCCACTTCAGAGTTCAGACCCCCTCTGCCGCAACTCAGAGCTCTGTACCACGAAACCTCTGCGGCTTGCCTACAAGCGATAGGCGGCTCGCCGAAGCTCTTGGGTGCAGGCAGCCTGCGAGTCGGGTGCAGTTTGCACGTGGTAACTCAGTTGCCCAGTGGATTTCCATGGGGAAAAAGTTGGCATCATGTGTTGGTTGGGTCACTTTAAAGGCTGGGGAAGTACCACATTCGAGCTGAGCAATCGTGTCTGGGAGATTCTCACAATGATGGCCCCCCAAAAATGGTTGGTGTTCTAGTTTCCCGCAAAATAACAGCCACACATGCATTTATACGGCCACAGGTTTGAATGGGGAATACTCAGAAATGGTTGGTGGACATAACTCCGCATCTAAATGATGCCCACCAAAGTATTTCCAACTAAGACTCAAACCCATGGTGTGATCTTAAAGCGTCGACACCTATCTTAAACGTCGACACCTGTTGAGTCCCGAACTGCCTCTCAAGGTCTTTGCGAGGCATCCGCTTGTTTGGTGGCATCGGGCCCCGTTGGCCCGTATACCAAAACAACATGTCTTGCAGGTGTTGGAGGCGAGTATTGTTCAAACGTTGCTGTTCTCGGAATCCCTTGGTACCTTCTGAGGAGGTACAACATGACCCCGCTTCCCCCGCCCCCCACCCCAACAAACATGCCATCGAACACTCGAACACTGGAACACTGGAACAGTGGAACACTGGAACACTGCAACACTGGAACACTGGAACATTGGAACACCCTGGACATTCCTTTGCGTACTTATTCCTTGTCGTTCTCGAAGTTTAGGCGTTCTGACGGATTCCTCGTCATTTTTGGAAAATCTAGGCGAGCTTCAGGAAATCTAGTCGTGCCATGTTCCTTTTGCCCCTCGCGCCCTTCCCCGCAAGCGCCTGTGCACTGACACCTGCTGATGCGCGCATCCTGTTGAACATCCTTATCAATCTGCAGCCCACCCGGTTCTCACTGAACTCGGGACTGGCCCATGCATTTGTGCATTGTGTTCCAAGTTTGGGCGAGGCCTCGGCGTCGCCCAAGGCTGATCTGTTGAAGTAGCCACCCACTAATTTGTTGAATTGGCCGCGCCATAGGCTGATTTGCAAAAAAATGGATATACCCCAAACAGGAGATTTTGGGATTTGCGGGCGTTTGCGGGGATTTGCGGGCGTTGTGCGGGTTTTTGCGGGCGTTGTGCGGGCAAAAGTCGGCGCGGCAAAATGCATCGATACCGGTCTCAAGCAGTTGTAGCAAGGGTCCTCACGAATTTGCGTAGATTTTGCGCATTTTGGTGCTGGGAAATGTCATGCTTCAGATCTACTATGTGGGCATCCGCCGCAATATGATGGCTTGATGCCTTGATCCCTTGATGCCCTGATGCATCACGCAAATCCCGCCTGAAAAGGGGATGCGTCCCACGCGGGGCCCAAAAGGCGTAAAAATCCCGCAAGGTCACTGTCTTCAAACCCCAGGTGCTCTGATGCCCCGAAAGTGCAGAAACTCATCAATTTAGGCGTTTTCTGGAAAAATAGGGAATTTTAGGTCAAGTTCACAAACTACAAGAAATAAGTACACGTTGGAATTTCCAGGACTGGAACACTGGAACACTGGAGCACTGGAACACTGGAACACTGGAACACTGGAACACTGGAACACTGGAACACTGGGACAAAAGAACACTGGAACACTGGAACAATGGAAGACACTAGAACACTGGAACATTGGAACTGCTCAGAAGGAAGGCACTTGGACTCTAGGGGTTGCAATGATAAAAAGAAGCTCGCATCGTAGCTTTTATTCAAGCCGTGGGATCACCACGTCGCACGCCCGCCAATCGATTCAATCAAGAACCTGAAACAAGCTGACACGGGCAAAGAGACAGAAGCTCTGAACGACACAGGGGTATGTGGCGAAACAGTCGGACGAAATATAAGCTGTCGTGTTGCCTTCCTTGTCAATTCGTGTTGTTTCAAGGAACGCCCTCAAAAGAAGTGTGAACATAAGCTTGCAAATCTTGCCCAGAGGGTCCTGATCGAGATTCCGGTGGCACCAAAGAAACTCACACGGAACCAATTCGCGCCCAAAGGCTCCATCTTGGTTCTGAGACTGCCGATACCTTCTCACTTGTAGTTCAGCAATGGTTTCTCCCCACTCGCGTCTTGGGTATCCGCGTCCAATTCACGAGGTGGGAGTGTCTTCATGTTCAATCGCAGGGGTGTGACACATACCAAGCTTTGGCAAAGGCAATGGTTGTAATGGTTGGATGAAACCCTGCACAGGCCCCTTGAGAGCAAGGGGGTTTTCCCCTGTCCAATTGGGTGTGGGTCAAGATTAAGCCACCAGGGGACCGCAGGTTTTAGTCCTTGGTTTCATTTACCAGGGTTCCAATTTGGGTACCTATTTTTGACCCACAGCCATTTGTTGATTCTGGAATGCTGCAAGAAGGAAACAAGGGAAACCCATCAACGGTCTCGGCTAGCCATCCTTATCGAGAATGCAGTGATCGACGAGCCCACAATTCCGATTCCTCGCGCAAGAGCTCCACGTCGTAGACCTCAAAGAGCTTGCGGCGTTTCAGCTCCCGCTCCTGCGCGAAAACATCTCACAGAAAGGTCGGAGGTGCAGCCCGCGAAAATATCGGCAAACTGCTGGAACTCACACCCCAGAAACCACGAATAATTAAACGGACCTTGATGCGTGGGCTCGTTTTGCTCTACGCGAGCGCGTTGAATTGGTTGCAAGTATCTTGTTTTGGCAGAAGCAGGCAGGTCCAATTTATGTTGATGTTTCTCCATTGCACAACACAGGAGAAAGAAATGAGCCAAAAGCCGCGATCGCGTGCATAGCAAGCCCAGAGTTTGCTGACAAGGAACATGGGCATGCCGTTTTGCGGGATCTGGGTTGTGGCTTAAAATATCCCATGCTTCTGGCAGCGCCCTTTTCAAGGCCAGCTGGCAAAGTAAACCAAAAAAAATCAAAAAAACAAAGGAAGACCATAATGAATCATCTGCAATTGAGGATTGATCATAGGTGAAAGGCTCGCAGCAAGAGCCTGCAGGAAGCCGTTCTGGGATCACTTGCGGAACAGCGGCTCAGTTACCAGCCGTGCAGATCCCGGTTGCGGAACAAATGAAGCCTTTGGGCGTGCAACTGCGTCCCTGTGAGGAGTGGCTTTCAATGGAGACTCCACACCAACCCGATGGACGGACAAAAACACCACGTTCCGAGCCCAAAGAATCAGCTCTCCGGACAATCAGTTTTCAGAGGACCTACTTGGCAGCTTGTTAGATGTGTGACAGGCGAGCACAAGAAAACACTTCTTCCCTGCAGTCATCCTTGAATGTATCTTAAAACAAGAACCCCCGAAGGCAATGGTGGTCCCTTTCGCATTGCCTGGAAGGCAACCCCCAAATGGCAGCCCTCAAAGACACACACGCACCAACTGTTCCCCTTAGAGCCCCGCACTCTCAACTGTTCCCCTGAGAGCCCGGCACTGCTCACAGACCGTTCTGCCAGCAGAAGGACCTGAGAGCGTCTCGCGTGTTTTCCTGTGTTGAGGTCATGCACCACACCTGTGGTTATAGGTCAACAAAAGCAAATGGCGCCCGGTTTAGGGGACCTCTCCGATCTTTGAGACACAGCACCGAATGAATATCCACCAAATCCGAAGCAAAGCCTGCGCTCTCCCAAGCTAAGGCTCTGGCTGAAGGGTCGCTGGGCTGAAGTGGAAAGCGCTTCAGCCTAAGGGGGCATTTAAGATTTCCGGACTGGAAAGGGGTAAGCCGGCCAACGGCCCATAGAACGTGTTGGTGTGTTGGCCCCTCGCCAAAACAAGTCTAACCACATGTCCAAAACCCTCGAAACACAAAACAAGCACGACTCAGGAGGATATGTTGACCACAACGATGTACCGATGCCGATGACAATGAAGATGGTGATGATCATGATGACGATGACAATGATAACGAAGATGGCGAACATGACGATGACGATGACAATGATGCTGATGCTGCTGATGATAATGGATGATGAGGATGATGATGATGATGGTGGTGGTGGTGATGATGATGGATGGTGATGGTGATGGTGATGGTGATGGTGATGATGATGGTGATGGTGATGGTGATGGTGATGGTGATGGTGGTGGTGGTGGTGGCGGTGGCGGTGGCGGTGGTGATGGTGATGGTGATGGTGACGGTGATGATGATGATGATGATGATGATGATGATGATGATGATGATGATGATGATGATAATGATGAACATGAAATTGAAATTGAAATTGAAATTGATGATGATGATGATGATGATGATGATGATGATGATGATGATGATGATGATGATGATGATGATGATGGGGTTTAGTAGTACTATCAATGTTGTTGTTGTTGTTGTTGTTATGTGTTTTGCTTGTGTAAAAGGAAACAAGTTAAGAAAGAAGTGAAGCGATGCTTGCACTCCATAAAACCTGCCGGATGCCGGGAAGCCCGATTTCCCTTCAGGGACTCTGGCGCGCCAGGCGAAGCAAGGGACTCTCGGACACCGAACCGCCCGAACCATGTATTATACGGGGTCCACGGCTTACTTGTCCGGTGTGCCAAAACTTTTATGGGGCTTCGCTGGGTTTAGGTGTTGGTCAGTGCGGTTTTGGAGCCTCGGTCTGTCTCTTTTTAGGGGCAACCCAAATTGGCGCAACGGTTCTGGTTCCCCTCTAAAACCCAAAAAAACTGGGGCGCCCTCAAACAACAAAACCCCCGGATTGTGGTGCCCCCCCATAAAAACGACACACCCCGGGATTGTTTTAGTTGTTTGGACCTCAAAACAGACAGAAACCGAGTGCGACACACCTCTGGTCGCTCGACTCGAATCCCACGCCGGGAGCCGCGCCAGGTGCCTCCGGCGGCGCTGACCAGCAGAGGGAGCTCACGCTTCTCCCCCACCGAAGGGAAGCAGTAGACCTCGGCTTCTGGATGCTGCTCGAAGCTTCTCGGGGCTCGGAGGGGACGGACGGGTTCCTTTGGGCCCGTGGAATGGGACTATGTTTTGTTTTGTAAGGGTTGCCGGGGAATTTGAGTATATTTGGTTTTGGCGACGACCTGTGCATTTTAGCTGGGCCCCAGAAAGATTCATTTGTTCATTTGGGGCGCATCAAGATTTCATTTGGGGAGCAGGGACTTGAAAGGGGGGTTGGTGCCTGTTCAGAATTTGCGGTGGCTGACAAACCCCTCTATGTGCTCCAGTTGCTTGCCTAAGGTCGATCAAAATTTGGGTACGGTAGGAGAATCCCTGAAAAAATGCTTGGCGCCCTCTGAGCAGTTCAGGTGCCCTGCATCCTCTCTCCACAGACTGGAAGTGTGCATTCAAGCGGTGTGCCCAATACCTTAAGAATTAAAAGGGCGACAAACACATCTACAAGTGTCCTGAAAGCAGCAATCTGTGTTTAACCAATCTGTTGGGTGGCGCGTTCAATGGGATCCAACAATCAATTCCTTTCCAAAGGACAACACAAATGTCCAATTTAGTGCAAGCCATCCGAACCGGCTGCTAGAACCAAATCAATTGATCATCTGAAGCTGAATCAATAGCCAAAACCTGGTCTAGCCGACATACCCAAACCCTGAACATCAAAAGGACCTTTTGCCTCGCCGTCCCAGTTGCGCCTTCAGTCCACCATCCCCTAAGGCAACGACCTTGCCATCCCCGGTAAGGCAGGAAGCAAACTGCGCTTCTCTGGGTCAACGTACCCCCATCACATTTTAATATGTTTGCTAGTCAAGAGCAAAGATGTAAGTCTATTTTTTTGGAGGGTCCCTTGTTTTGGGTGTTGTAAAGGGAAACCAACAGAAAAACCGAAGCCATCTTGGGGGTCCCCTAAAACATACACACCCGTATAAGGTCCCCAACGACCCGCTTCCGACTTGCCAGCAACTGCTTCACACGCGAGACAAACCCGAGACAAAGCCGAGACAAAGCCGGGGTGCCCCACGGACATTCCGCGCAGAAGAGGTCCCTTTTTCCGGGCAAGTTGCAGGGCTCCAGCCAGGGAGTAGCCTAAGCTTTCAGACATGCCAGCCCGCCATGTACGAAAACCGGAAACAAATCCAAGCCAAAAAAGAACCGATTCCTATTTGAAGAAACATCCCCATCGCGAATGGGGGAATACACTAGCTCTCTGAGTCTCTTGTACGCTCTTCAGGTACAAATATTGTTGGCATGTGGGGCGTTCCTTGGAGAGCCGCCAATCGACGCGCTGATATTTGGTCTGGATACTTTGTGTTCAAGAACTGGCATCCCTTGGATGATGTGAGGTGAAAGCCATAAGGCCACAGGAGGAAACATTCAAAGAGCTTGTCCATAGGAAAAACTCATTCGGACCTGCGCAGGTCTGTGCAGGTGCTGTATCCGTTTTGGGAAAGATGTGTGCACGCAATGAAGGAGTCCCTGTCATGATCCTGAGATCGAAGTAAATGGATGTGTTCTCTATGACGCTTCTTCCCATCGTTTCCATGAATAGCTTTCGTGAGGGTTCCTTGCAAGCACAACTTTGAAGGAAAACCAGGTCAGTAGCTTTTGAGCATGCCCTTCTCTGATGCCAATCGCCTTATAAACTCGATGATCCAGGGTTGCGCCAACAACATCAGGGTCTTATGTTGAAGCAATCTGCGATGACCAAGATTGCATTTGAAATCCTGAAAGCAAGACTCAGAGTTTCACGCTGACTCTGAAAAGTCCCTAATGCAAACAATCATTCGGCTGGTGCTTAAAACGGTACTCGACATGGAGAAGCAACCCGCCAAGCCTAACATAAACTCGTCGGGCACCCACACTTGAATTACTCTTTCGAGCTTCGTTTTCGTTTTCGCCAGAATGTTCGCTTTTGCTCTATTTTTATTGTCATGGGACTTTCGATCACATTCACGTGCCTTTCTACTTCCGTCTTCAGCTGGGACTTCAGCGGTCGCCTAACACATGTTTTCCGATTCCCACAGCCACGCGAGCTCATTTGATGCCTTCTACAACGCCCATTTTCTTACAGTTTTAACTACACTGCCCAACAAAACAGCTCACAAGGTGACGTGAACCGTCATCATGACTCGCGCTGTTTGGTTCCACTGCCGATTGCGCCGGTAGAACAATACTTAGAACCATTCCTGGGTAGAATCCACCGAAAAAGGAAAACACACAATACAAGTCACAACTTGCCATTCCTCTCTTCCTGAGTGGATGGTCATGTTCTTCCCCAAATAGCTGAAAGCTATAAGGGTTCTAAGTTCAAGTAAGTAAGACTGTTGCAGGGCGCTGCTGCCGCAGGGTGCTGTGCTAACTCGGGCTGTTGCAGCGTGCTGATGGAGGTAGCTGCTGCAGGCCGAGACTTGGAGTTGCGCAGGAGTGCGGTTGCAGGATGCTGTTGCAGGCAGCTGCTGCAGGTAGCTTCTACAGGCCAAGTCTCAGTGTTGCAGAGTGCTCCTGCAGAGTGCTGTTGCAGGGCGCTGCTACAGGCCGAGACTCAAAGTTGCAGACTCTGCTGGAGGGTGCAGTTGCAAGGTGAAGGCCGAGTTCTGCTGCAGGCCAAGGCTCAAAAAGGTTGCTGCTGCAGTGCCAGGTGTATTGGAATGGGAAACTCTAGTTTGTTGGCTGACAACACATTCTTGCTATCTGGGGTCTATGCTGGTAAAACTTATTCACCACCAAAAGGTCTTCCAAAAAAACCTAAACCAAATCCGAAGCGGAACTCAGAAAGTGAGATTCACATTATGTGGGTGTGGGTCAGGGGACCACAGGTTGCAGTCCATGTTTCCATTTACCAGGGCTCCATGTTGGGTACCTATTTTTGACCCACAAACATATGATTCAAGGTTGTATCCGCTTGTTGAGGGTACTTTGAGGGTCCAGGAAAGTGTCAGGCTCGTGTCAGGTTGCTACATATCTTGACCACCACTGCCATGTGCCCCGTGCGGTTTCTGACCCCGGCCGCTTCCATAGGCCCCCGCGTGCTGCGACCGAAAATTATTCCCGTCTCCAGGCCGCCGCGCCGCCGAGGCCCCGCTTCCGCGCGAAGGCGGCCTCGCAGAGCTCGTCCTGTCGCGTGCTCTGAGCGTAGCTAGGTCCTCCAGATTTGGAGGTTGGAATCGGTTGGTACCATCTTCTTCTTTTATTGAAAAATATCTGTCTGGTAGTCTAGTTTAGTAGGGGAACCCTCCCAACCAACAAAGAAAGGGTAAAAGGGCACTACTGGGGAACCTAGGTAGGTTTGGGGAATGACTTGCTGGTGCGATAGGTGGGGAATGAGGGAATGAACCTCAGAAGATTCCCTTAGAGGAATCCACCAGTTGGATGGTTTCGAGGGTTCACATGACCTCAGTCCCCGAGCACCAGTAAGATGGAGCGTTTGGGGGATTAAAAAAGAGGAAACGTGGGCAAAAAAGCGCAAAGGGGCAGATGTACGTCTTTTTGAGGTGGCACATTGACTGCCTCAGGTTGAGCCAAGTCACCAAGCCACCCAGATGGAAATGCATAGGCTCCCAAATGCTTTCCACGGGCTGACAATGTGAGGGTGCCATATGAAAGGAGCCGGCACCTCACTGATTGATTGAGATCCAGTTCAGTACCTTTACCGCCCAGCACGTTTAGATTACGTAAGATGGCCAATAAAAAGGGACCGATCTCCATGTTCTACAAAACAAAACTCACTTCCCGAGTAGATTTGTCAGACAAAGTCCAAACTTGTTTACTTATCACTAAAATTGTGCTCCCAAAAAGCTTAAAGTCCAGGCACTGGGGGAGTGAGAAAAGAACAAAAACGCGGCCAAGATCAACAGGCCCCAAGACAATAGCCACACTGGCCCCGCCTTCAGCAAGAAGGGCGTTTCATCTACCAGGCGTCCGGCCTGTGTTTCGACAGGAAGGCTCTGATGGGCTATCTGACCATCTGCGCAATGAAAATCCCCAAATCTGGTAGCACTTGGTATTTCATTGAGACGACAGGTGCCAAGAACGAATCACACCTGTTACCTTGGATCCTGCACATTCCTAAACGACCAAATAGCAGTACAAGTTCTTTGTTTCCTGCTTAAACACCATCTGCAAATGCTTGCCTGCCGTTCTTTCCCCAACCATCAAGCCAGCCTCTCGGCTGGCCTTCACCTGCCACGCGAGCTCTCCCTCTGATAAATCCTCAGATCCCCTGCGAAACGTGGCAGACTTTTAGTGGGTTAGATGGAAACCCCAAACCCTCAAAACCTAAAAACCTGGCTGGAAACCAACCAGACAATGGTGTAGAAGGAAGGAACAGCCAAGCAGGCTTCGCACCAAGGCGAATGAAACGTACCCACAAACCCAATCATTCACCCACTGAAACCAAGAATCAGTTGTGCACAAACCAGCACAGATCAAGCATGTTTCACCTAAGTGCTCCATGGCAAATACAGCTACATGCTGGCTCGTTCTCCATGGTCAAGCCATGCCGGTTGCACATATGCGGGCGTGACAATCTGCGCCCCTTTGCAGATGGCACACATCATCTGGCACGGTCGGAGACGGAATGACAGGCAGCCAAAAAGCACTGCAGCCATTCCTCGTACAGCCTGTGGGGAAATACAAGCGTCACCGAAACTTACCGACCCAGCTTGCTGCTTTGAGATTGGAAGTATGGACAAGAAGAGGTCATCTGATTCACGGTGCGTCCAGTTGAATCTATCAGCAACAGCCCATACATCGGGTCACATGAGCTGTGATCACAACTCCCATCATGCTCAGAGACCCTGCAGAGCCTCAGCTTCCTAGAGAGAACCTCTTACAAGAAGTGGTTCAAATCCAAATCCAGGCCCCACCAATCAGGCTACCTGCACTCGTACCAGGCCTTGGTTGTGCGACGGAAGGTATCAGCGATCACATGCCTCAGACTCCGTCCAGCAACCGTAGCTTCGCCACTCACGTGCCTGGAAGCCTGTATGGGCCGAGAACACGGCGCCCTCGGTTGGTACGTGGTTTAAAGAGAACCCACTCCTTTCGCAAAGAAAAAGGGCGCCACTGGAACAACAGCCTAAGTCAGAAAAACCATTGCCAACACTGGTTGGGAAACAGTCAACTGGCCACGAGGACTTCTGCACAAACATCTCACAAACAAACTGAAGGAGACGCCAAAAGCAGACTTCGTTGGACCACTCCAAGGTACAACCTGCAGCTCGCACCTTACCCAAAAAGCTTTGGGTTGCCGGGCGAGATCTGCGGCACCCAGTCCGCCACCAACACCCCGTGCAGGTCCAGCAGCAGCCGTTTCTGCCTGAGGCGTGGGATGCCCCCCTCTGAGGTTGCCGAAAAAGGGCAAATCATGGAAACCTGCAAAAAAACGCCAGTGTTGGGGTGAGACAAATCGATTTCGCAAGGCTTCCGTTGTGAACTGTTCCTGCTGGTTCTCAGGGGAATAGAAACTCTGGGAGTTTGGTGGGCCCCCCCAATTCCATTTGTCAGATCATCCCAGAGCTGTCTAGTCATCCCGAGAGGCAAATGCAACCCACAACAAGGCGTGTTCTCCACTACCCAAGTTCCGCTGCTAAATTCTTAGAGCCAGTGCCATCTACTGCCAACCAAAGCTGACCTACGTCAAAAGGACTATGACTATGCTCGTGACATACTCATACTTGACCCACGCCAGCTTCCCTCGGGTGGTGGCTTGGCCGTCTTAGACTTAGATCCGAAGCTGGGCACAATCGGATCGACACAGACTTACATTTGCCTATAGGCCGCTTGATTGGCATCAAGGCTTCCGAGGCATCACATCAAGCCACAAAACAAACGTTGGAGCAGAGCCCGAACTCCGTGGACGTTTGGTTCTACCGAGATCGCTGTAAACGCCAGAAAACCTGGTTCTACCGGATCTTTGCAAACAATCAGAAAACCCCATCATTGCAACACCCATGTTACAAGTAGAACCCTAAACTACTCAAACGGCAAACGAGGAGTTCGGGCGCCTGCCTGCTGCTGAGCTCCAGCCCAGTAGTCGCCTCAGGAAACGCAAGCTGTTACCAGCTCAAAAATTACCTTGCTCCATTCAAACTCCCCCAAAAAAAGCAAACATAAACTCCCCAAGAACGAATGACATAACCCACCCCTTTCGCCGCACCCCTGCAGTCCCCAAGGAAAAACCCGCGGCCTTTCGTTCAATCTGCTTCCGCCGAGGCGCGAAGACGGGGCGTCCCACGGCGGAGGCCACCGCCGCCTCCGCCGGCGAGGCGAAGGCATCGGACCTGGGATCCAGGGCGTGGCTCTGCCTGACGTTTTTTTTTTTTTTTTTTTTTTAAGAGATGATGGGTCTGTGGTTTCTTCGTGGGTGTCCTTTTGTTTTGTTTTCTCGTCTTCGGGATACCGCTGTTGTTGTTTTTTCCCCCTGCCCGGAGGCTCGGGGGTGTCAGATTTGTTCTATATATATATATATATTTGTGGGGGGAAGGGAGGTGAAAGGGAAACTAACAGGACAACCTTGTCAGGTACCTGCAGGATATTCTTGCGAAAATCCTTAGTTGAGAAGGTTAGGTGGCCAATTTTCCGTGTAAACACTTCTGCAGCAGGTCTCTTTGACCTGTCCATACTGCCGTTCATGCCAATAGGCTCGGCTTCGAGGTCATGGCCAGAATGTGCTGCAGGCTTCTAGCAGGAGCTCAGCAGGTTCCAACAACAACATTTGGGTTTGTCTTTTTTTGAGGGTGCCCACGTTTCGGCGGTTTTAATGGAAAACGAAGAGGAATACCCTCAAAATTGTTGGAGGGTCCCAAAGACACCCCCATATGCTCCAATGCCCCACATAAGCAAGCACTAGCTATCTGCAGGGGGCAAGCCCATCCCTCGAAGATTCTTTCCTGCAGTTCTCTCCGAGCTGTTCAAACTGGAGTTCCGTAATCCCAAGAGCCGCCTCCTGAACCTTACAAATTGGGCCGCCCCAAGCTTCCATTTGCGAATACGCCGCCTGGAGAAAAAAAACACCGTAGTGATAGCTTCCCTTCAAAACACACAGGGGGCTTCATTACTTTAAATGGGGTTGCCCCAAAAAGAAACGGGACCCATGGCAACCCAATGTCTGCTTCTCGTCAGAGGTCCCGACGTGAGCTTGATCTTGGACTCCTAGCAGGTGCGATATCTGGGTGCTTGGCTCGGTGCACCGCTTGTTTTGGGGGTGGTGCAAAGGGAAGCCAAAAGGAACCCTCGCGCGTTTTAGGGGCTCTCCTATGTTGAAACACACCCACATGGTGCTACTAGTCTTCAGTTAGCATGCCCAACTGAAACACAAAAACACACACACACACAAGTGTTTCAGATGTTCAGGAACATGGGTCGGTCACATTCCTGCTAAGCGTGGCATGCTCCAAACCTTCAATCCCTAACTTCCCCGGTACCTGCTTCCTTGTCCGTCCGACAAGTGTGAACGCCAGGAATCCTTCAAAGATAATCTAGATTCTGTGCACTCATTGCAAGTGTTCCAAAACACTCCAACCAGTGTCAGCCTCAGAAGTGTCAACTTCAGATTCATCGCGGTTTGACCTGGGGAATGATCTATGTCAGACGATTCCTCGGCTCATTGGCAAATGCCATCGTGAACCCCCAAATCATGCGCTCTTGGTTCGGACCTTCACGGCAACCGGCCAGGTCGTCAGACACGCGTCCATGGGAACAAGGGGCGGGCTGTTGGCAGCTGATTTCAAGAGAACCCCCAAGCAAAGTTGAAAGAAGGGCTCGCAACCCACTGGAGGTCTGGGGGTTCAATGAAACACGTCCGAAGTATTCCGAAGTCTCCTTTGCGCCAGTCTTTCGAGCTTTTGGCGGTGCCTGCCAGAAAAAGTGGCCCACGTGAACTGCGCATGAGTTTTCACGGTCACGGCACCGGAGGTCGTCTTGTACTCTCCTAACTGATGCGAACAGGTCAATTGCCAACCCTTTGTATCCTTTTCACCTCAAGCAACACTGCTGGTACCAAGAAAATGGCATGTGCAAAGCGTGAAAGGTCATGGTGCTGTCTCTGTTTGCCGAATGATCCAGCGACGATGTCCACTTCGTGCGGGCAACAACAAATGCATCACGTCAATTAAGAAACAAGACAGAAGGCCAAAATTGTCCACTGTACGGTTTTAAGAGTCTAGTCGAGTCCCTCTCTCTCTCTCACTCCTCTCTTGCACAGACTTCCGACTTTCCGTATCACCAACAACTGAAAATGAAGCGTTTAGGACTGAAACATG